TTTTCACTCCAAAAAGTGGATATTTTAACATCTGCTCCAGGATTTCTCCTACTGTCAACTGTAGAATAGAGACATAGGATATCGGTGATTTGTCAGCACACAGTCCAACTATATAACAGTGAATCAGGTGGTCTTTGTGGAATTCTTCATCTCCAATAAAATCAACTTTTGCATCAGATGAGAGATCAATCTCCAGACCTTGAAGAATGTGAGTCTTCATTTGGTTGGTCGTCTCTTTGTTGTTTGCACTTCTCATCGTTACTTGATCACCACAAATTTGGCATAAAACACTGTGGTCCAGTTTGAGGCTTATCCTTTTATCTATGGACAGTTGTCTGAAAAACTCTGGCAAATCATAGTGGTATTTTTCTATCGAGAAGGTATCCACTCTGCCATTCATATTGATATCAAATGACTCCTCAAGTTCTTTTGGACAGAATTTTGCTGAGAGCTACATTTTTTCAAAGCAATGCATCTGACATCCTCTAAGATACTTACTGATACAGCAAGGTCCTTGAAATAGGGTAGAAGTAAACGCAGTAAGTTCTTATCCGTCAGATTTCTTTTTGATACAAGGTGAGCGATAGCCTCAAGTCCAGAATATAGAGTTAGACCGAATTCTTTAATTTTTTGTGGGTAATTTTTTACAGAACACATATGTACAGGTAACCAGTAATCTAGTTCTCTCAGTTTCTCCGACAGTTACGTTTGGCTCCTTGACAACATTTGCTTTACTGGATGTTATTTCGCTGATTTCAGAGCTACTGGGGGTAACCTCTACGGGGGTAACCTCTACGGCATCATCATCATCATTAATTACCCCCTTATCAAAACTCGAAGGTGAAATTTTGAGTGTACTACTCGACGATTGGTCATTGCTTGCACATGGCTGAGAAACCAATTTATTTATCCTGAAGTTATCATATCTATTCCTCCTCACTAGAAAGTTTTTCAAAAAATCATCACTGACCCGGATTGATTTCGATAATATGACAACAACTTTAACTGAACCGGCATGAGGACCTTTTTCATGCGACAATATTTCTAGGATCTCACTTACTTTTAGTAGCAAAATCGAAATATACCGAAGAACGGAACCGTCTTGATCCAGCTGCATAACATAGCAGTGCATTATATGGTCTCTATAGAAACTAGGGACGCATGAAAACTCAACAATAGAGTCTGCAGACATATCGATTACAAGTTCCTCAAATGGAGCCGAGCATAGTTTGATTTGTTTTTTTGATTCAGTACCTTACAAAACTTGGCACACGTCTCTGTCATTGTCACTGCCACAGCCTCCAATCTTCCTATCACCCATGGAATTGATAAACTCTTAATGAGCTGACTTGTTGATGTCGACTTAAGAGCGATCATTTTAAAGTCCTCCAAAATAGAAACTGGTATCCAAGGATTCGTGAAAAAACGGACCAGTGCAGCAAAAATATCTGACCTTCATGCTTATCCGAAGAAAGGCGAAGTCCAACTATATCTAACCTGGTGTACAGCGAGAAATTCTTAATCTCATCTATGAGCTGTTCAAAAGGTATAGAGTATGACTTAACAGATATGCAATCTCAATTGTTTCGTTTTCCCAATTCCTCGGATCAATTTCGTGCAACTTCACATTGTCCACCTGCACCATTTGTTTCTTCATCGCAACACTCATCTTTAATTACTGAAGTTGATTCCTCGTGATGAAATCGTAAAGCAAGAACATTTCTGAAGATTTCAAGATAATTTAGAATATCTGTTGAGAAGACAACCACGACTTTCACACAGGATGTGCCTTTCTTGCTCAATAAACGATTGATTTCTGCTACTGTAAGTTGAACGATTGAAACATATGAATGTACCGCTCCCTTTTTGTTCAGTCCAAGAGCATAGCAGTGAATAATATGATCTTTGTGTATCTCTCCATCAGCGGAGGAAAAATTGACGAACGATTCTCTGGACAGATCGATGTTGATATCTGTAAATTTAGAGTGAGAATTTTCACCACCACAACAGACTCTGCATGAAACAGGTTGATAAGGATGCACATTGATTACCTTTCTCTCCATCATTTGTGAACGAAACTGGTCCATATTCCGATTTATCGCAGAAATACTGAATGTTTTAATCCTACCGGGCACAGAATAAATAGACAGTGAACTATGAATGATCTCTTTCATCGTTTTACTTTTTTGGGCGGTCGCTGTTAGATGTTTCAGATCTTCCAACATTATTGTTGGTAATAAAGGGTTATCGAAGTAAGGTGGGAGTAGAGATTGCAGTCTCTTCATAGTTTTGGGATTGGCAGTTCTTGACAGATTCATGGCAACAAGTTCAAATCCTACATAAAGTGAAGTCCTATCGATTAACTCCTTTCCCACTTTTCCCATGAGTAACGGATTTTTCCCACGAATAGCCACTGGTTGGGCTACATTTATCCAATCTGCATCTGGATCTTTGGTAGTTGGTCCAGCCTTATTGACTTTTGTCTTTGTCTTTTTTGTCTTTGTCTTTTTTGTATCTGTCTTTTTTGTCTTGTCTTCTCTGACTGGAACCTCACTAGATCGATTGTTTGGGTCATCTGACGTATTCCAGCTTTGAATGCCCTTAACAATAGCATTTTTAGATGTATTCGATTCCTCATATTTCATATTTGAGAAGATGATGATGAGTCGAATGCTAGCGACATGATCACTGGAAACACGATCAATTATTTGAGGTATTGTTAACTGTAAAATGGGGATATAAGATAAACATATACCAGTCTCAGACATGCCTAACATATAACAATGAATTATGCTGGCCTGATGATCATCCTCCGAAGAAACAAAGTTAACACAGGACTCCGATGAAAAGTCCAAATAGAAACCGTGTAGGACGTGTAATCCACCTTCTGAATCACACTCTATTATCGGACATGGAACACCCTCCTCAAGTCGCATGTTGATATTTTTCTCCTCTGTAAGTCGTGCACAAAATTCCTCTTTATTCAAGAACACCTTGGTCATTGTGAATGTTTCTATTCTATCAGATGCAGTAAGTCCTTGAAGATCATGCTTGAGACTTGGAATTCTGCCTCGTCGACTACATTTTAAGAGAGCAATTGTCTTGACGTCCTCTAAAAATATCTCAGGAATGAGCCGATGTTCAAAAAATTGTGCCAGCAAATTCATGAGATTACGTGAATTCAATGAGTCTGATTCCGAAATGAAGTGACCAATTATGTCCAACCCAGTGTATAAAGGAAATCCCTTTACGAGAGCTGGATAGTCAGAGAGGGGAATCTTCAATAAACGTTCTGCTGAACGTGAGTGGGAAAACAACTTCAGTCTTAAAGTTTCCATCTTGATAGGTTCCTTTGAGGGCAGTTCGATGTGCTCATTCACTTCATTTAGATCTTTTACCCTACTAGTAGACAAACGGCCACTAATCACATTAATATTACTTAATTTGGTAATTGATGAGGCTTTACTGGTATTACTGGAACTACCTGAATGTAATTCGACCATCATTTCATCAGTTTGCAATATTGAGTTACTTAGAGGTTTGTCTTCATCGTCAGGAATCTGTGAACTTTTCTGGTGGTGCTTGTAAAATTCAGCAGTAGTGGATGCAAGCTGACCCCGCTCCCATGGAAGAAAAAGACTTTTGAATTGAAGAAACTCCGTCTCGTCAGAAAATGCTGTGGCTATAGGAATCAACTGAACGTTCTGTAACACAAACTCTCTAGAATCGTCACCTTCTTTGATTAGTGATGTGACAAACTGTCCACAAATAGCCGTTTTTGAGTTCTTTATCAATCCTTTACATATTCTGTCATCAATCTCCTGCAGAACAGACATCCCCATGACATGCTCAATCAAACTGTCGGCATTTTCCCGAGCTGTTTTCTCAAATTCTCTCCAAAGTTCTTCATGCTGTAAATTCCGTTCGGTCACAATGCTCAAAAGTTGATGAAATTCAAAGAGTTTACAAGGGTCACCAGATAAATCTGTTTTTATTCGATTTAATCCAGCAACCCAAAGACTTGGGATCTCCCAAACATCAGCAAACTTACACACACCAATGATATCATACGTTCTCGTAACAGCCGCCCGATCTCCATACATGAATTCAATACAGTGCCTCACAATTTCAACTCCGCCAGGAGTGCTGAAATTTTTAATATCTATCTTATCGGTTCCAGCTGAGATGATTCTTTTGAATTTCTCACTGTGAAGTGCCAAGATGACTGAATTGCAAATGAATTTCTGATCAGGTGGATCATTTTCATATGACGATGATTCCTCAGGAATAATGTTAATGGTAACTATTTGAGGTATTTCAAAGTTTCTGAAGAAGTTTATTAGATTTTTAGATAGTCCGAAAAACATTGCAAATGCTGAAAATTAAAGTCGCTTCAGCAGATATTCTTGTTTCATCTAGTCCAGTCCAATTCTCGTCAACACATCAATGACAGCATCAGCGATGCCAATTACCCATCGACATGAGTATCTGGAAAGATTTCCTTCATCAAAAATCGAAAGAATATGAAGACAAATACATTTAGGAGATATAACCTTATTATGGCATTGCAATTAAACTGAATCAATTTCTCGACTTTCAATCATCAGGTACAGATATTATGTGGAATTGGTCCAAATACCAAGAGGAAAGAGTGAAACTAAGATATTTGACGCAAGCAGTAAACATATCCGATGATAATAATGATAACTGTAAAATATGATCATCCATGATTAGATAAACTTACAAGGGAATCTGTAGCCTATTTATTATATTATATATTAATAAGAAAATAGAAAATGATAGCAAAGCAATTGTCATTCCTAATCCTAATCTGCTTAAGAACAATTAGCATAAAGTTTCATTAAAACAGAAGCTACGAATAATTATTAAGTAATGGACTTGCATCAAAAATCTATTTATACGGCTGATAACTCATTACTTAATATATAATGTGAACAGCCCCTATACTGTTATATCATACCGTTACAGGAAATAATAATATCACACTACCCTCGATTCCGAAGGGGGAATATAATTCTGACTGGAAAGTCGTCGGAAGCTTTCTTTTAATAAACATTCATAATTTATAAGTACTTATCAAAGACTAATAAACAAAAGGAACCAATATTTTACGATTTTTAGGATAGTCCTCAAACTTCTTAAATACCAATTGTGAGTAGGCGGAGTACAAATCAAACTAAAGTTAAGAATCTGATACAAACAATTTGCACCAAGCAAGTAACCACCCCCAGAACTAACAAATATTGAGATATAGATAAGAATCTCTGCCAGATAATGTGGGACGACACAAACACAAACCAATCCCCATAAGGTATTCCATACACGTTACGCCCACTTGCGCGCAACTCTGCTAGTATCACGTGACACCTGTACTGATGAAGTGAAGCCCAGCAGAATACCACGACCGAGAGAACAGCAACAGGAGTAGAAACTAAGACTGATGAGACGTTGATAGAGAGTGAGAGTAGAGGGTAATAACACAGTGCAAAGAGGAGATGAGCAGCGTGCATCTTACTCTTATCATGTTTTACAATCAACAGACTTTCAAGTAACCGGCGAGTTAGTTGAGCGTGAAGGAGAAGGGTGGGTAACCAGGGCTGGGTAGCTGAGAACTTGAACTTTTCAAACTGTCCTATACCAAGAGGGGTTAAAATAGTTTGTAGCAAATCCTCTGCAGATGATATGGTGAAACTGATAAAGGAAGTCTGGAAGATCAAGTCTAACAAGAAGATAGTGTTAAACAGGTAACCAGTTGTGTAGAAGTGTGTGAAGAACCGGTGAGGGACAAGGAGTCGGCTAGGCTCTTTTGTTTCCAATGTTTTACCTGAAATGTGAGGAGGCTTGAAATACAACATTGTAATATAATGATAACTCATACACACTGAACGTTATGATACACACTGCAATGCATAATGAATCGGTATGCAGAGAACAGTTTTACGGTATGAATACTGTTAAAATACGCTTCAGTAACATTAACGAAACCTGTCCAATAACAAATTATATACCGAATGTATAGTAAGTTATATAGGTGGCCTATAGATTTGGATTCTCGTGGGGTAGAGAAGCACATTTTTAAACTTTTAATAGTAAGTACCTGTTCAGCATAAGGAAGATGCACATTTTGTATTATAGAACATAGGTACAGCACTTTCTGTGGTTATTAATTCTGACTAGGAAAATTACAAGCCTCAAATTCACCGATTGTTCTCTACCTTTATTTGTTAATTAATTAATTAATTGATAATTAATGTACTTACCCCATGTAAGCAGGCTGTCGAACTTTCCACCAGTGAAATACGACAATAGTTTTACAAGAGGAGGACCACATACTGACACCGCCCAGAAACACAACACTGTACTCTCCACTAGGCTCATCTTCTCAAGAATAAAGAACTGTTATCTGATGTTTTATTTACTGAGAATCAAACAATTGATAAAATTATATTTTGAAGTACAGTAATCTTCATTAGATTAAAGCTATATTATATTGTGTCTATATTATTTCTATATCTTTCTGTTTAAATAGAAGTCTTGTGAGGAATATTGAAATTCAGGGTATAAAGTTTTGTGAGACAATTACAAGCTATGTTTTATTTGGATTAAAATAAATTTCGGTTTATAAGTTTGAGTACTATACAGCCTCATACAAAGATCACAAAATAATTTATTATTGATAAAATCGTATGTCACAACAACACTGTCGCAACCTCATTCTTAAACAAATTTTATAACATTATCTATATTATAATTTGGAGTTTTCTTTCTGTATATTGTATGCATTCCCTGTGACTGTGTGGCCACCAGCTTTCTAATTTTTATATAATAATATTATATACGAAGAAACATATGTCACAGAGTTTTAACTTTTTTGAATTATTGGCGACAGACCAATTTCAGCAAAAATGAGGGCCTGTGAGGATCTACGTGGTGACATATGGGGAAGATGGGAAGATAAGTGGGAAATTAAGGCAGGGACAGGAGATCACTCACCATCAGGACCATACCAAATTAGTTTCATTTCGTAGGATGCGGACTACCGAGAACTGATAAAGATATTCGATTCATCATCGTGAAAAATATATTTGTTGACCCAGGGAGGCCCTAGATAGTTCCAAATTCAGTGTTGCTACCGGGAGTTTGCAGTCTCTCGAAAAAACTGATATTCGTTTGAAAAAGGTTTCGGAAGGAGACAGTATTCCAGGACTTGAATCAGAAACGGACTTTAAAGTTACGCTAATGAGGCTACCAGAAATGATGTTCACAGAGTGTTCAAGGGTTTGGGCAGACCTAATACCAAGCACAGTATCTTAGGAATAGAGGAAACCGGATTGCTGACCTGTAAAGATGATGGAGTCTACATGGTGACCTATGGATCTGGAAAACGAGGCTTCTTCAGGATTACTGTAACCGGATGATAGTAATATTATACGATTGTAATTATATTTATAACTGGTTAATTCTTTACTGTTATTAAAATAATAAAATCTGGACGGTTTATTCATATATCATGAAATCTACCCATTCAGAATATAAACAAAAATTTGGAAATTTAAAAAACGCGTATCCCCCATGAACTTAACTCACCTCCAAACAAAATTAATCAATACCAGGTCATATATAATAAGACACTTGTTCTCAAATCCTAACAACTATTCCATCAATGTCCCGACCAGTTTTCTCCCAGGTTTTCTCCGTAACTCCGGAGATAACCTCGCTAACATCTCCTTTGGAGGGGCCTCTCTCTCGACAGGGTGCTCTACTTCATCAAACTCCTCAGGTGGGGTTGGTGCGTTATCAAGCTCTTCTTGTATAGAGTACAACTCTGCTAGCTCCTCGGAGGACAGCATGTTGTCCTGGAGTCTGGTGTTGTCTGGTATGTCTCCTTCTTCTTCTAATGTCAGGTCTATAACCTCTCGGTCCTGGGACTGGGATTTGAGAGATTGTGAGGTTCAACAAGTAATCAGGATTCAGAGTGACATGATCTGAGTATATATTCTAACTGGAGGATGGTATAAATATTGGTGTGTCGTCTCATACTACCAGGTAAACACTAAACACATTGTTTCATTTCACAGTATACTATACTGTGTATAGTATTAGACGTTTTGCGTTCAAATGTTCACACAAAATGTTCACACAGCTAAAACCAACAAAAGAACAAAAAGTAAAACTTGACTAACTACCTGCTTCTTAGGGGGAGGCTCACTGTTATCAGCTAGCAAGTTAGCTAACTCCTCTGATAAACTCATGTCACAGTCAACGTTGGTATCTAGTGATGTCATCGCAGAGTTCAGGTCATCTTCATATGACTTGTACTGTGAAGAAGAACTGATACAGAGTAAGCAAATAAAACACAAATAACCACACGAATTTGTATGATCTTCTTAAAATTGGTCAGGGGCAGGGCATATTTCCTGTTTTGAGTCAACATCTGCTACAAAGATTTAACTGCTTAAATAGTAAAACACCCGATCAGGAGACAAAACAACTAATCACATGACTAAGCTACCTCATCAAGCTGATCCATTATGTCGTCAACTTCATTCAGGGACACTTTGTTCTGTTTGAGGGCTTCTGCACCCACTTTCAGGGTTGACAGGATCTGAATAGTGGTAATTTATTGGGGTGATCCATTTGAACTGTTCCAGCCTTCAATCGTTCTCGTAACTGTCCAATCTAAAAACTTAGAACTAAACTATATAACTAAACACAGTTAACTTCAAGCAAATATTTTCAATACTTACCGTTTTGTTGTGCTGCGATTCTTCTAGCTGGAGCAGAAGTGATTCTGTGTTGTTGAGTGCACCTTCCCATTTTGCTATTGATCTCTCATACAACTTCTTACGTCTGTTATATAAAGTTGGGTTTAAAATAATGAGTTGACGATAATCTTAAAACATTTCAGTACAAAATATGTTGATCTGTTGGATTCAATCTGATTAACCATACCGCAAGAATCTTAAAATTCGATCATTAAAATTATTAAAACACAATCTGGCCACCTGAACAAAAACAAGCTACAAACCGGAGATGAGCCAGAGCTGCATTTTTATTTTTAGCCTTTCTGGCAGCAGTCAGGAGATCGTTAACTTTCCCACTCAGTTGCTTGATCTGGGAACAGAGAGCATCTCTTGTTGCTTTCGCTTTCCCAATTGCTATGTCTACTTGTGAGATTGAACTGACTACTTTCTCATCTGGAGCTCTCACTTTGACCAATGATACAGGGTCACCGTACATTACAATGTCACTGAATGATGAAATATTTTAAAATAAGTCAAATCAACATGCAGACACAGCCAATGAAATTTAAGTATATCGTTGTCTGAGATTTACCATGAACCTTGAAAACACAAGTTCCTTGACACCTTTTCATGAAAAACTATCATTTTTCATTACCCCAGCCCCTTCCTCACCAGCGAAAACCAAGATAGTTGTTTAAATTCTCCAAGTTACTGGGATGTACGAATGTCAACATTAAATTATTCCACTCTTGAATTGTGAATAGGAGGTCGTCATTGTGGTACACAGAGTTTATCACCTTTGATCGACACTCCTGAAGCGAAGAATCGTTACCGTTTATAAATAATAAATATAAACAATAATTTGTTTACAATCGTAAAGTGATATCAATAGTACTAATAGCTACATATTATATATTGTACTAAAACTCCAAAAATGTAAAATAAGGATCCAAATATTTTTGATTTGAAAGTAAAATTATCATCAAAAATTACTTCTAACACAGAAACTACGACAAACTTCTGCTCAGAAGTATCAGGGACTATTCGTCTCCACACAGAGGTCAAAGGAGAGGCCAGAACCCCAAAACCCCACCTTGACCAGGTTTCTGTTAACTTTTCAAGTTTAAGTACTGTCCGTTTGTTTTGCATCTCCTCGAGAACACCTTCTAAGCCTGAAAAAGACTTATTTCAAAAGTTTCAAGTGGTATAACAAAATTGCTAAATTAAATCTGCACAATAAAAATACTCTAAAAATTCTTTTTACCGCAAAACCTGATCTACCCCAGTAGAGTTTATGCTCATCAGATGAATTATTGATATGTTAAGTTTTGATTTACTGTAGTATAATTCCCAAAAGCATTATCGTTTTGCTGTACTTACATTGAGGTGGAACTCCCCTCCAGGCAAGGCATCGCTTTAGCTCACTAATTGTAACAAATGGAGTTTTGCGGTATTGACATACTGCACAGATGAGATTGCTCCAAAAATTGAGCTTTCGAGAAGGTCTGAATTGTACAAAAGCTTGTTACAACAAAGCATTTACTGAAATCTATGAGCATGGAGTATTGATTTGCACATTGATTATTAAATATACCAGACTAAAAAATTACCAATTATGCACCTACAATAATAGAAATTTTACCTCACTGATGTAGAAGCAAAATCCGAGATGAAATAAGACATGGCATCTGAATCCCTCCATTCTGATGGCCATTTAAAAACCATCTCTGTATAAAAACAAAACCACCTCTGTCTGTTTATATTTCTGTATCATCAGTTTGGAGCCAACATTTCTCATTGATGCTTCATTTTTTTACATTTCATCAACCATAGCATTTCATTCAGCTTTAAAAATTATGTATTTAAGAGGAATATTGTAAATAACACTGTTACCTCGAGCTCTACAAGATATTTAAATTTTGGCGTTTTTGAGTCTCATTAGGTACCCTTTATGTTCTGGTCTCAGAACATGCGCAACATGATATATATAATATAATACACGTTAAAAAGTTAGATGTCTAGTATTTGTATTTGTTATTATTAAGTTCGATTGTAATATCTGCTTTAAACACTACTAAAAAATAAAATAAAACACATCGCTGTGTTTTTTTTAATTTTTTTAAAATTATTAAGTTCGATTGTAATATCTGCTTTAAACACTACTACATGTTGTAAAAAACAAAATATTTGCAAAACAAAACGACGGGGACACAGAAAGGAGAAGGACAACACATCACACGGGCGGAAACTGCTGCTGAGTTGACGAGTATCTGATTGTATTAATTAAGGGTCTCTTGTTCATTAAAATAAGTGCGATCATACTTCTAGAGTATATTGGGCTGACACAGCTGCTGCAAGGTTAACATAGGGGTCTAAAGCTGGGAGTGTGTACACAATTAAGCTAGTTATGATAATTTTAAGATCTGGTGGACACTTGATCCCGACACTTAATCAGTGATCTCCTCACTCAATCAACCGTCTGATCGGTTCGAGACTGCTTATAGGGCAGCATGAGACCGAAGCGGCCCCACGAAAAACCTCACCGAACCTCCACGCGGTGTGGGGTGGGTGGCTCGAACGGGAGGTGCATGAGTGTTTCTAACCTATGCAAAGGAAGGGACTAGCCATCTCTACAACAAGGAAAGGCTCTAATAGCCTCTACTAACCTTAGAACCGCAGCATAACCGCTTTTCCCACAGGCAAATAACACCTTCCGCAGGAAACTAACATGCTCACAGGCCCCCACATGACGTGTAACCCCAGGATTTGGTTTTGGATCGGACACTGAAAACAACGATAGAGGAGCAGTCTACACGCTCACAGGCTACCATGTCTCGTGTAACCCCAGGACTTGGTTTTGGATCGGACACTCAAAACAACGATAGAGTAGCGGTCTACACGCTCACAGACTACCACGTCTCGTGTAACCCCAGGATTTAACACGCTCACAGGCTACCAAGTCTCGTGTAACCTTAGGATTTAACACGCTCACAGGCTACCAAGTCTCGTGTAACCTTAGGATTTAACACGCTCACAGGCTACCACGTCTCGTGTAACCCTAGGACTCTAACACTTAATAGACTCTAACACGCTCACAGGCTTCCACGTCTCGTGTACCCTAGGATTTGGTTTTGGATCGGACACTCAAAACAACGATAGAGGAGCGGTCTACACGCTCACAGGCTACCATGTCTCGTGTAACCCCAGGATTTGACACGTTCACAGGCTACCATGTCTCGTGTAACCCCAGGATTTGGTTTTGGATCGGACACTCAAAACAACGATAGAGGAGCGGTCTACACGCTCACAGACTACCACGTCTCGTGTAACCCTAGGACTCTAACACTTAATAGACTCTAACACGCTCACAGGCTTCCACGTCTCGTGTACCCTAGGATTTGGTTTTGAATCGGACACTCAAAACAACGATAGAGGAGCGGTCTACACGCTCACAGGCTACCATGTCTCGTGTAACCCCAGGATTTGACACGTTCACAGGCTACCATGTCTCGTGTAACCCCAGGATTTGGTTTTGGATCGGACACTCAAAACAACGATAGAGGAGCGGTCTACACGCTCACAGACTACCACGTCTCGTGTAACCCCAGGATTTAACACGCTCACAGGCTACCAAGTCTCGTGTAACCTTAGGATTTAACACGCTCACAGGCTACCACGTCTCGTGTAACCCTAGGACTCTAACAGTAACAATTAACAGACTCTAACACGCTCACAGGCTTCCACGTCTCGTGTACCCTAGGATTTGGTTTTGGATCGGACACTGAAAACAACGATAGAGGAGCGGTCTACACGCTCACAGACTACCACGTCTCGTGTAACCCCAGGATTTAACACGCTCACAGGCTACCGAGTCTCGTGTAACCTTAGGATTTAACACGCTCACAGGCTACCACGTCTCGTGTAACCCTAGGACTCTAACACTTAACAGACTCTAACACGCTCACAGGCTTCCACGTCTCGTGTACCCTAGGATTTGGTTTTTGGATCGGACACTCAAAACAACGACAGAAGAGTGGTCTACAGTGACGTTACAGGAACATTGCACACTCCTACGAGTTGCATGTAGCAGGCCATGACCGTCCCTGGAAGTCCCTGTCTCCTCATCGTTAACCCGTAAGGGGTTGCACCAGGGGCGGTGGTAACAGAACTTCAAGACTCTCGGAGTCTGTTGTCGATATCTATGTATAATATAATTATGGTATATAATTTGGGAGTCTCTCTCTCTAGCAGCAGGAGTTGGAGAATGGGGACGCGTTGTGAAAGCCACCGCAAGGAAGGCTTACAGTCGACGCCGACCAATCAAAAGAAGAGACCGAAGCGATATAACGCGAATATCTTTGATTTTAAGGAAAGCTTCACTATCAGTATTCACTCAAAATGATCAGATCGTCATCCCACCACATAAAATGTTTCGAACAGTATACAGGTAATTTCAGCAATGGTAATTGTATAGCTATAAGGATAGACACCCTCGAAAAATGAATAAACCAATTCAATAGATAGAAATAAAATCCACAAATTCACATCACAACAAAAAGCAGTTTAGACCCCCACTGCACCTAACTTAAGCACTCCATGGCCTGTTAATTAAACGTTTACGGTTTAGGAGTGTTGATCAGGTTAAGGTCCAAATCACTTATCGCAGTGGGTGGAAGAGTTTTGGTACCTCTGTAACCCCTGATATATAAAATTATTCAAACAATATACACATAATATTATATATATAATATTATATATATAATATATATAATATTATATATTATATAGCAATGTAACCACTGATTGAGATTATATAGTACATTAACCTGTATATAATACAGGTTTCTGAGTAAATTAAAACGCAGTCTTCGTCTGACAAATGATATCACATCACAAAACCGTTGGCCTTTCTTAAGGCTGATCTTTTCAGCGAAATGTTTTAGGTAGGAACTGTGAAGCCTCGCACTGATGTCCAGTCATCCTACAACATGTTTGGTACTTGTAGCGCGATGCGTTACTGTGCCGTGCCGCGCACTCAATTATACTTCTCACAACGACAGATCGGCGAAATGCGCTACTGGGCCTCGCCGAGCTGCGATGAATTGACATTGTCAATTAAGTTTGGTACCGCCTAATGAGGTTAATTGTTGCACGTTAGCAAATGGTTCCCGATGAGATCACTGATTGGGTGACGAAATTACTAATTAAAGGTCATAACTTAGCTAAATTGTGTTCAATCAACTTGAGAGAGTGGCGTGCCACATTATATTCTTTATAATTAATGAAATTTTGTGAAACTTTCGGAACTCTTAAATTTGATTTATAGGCTAAAGCTATATTTTCTGAAATTTTGATAAAATTACCGTTTTAGAGGAAATAGTTGATTTGTGATTGACGATGTCAATCCATCGAGATCGTTGCTCTGCGAGCAACGATCGACGACGACGACTTCGATGCGAAGCAAAAATGCATTAATGCTCGTTTGCGCGGCGCGTCGAAGTCCTCCAAAGGAAATAGAAAATTTTTGTGCGCAGCGTACGCATTACCTGGGGACCTCAGGCTATTATGTTCATTAACATAGAATAGAGATTCGGCGGAATGACAGGCTGAGTGCGGCCCAGTAACGTACGCAGTACCCTTTTTATATCGCACTTTGAGCTATTCATTTCATGAAAGAAGCAAGATCAAGAAACTTAAATAAAAACCTTACTTATTACTGGCTCGAGCGCGCGTCTCGATCACATGATGTGATCGGATCGTATAAGCTGAGCAATTTTTTTGAGCTTCTATCTAGCTAGATTGTAAATTAATATTATTTCGCCTGCCTTAAAATAATCATGTGACTTTTTTTACAATGTTGTGTCCTCTATACTAAGCTGTTATTTAAACTGTAAACACGGTTTGATTAAATTTAGGCGAACGTTTATGATATGTGCCATGTGGGAGTGCGCATATTGTCATCGTCATTAATATTTTAACTTTCGTCTGGCACAAATCGAGCGCTACTGAGTTTTTAATGTTGCAGTGAAAAGTCTTTACCTATCAATATCGTTTCTTTGTTTATGACATTGTGAACAAATACTAGTATTTATCATTCTATATTGATTTAGGGCCCTCTTGTTGTACTATATATGGGCCTTCTTGTGGCCCTGTATTCCTGAATGTGTATATCACATTACAGAAGTTAAGTAAAACAAAATTTTAAGTAAAACAAAATTTAAATTTTATTGACATTACAATGAATAATTATATCATAATAAATATACGTAGACATCCGATAATAAACTTGTTACATCCAGTACAACCCAAAATGTCAGCCGACTAACAAAAATTTTTAAGAAAGCTTGCATGTTCATAGTTTTTCTAACGAGCATACTTAGGCTGTACGGAAATAGCTTTAATTCTACGTCATATTAAAAACTTTACATCATTTTTGCGATACAAAAATAAACTTTAAAATAAATAAATAACTCTTTTGCTGCTTAGGCGTTGTCTCTTTGGTGCTGAGTAAAAGTATAATGACTTCTCTCGATGTGTAGGCAGTCATTTTCGTCGACGTATTCTCTGATTGTTCTGTAAACTTTATAGTGTACAGCTTAATAGTGTTTGTAAAAATTTTTAACGGGTGATACTCGTAAAATATTTGTTCGACCGTCGACAAGTCCAACTCGGCGCGCATCCTGGTAGGTTGTAAACCTACAAAAAAATTGGCAAACTATATCCAAACATTTGTTATTGTAATTGCCCTTTAATGTTTATAAAAATACTGAGATCATTGTTTTGCTAATACCCTTTGATATCCATTATCCCATTGAAGGAAAACTTCGTTCATTAAAATCACATTTGTTTAGAAAGTTAGCCTCATAACCCAACAATAGCATCCCTAACATCTTTTCACCTGATACCTGGACAAGCTACGATGATGCATCTTAGCATAATCTGGCCTTTATAGAGCCAATTATATGAGCACATTGATCTGATGATCTCCTTGTTTATCAAAAATCTTGCTGCTTCCTACTTTGTGACCTTGGTGCAGCTTGGTCTTGAGCCTCCTCATTTCAAAAATAACAGGCTTGTTTGCCTGGATTCATACTAGCAACTTTTTCAGGGACATACCTCATACTTACAAATTTTTAGAAGGCCATGGTGCTTCTTTCAGTAATTGGGGTACGTAATCCTAGAATTGTTTTAATGCAGCTTTTAGAAGTTGTTCTTCTTTTCATCATAGAGATACCAGAAACTTTCCTTATATGAATGTTGGTGCCAACGCCGGTTTTCTTTTTCATCCTTGAAGGTCTCTCTAATCCCTTAGGTAAGCAACCACATCTTACTGGGGCCCTCTCCTAACATTATAAGCCTAATTTTTGAAGCATCATTATTTAACATGACAGATGTTGATTGTTGACGGTGCAAACAACAGGTAAAACTTATTAGGAGGATACCACATTTGCTGTTCCCACTGATAGGACTGTGTAGACAATGCATGGTTTTACTGCTTGTTACCCAGCAATGGGTAACAATGGACAGGCGCAGTTTTTGTTGTGCAGTAGTGTTGCAAGAGAATAAAACCAACTTATTATGTATTATGTACTAAATAGAATCAATAATATTATTGACTATATTTTATGACGATAAGTTGTAAATTTCGATCAATTTATATTTATTTATTCGGTCTCCAATTATTGAACTACGGAAGCTGGTTGCCTCAACAATGTTGACTATGCATGGTATGACTGAATTGTCAACCTGTGATAATTAAACGAAAAATAAATGATAAACATGATTTAAAAACTGTAAACCACCAACTGAATTATCGCTGAAAATTAAATAAGTATGTAAACAAAAACCATCATGTGCTGTTAAGCAGCAGGGCGCGGCTCATCTGGGCTGCCGTCCTTCAGCTTCTGTTAACTGAAATTACTACAATCCAAGTTGAGGCAATCAGCCGACGCGCTGCTTTTATGGTTATATATAATGATATGTTTAATCTGTAATAAAGATCAAAATTCAAATTTGTTTCTCAAAATTTGTTTCTCAATGAAGTGAACTGGTTTGCGTTTTCAGTGGGAGACTAATCAGTAATCAAGTGTATCTAATTATTCTGTTTTTATTGTGTATTGCTCTGTGAGACTTGTTCCAATTTTTTTCTCAATTTAAACTTAACTTATAAACTATTATAGTGATTAGTGTTACACAATGTATGTGCATCATGAGCGGCCACCCTAATGGAAGTATCAACCCGAGTAATTGCTGCTCTCAGAAAAGATTCACGGGAGAGAAACATTGAAGATTTCAATGCTATCTTTGAATTCTTTGTTCAGGTAACAAGAATCAAAAGCTTGATTCATTTTTCACATTTACAAGAAGAGTAAACTTAAATAACTTATTATTCATACATAAAATTCTGAACTTATTGCTGGTACAACAATAATTATTGTGTAATCTAAGTTATATGTTAGTAGGGTCACATTTTAAAATATTTTACTTTTATTTTATGTAATGCTAACAGTCACAAATTTCAGCTGCCCCATTTTGCTGCCTGGACAAACGCTGGTCTGAAGGAGACATGTCACTTAGCCCGATACATAGAGTGCGACGAGAACACTGTGCTGTTCAAGAAGCACACTCCCGCTAAATGCTGGTACATACTGCTCTCTGGATCTGTTTTCTGTGGAAACCAGGTATACTTAAAGGATGAGGGGACCTTAGAATTTACTTCCAAATATTCGCGTTTAAGTCCTGTGAAAGTGTGTAGAATCAAAAAATACGCCGGACTGTGAAATCGATAATTCGTGCAATATCACGACGCGCTCCTATTGGCTGATAGCAATTTTGGGCTGTGACGTCACTTATGTGTTAAGACCAACGTGCGCGCGCACCCTTTGTGCTTTGCTCGTGTCAACATTTTGTTCTGTTCTGTTTTAATTACGTCGTGTTACCTTTGGCGTTTGCGAGAGCGGTATCTTTGGTTGCACTGAATTAGTCTAAGTTACGAATAATTCTCTTTAATAATTATACTTATAGTTAAATGTAACTCAGAAAGGCTTTCTTGTAGACTCCATCTGGGAGTCACAGTCCGGGAATGTTTATTATTTTGACCCACCCTGTATTTACATAAACACTCGACATGTCAGCTGTTCAGCTCTAATAACGTCATCACCAGATGTTCTACAAAGACACAACATTTGGTCAGAGCTCCCCACCATTTCCTCACATGAGAAAAGATGATTGCATTGCTCTGGAATTCTGCCAGGTAATATCTTGTTATGTTTCCCTGATAATATCAAATTTAATCAGAACACGTTGTCCAGTACAAAATCATATGATAACCAGCTTTGTGATACTATTGTTCCTCAGATAATCGTGATTGACTACACGCCACAAGAGTTGACGGGGCACGCGCCAGCTAACTACAGGTCAGCTCTCCGATCATATCCCGGTCGATATGGTGGAAGTGTTGAGAGTTACAGTTTACAATCTGGAGATACCTTCCCTGAGAGGGAGAGTCTGGATGGCAAGTAAGAATTACATTCCAGATATTATTTTAAATAAGTTTTATCCTCCACGGGGGGGGGGGGGGGGGGGGGGGGGGGGGGGGGGGGGGGGGGGGGGGGGGGGCCAATGACTACTTTTGGTGACTTGGGGAATTACGTCAATGATTTTACCCCGAGTCCCCATGATTTTTAGTCCCCATTAGTCCCCAAATGTCTCCATTAGTCCCCATTTAGATTTCAAAAAATCTGGCTTTTCCAGACCAGATCGCAAACTTCTCAAGACTGAAGTCTAGAATATTTATAAATGGTCACTGGACATTCCTGACTTCTTGGGAGCTACTTGAGGGCTGTTAGAGTACCTCAGGTAAATTAAGGGGGGGGGGGGGGGGGGGGGCTTGGGGGCGACTACCAATGACAACATTGAGGAGACATATTGCATATATACGCTTATTTTATCAGATTGATCTAGTAACACGAGTTGTAGCGCAAGGAAAATAAACGCATTATCAATTTTTCTTATTACTTTTGTATTGTTTTGCCTGAAATGATATGCTCAGTAATTTGAAATTGGCGTTGGTTTCTTTTGTTTTTGACGATCATTTATGGAAATATTCACAAAAGAGTGCTTGCCAGTGCTTAAAATAAAGATCACCCAAGTCTGTTCACAGAACGGCTGTTATAAATACTCATTCACCCATCATCTAACATCTTTAAGTGTATTAGGAGGGTAAGTCGAAGGGTTAATTCATGATTTTTCATTCGATTATAAGATTCAGATATAACAATTTGAAATATGACTTGACTTTTCTTTTTTTTTTCAAGCAATGAATTGACACAATATTTAACCTTTTCAATACAGTGGTAGAACACATTACAACCGGGCTTATCATTTTACTTTTAAGTCAGATTTATCCTACTCTTATCTTGGACAAAACATCTCGATCGTATCGTTATTAAGGAGGGGGGGGGGGGGGGGGGGGATCATGTTTTTTGTCCGTTTTTGTCCGTTTGGCAGCTATATTTTCAAAACGGACAAAAAATAAAGCGGACAAAAACGGAAAAAAATAACAAAAATTGAAATAACATTTAGATGCTTCCTCCTCTTCTTCCTCCTCCTCCTCCTCCTCCTCCTCCTGAGTCCTCCTCCTGGGTCCTCCTCCTGAGTCCTCCTCCTCCTCCTCTTCATCCTCCCCCTCTTCATCCTCCTCCTCTTCCTCCTCAGTCCTTCTCCTCAGTCCTCCTCCTCAGTCCTCCTCCTCATCCTTCTCCTCAGTCCTCCCCCAGTCCCCCTCCTCCTCCTTCTATTCAGTCCTCCTCCTTCTCAGTCCTCCTGAGTCCTCTTCCTGAGTCCTCCTCCTGAGTCCTCCTCCTGAGTCCTCCTCCTCCTCCTCCCCCTCCCTCTCAGTCATCCTCCTCCTCCTCCTCAGTTCTCCTCCTTCTCATTCCTCCTTCTGAGTCCTCCTCATTCCTCCTTCTGAGTCCTCCTCCTCCTCTTTCTCCTGAAGTCTTGAGTCCTCCTCTTTCTCCTCCTCCTCCTGAGTCCTCCTCCTCCTCCCTCTCAGTCATCCTCCTCAGCCATCCTCCTCAGCCATCCTCCTCAGCCATCCTCCTCAGCCATCCTCCTCAGCCATCCTCCTCAGCCATCCTCCTCAGTCCTCCTCAGTCCTCCTCCTCAGTCATCCTTCTCCTCCTCCTCCTCCTGGGGGATCCTGTTTTTTATCCGTTTTTTCAGTTCGGAACCCTATATTATCAAAACGGACAAAGAATAGAGCGGACAAAAACGGACAAAAAATAACAAAAATGGAAATAATATTTAGATGCTTCCTCCTCCTCCTCCTCCTCCTCCTCCTCCTCCTCCTCCTCCTCCTCCTCCTCCTCCTCCTCCTCCTCAGTCTTCCTCAGTCATCCTCCTCCTCCTCCTGAGTCCTCCTCCTGGGTCCTCCTCCTGTGACCTCCTCCTCTTGGGTCCACCTCCTCTTCATCCTCCTCCTCTTCCTCCTCAGTCCTCAGTCCTCCTCCTCAGCTCAGTCATCCTTCTCAGTCCTCCTCCTCATCCTTTTCCTCAGTCCTCCTCCTCCTACGTCCTGCCCAGTCCCCCTCCTCCTCCTATTCACTCCTCCTCTTCCTCCTCCTCCTCCTCCTCCTCAGTCATCCTCCTCAGTCCTCCTCCTCCTCCTCCTGGGTCCTCCTCCTGGGTCCTCCTCCTCCTGGGTCTTCCTGATCCTCCTCAGTCCTCTTCCTCCTCCCCTCCTCAGTCCTTCTTTTACTCCTCCTCGTCCTCGACAGTCCTCCTTCTCCCCAGTCCTCCTCCTCCTCCTCCTGGGGCCTTTTCCTGGGTCCTCCTCCTGGGTCCTCATCCTCCTGGGCCCTCCTTCTCCTGCTTCTCCTCCTCAGTCCTTCTCCTCCTCAGTCCTTCTCCTCCTCAGTCCGTCTCCTCTTCCTCCTCCTCCTCAGTCTTCCTCATATTCCTCAGTCCTCCCCCAGTCACCCTCCTCTTCAGTCCTCCCCTAGTCACCCTCCTCCTCATCAGTCCTCCTTCGCCTTCTCAGTCCTCCTCTTCAGTCCTCCTCCTCCTCCTTTTCCTGGTTCCTCCTCCTCAGTCCGCATTCTCTTCCTCAGTCCTTCTCAGTCCTTTCCCCAGTCACCCTCCTCCTCATCCTCCTCATCAGTCCTCCTTCTCCTTAGTCCTCCTCCTCAGTCCTCCTCCTCCTCCTCCTGGGTTCTCCTCCTGGATCCCTCTTCTCCTCCTCAGTCCTTCTCCTCCTCCTCAGTTATCCTCCTCATCCTCCTTCTCCTCCTGGGTCCTCCTCCTTCTCCTCACCAGTCCTCCTCCTCAGTCCTCCTCATCCTCTTTATCCACTTACTTCTCCTCCTCATCAGTCCTCCTCAGTCCTCCTCGTCAGTCCTCCTCCTCGTCCTCAGTCCTCGTCATCAGTCCTCCTGGGTCCTTCTCCTCCCAAGTCATCCTCCTCCTCCTGGGGCCTTTTCCTGTGTCCTCCTCCTCCTGGGTCCTCCTCCTGGGTCCTCCTCCTGGGTCCTCCTCCTGGGTCCTCCTCCTCTTCCTTCTCCTCAGTCCTTCTCCTCCTCAGTCCTTCTCCTCTTCCTCCTCCTCAGTCTTCCTCCTCAATCCTTTCCCAAGTCACCCTCCTCCTCATCCTCATCCTCCTCATCAGTCCTCCTTCTCCTTCTCAGTCCTCCTTCTCAGTCCTCCTCCTCCTCTTCTTCCTGGTTCCTCCTCCTGGGTCCTCCTTCTCCTCCTGGGTCCTCCTCCTCTTCCTCCTCCTCCTGGGTCCTCCTGATCCTCCTCAGTCTTCTTCCTCCTTCTACTCCTCAGTCCTCCTCCTCCTCAATCCTCCTCTTCCTCCTAAGTCCTCCCCTTCTCAGTCCTCCTAAGTCCTCCCCTTCTCAGTCCTCCTTCTCATCAGTCCTCTTCACCAGTCCTCCTCCTCAGTCCTCCTTATCCTCATCCTTCATCTCCTTCCTTCCTCTCCTGTCTCCTCCTCATCCTCCTCATACACATCCTTCTCCTCATCATTCCTCCTCCTCACTGCTCACTCCTTCTCCTCCTCATCCTCCTTCTCGTCCTTAGTCCTCTTTATCAGTCCTCATCAGTCCTCATCAGTCCTCCTCCTCCCCAGTCCTCCTTTTGGGGCCTTTTCCTGGGTCCTCCTCCTGGGTCCTCCTCCTTTTGGGTCCTCCTCCTCATCCTTCTCCTTAGTCCTCCTCCTCCTCAGTCCTCCTCTTGAGTCCTTCTTCTCCTCCTCCTCCTATTCATTCCTCCTCCTCAGTTCTCCTTCTCAGTCTCACTCCTCCTTCTCAGTCCTCCTCCTCCTCTTCTTCCTGGTTCTCCTCTTGGGTCCTCCTTCTCCTCCTCAGTCCTCCTCCTCTTCCTCCTCTACCTGGGTCCTCCTGATCCTCCTCAGTCTTCTTCCTCCTTCTACTCCTCAGTCCTCCTCCTCCTCAATCCTCCTCTTCCTCCTAAGTCCTCCCCTCCTCAGTCCTCCTAAGTCCTCCCCTTCTCAGTCCTCCTCCTCATCAGTCCTCTTCACCAGTCTTCCTCCTCAGTCCTCTTTATCCTCATCCTTCATCTCCTTTCTCCTCCTCATCCTCCTCATACACCTCCTTCTCCTCATCAGTCCTCCTCCTCACTCCTCAGTCCTTCTCCTCCTTAGTCCTCTTTATCAGTCCTCATCAGTCCTCATCGGTCCTCCTCCTCCCCAGTCCTCCTCATGGGGCCTTTTCCTGGGTCCTCCTCCTCTTGGGTCCTCCTCCTCTTGGGTCCTCTTCCTCTTGAGTCCTTCTTCTCCTCCTCCTCCTATTCATTCCTCCTCCCCAGTTCTCCTTCTCAATCTCACTCCTCCTCAGCCCCCTCCTCTCCCTCCTCAGTCCCCCTCTTCCTTTTCCTCTCTTTCATTTCTCAATAATTTGTTCAATTTATAATTATTGTTGGTGTTATTGTTAACATAATTTATTGTTATATACTAAAATGTTTTTAAGCGCATTTGAGTCTGACTCAAAATGTGCTCAAGAATCTTTGTGTTTAACAAAGTTTTACTCTCCAGTAACAAAACTTTTCATCCCTTTTTATGTTATTAAAAAATGTGTAGACTATTCTTTGTGCCTAATTGAAGTTTAAAAGTTTGAGAAAGGACCATGGTCATTAACCGGGCTACCCATTTCTGCAGATAGCCTGTTACAAATTGTGGAGAAAATTTAAATCAAAAGTTACAATTTTTGTCCGTTTTTGTCCGTTTTTGTCCGTTTGGCAGCTATATTTTCAAAACGGACAAAAATTAACGGACAGAAACGGACAAAAACGGACAAAAAATAACATGATCCCCCCCCCCCCCTTATTAAACTAACTTGAAAACCATAAATAACTGTCAAAAATTCTGGGGACTTATGGGGACAAATGGTGAATTACGTCAACGAGTTGACCTCTAGTCCCCATGATTTTTAGTCCCCATTAGTCCCCAAAAGTCTCCATTGGTAGTCATTGGCCCCCCCCCTCCACCTCAACACATCTTGGCATTTTGTTTTTATATATAGTAGGTGACGTTATGATGCAGAATTTGCTACAGTTGATTACCGAGCTGTCACAACCTGATGGGTTTTGGCAGCTTTATAGATTACATCGAGCAAACGTTGAATACGGTGTATATCGACTATCTAAGAAAATTGATACTATATAGAACACTGATCAGATTACACAGATAGCATCTTCATGCTATCCTTTCGTGGGCCACCTAGGTCGAAATTACAAAACTGTTCAAACCAGACATGTAATAGTAAACTTGAACCTACAACCCACAACTCACAAACCAGACCCTTCAATCACAACTAGTTGTCTATGAAACCCAAAACAGCAACTCAGCAACTAACCAATTGCAGTCGAGTTTTCTCCAAGTTTTACTTTCTGTTACATTTCTGACGCTCTTATCCAAATCCCCTCTTTACAGGTCTGCCTCTTCTGTTGACTCGTACCCAGACCTGTTCGGTCTTGCGGAGGGAGTGGTGGATAGTGACGACGAGAGCGATGAGATATCGCAGTTATCCGCACAAACCACCGACCCACTTAGAGATAGTTTAGGGAAGAAACCGAGTGATAGAACTGAAAACGATGTGGAGGTTAGTTTAGATTATATCTCTTTGAAAACTGCACTAAAAGCGTTATTACTTCTCAAGGCCATGCAATTTGATTGTAGTGGTTTACAAGATCCTCTAATCGTCAGCTCGATTAAATATATTGCCTTTGATATAAAGTTGTTTAAGTCTCGAAGGAAAGGAAGTCGTGCTGGTATTAACTCAGTTTATACTATAATCAGACAATTTGGTAGCTGGTTAGAGTAGCTAGTACCGGATGGTATAAAACAGCTTGTAGTTGGTTCTTGAAACGTTGGATCTTGAAACGTTTACTTGATACGATCAAGATTTAAACTCTTTAAACAGTTGATTTGTTGGGGGAAGATCTTGCCTCTTTGTGCAGTCAGCAGTCAGGTGGCTCTTCCTCGACTGCTTCCTTTCACTTTCTGCAATTTTGCTTACCACATAATATGCGATTGCATGATTTTAAGCTTTTTTTGTTGTGATAGTTACATATTTTTATTGCACTTTGACACGTTCAGTTTGCCAACATTCATTTTTGTGTCCAGTTTAACGATGTTGAATAGCACCACTGACCACTAGATTTACCGTTAATTTGACATTGTACTTGACAAAATATTTCCTATAGTGGCAAACATTTTAATTATACTGCCCTTCATTATCAAATTCCAGCTTAATTATTTGTCGTACGATTCCCTGACTTGATCACGGATTTGAGACACTTGAAACTTAACAAGTGAACTTGTGTTTTGAAAGGAATTGTATTTCAATGAACAGGATCTTTCTGCTTGTTTGTAAACTATGATGTTTTCCGACCTAGTTTCTTGGCTGAATCTTCCTTTGACAGTTGCCCTGTACATGGCATCAATTTTACTGTTCATTGCCAAGGCAAGTAATGTATTTAATCACTCATTAGTACATTTTATTTTTCGATTATGATTAGTCGTTACAGCTAGACATCTAAAAGAATCGGGGTCTTGAAATCTTAAAATCTGTAGAATGTAAATTTAGTTTATTCTTGAATAAAAAAGTCGTTAGTACGTTTTATTTCTACATTAAGTCGTCTAATATTACCGAAATCTGGATACTAAGCTGCTCTGAAAAAATTTTGAAAATTTGTTTTGATACTTGTTAATCAACATGTTACATGTTACACTCCAACGGTGTGTGGGAGTGCCGCTAATAAACGGATAAAATTTGTATCATATTTTAGCTTTTTACTCTTTGGAGTTTTTATTGAATATCAAATATACCACTTGGCACGAGAGTAAAGAACCTAACCGTTTCATTTACATCCTTCAGAAAATTATGATTTTAATTAGAGTATTATTTTTAAAACCCTAGAAAACTTCTTACACATTAAGTTGTTTTATCCTCTGTAAAGTCAACACTCCTTTTACAGGTGATCTACAACGAGGTGTCTCATCTACCTGCTCTACTTAGACTACCTCCTCCTGTCCGTAAGGAACTCTGTCAGCGTATGCTATACAAGGTACTACACATCTACTTTACATCTACTTTACTTTCAGTATTGATTTAGTGTAAACTGTATTGGTTACTGTTTCTTCTTGTAGGGACAGCAGTCTTACACAAATTTAACAGAAATTCTTGAGATGCCAACACTCTCCAACTTTAAGAACAATAGTCTTTCATAGATAAACTTTCAGATAAATTTCATTCGGTAATTCTACTTTCTTTTTCAATTGCTTGAAGTTGTACAGTCGGCCTTTTGGCCATATTTCTTAATATGCAGCACGTATGCAATAGTATGCAGTATGTAATAATATTGCGTATGGGTAGGGCGCTTAGTGCCCTTACCCATTTATGTAAAATTATCGGTAGATCAATTAGTTTATGTAATTATGTAATTGTGTAATTATTTAATTAATGTAATTACATAATAACTGCAGGTATACAGAGACCCAGGGTTCACGATAGTGCAGCATGGGAAGGAGCTTCACTCCTGGCAGGTGCTACTGAATGGTGTTCTGGAGGTCAGAGAGGAGGGTTTACCTGCCAAACTGCTACATGTGGGGGAGAGTTTCGGGATGCCTGCTGCAACTCAGGTACGGGTTTTAAGTGGGGTTTTGTGGAATGCTTGTTGCGACTCAGGTACTAAGTGGGGTTTTGTGGAATGCTTGTTGCGAAACTGACCTTAAAAATGTTAATAGCACAAACCCTATGCCAGATGGCGATGGATTTTAATAATTTGTTGAACTTAAGAATTCGACAATCTGCCATGCTCTGCACGCATAACATAACATCTCAGTTTAGTCATTCGCAGAGCTTACTTGCAGTCGGTTTCTATTTAATTTGTACCCACTATAGCACGCTAAAGTATCTCTTTGATCTACAAAATTAAAAAGTCATTAAGGTCACGCAACTATGTCACGATCCTCAGTTCTGCAATTTTAATAAAACTATAAACAGGCGCCATTTGCACGGTGTAAGGTTGGTGTCACCCTCGCCCAAGCGTGGGAAAATGGTAGATCTCCTGTCAATGATGATCATCAATCATCATCCCATCCCAGATATAATGACAGATACCCCTGAAATAGTATGTGCTTATCTTAAAGTAATATCAACCAGTCCGTCTTAAAGTATGTGTTAAACTGGTATTTGACTGGCATTCGACTTAACTTTCAATAAACTGTTTAAAGTTTTCGTTCTGAGAGCTGACACAGAATCTTGAGTATTATATAGTGGTGTCCCACTGTCCCCCAAGGAACAGTTTTAGGTCCCATACTATTTTTAATATTCATTAATGACATTGCTAGCTGCGTGTTGCATTCAACGTTAAGATATTTTGCTGACGACACAAGAATTTGCAGATCAATCAGTGATTCACATAATGTTACTGAGCTTCAGTCTGATCTTGACGAATTCACTAAGTGGTCATCAAGAAACAACATGGCACTACACGAGGATAAGTTTGAGTACATATGTCATCTTGCCAACAAACGTAATCCTCTCTATGAGCTTCCTTTTGTCCATGAACAGTTCCAATACAGAACATCAACTGGTACTATACTCACTCCTGCGCATCAGCTCCGTGATCTCGGTATAACAGTATCCAGTGATTTGTCCTGGACATCACACATACGATCTAGTTGTGATAAAGCGAGGAAGATGGCAGCATGGCATTGGTATTCAGTGTTTTCCACTCTCGCAATACTGGTGTTATGTTACCACTATACGAGTCACTAGTCCGTAGCCACTTAGAGTATTGTTCTCCTCTGTGGAATCCGGCGAACTTTCACTTCAAAGATCCATGGTTTATAGCATCTCCATTATTGGGATCGCCTGAAAACCCTGTCCCTCGTGTCACTTCAGAGGCGCAGAGAATGTTACAGTGTCCTGTAAATGTGGAAAATCCTGCATGGTTTCACAATTCACATCCAACGACCTTGAAGTACAGTTCACAGTAAACCCACGATTGGGTAAGGTTCCATCTGTCCGTACAAAAAGCTCAGCGGCTCATCAGACTCTATATGGGAAATTCCACGATAACGGTAACCAGTAACAAAATAATAAAGTTTGGAGGTGGTTTGGGAGAGATAGAAAATCTTTAAGATATTTGACCATATTTTCAGGGGCAAAAAACCGTTTGTTGATATCTAGCCTAGTTTAAAAACTGTAGCGCGTCAAAGTTGGCTTAAATTTAGTGTATCTTTAGTGTGAATATCCAGTTATTTTCCGAAACATTTTAGGGAGCTTTATTAATCGTAGAATTCAATATTTTATCCTGTATATCAACCTAGTGGGCTTCAGATAGAAGGCCAGCCTAATTTTGAGGGCCAAATTTCTTTACTTTTTGAGTGTCTTATGATCAAATTTTTCCTCTTCGCGTGTGAATAACGCTACCAAATAGTGAAAAATGTTTTACTGTGGCTACACTATACGTCTGTTTGATTCGTAACTCTCTCTCTAACGGCAACTTTAGTCATCTATAAAGGTCAGAAAATTTCATTCGTTTTGTCACACTGGAAGTGCGAAAAGTAGGGGTAGTGTGATTCACAGGTAGCGTAATTCACAGCTTGGTAGTGTAATTTACACAGCGGAAAATTAATAAAACAAGTGGTTTAAATGCTTTGTTGTGAAATAAATTGTACTTTCAATACTTCCAGGGCAATTCCAGGGACCTATTTTCAACAACTGCCTGAAAGTGTTGGTAATTTAATCGAAATTAGGGTTCCGCCAGGGCAAAATGTGCCACTTTTAGACCATAAATCGCAAAAATAATGATTTGTAAATGGATTAGGACATCAAAATTGATTTGAAAGTGTTTTATAGTCATTGTTAGGTCTGGGAACACTTATTTGAGTAATTTAAAGGCTGATTTTCAGAAAATATCAGCAATTTGGGGCTAAAATTACCTTATTTTCTTGTCACGTAACTAAATTTTGCTCAAAAGAGCAGTGTTTTTGCCCCAAAAAATTCTAATTTTTATCAAAAAGCATGCATAGAGGTATCAAATTAAAGCTCTTGATGACCTCTTCACATTAAAAACACAAAGAAGTAGTTTAGAATTGATATAAGTGATAAAATGGTCTAAAAATGGATTCAAAAAGTTCTAAATTTCACCCAATTTCTGTCTAATCATGAACCTTTGAGAGCTCATAAAAAAATCATGCCACAATATTACACTAGGTACATTTTTCTAGGATTACTCTAAATGTCCTATACTTACAGATAGATCAACTTATAGATGCTTACCAAAGTTAATTTGCAACTTATTGTTGTAGTTTGTCCTAAAAAATGGCAAAAAATTGCCAAAAAATGCAATTTTTGACAAAAAATGAGGTAAAATTAATATTTGAGATCAAATATCCATTTAATCACTCTGAAAACCTTTTTAAACGTTATTTTGGGGCAAGATACCCCTAGAATACATGTTTTGTGGTATATCATACCCCTTAGTCATGCCTATGTCTTATGTCTACCTCACATGGGCGCCCGGACCACTATGGTATGGCAGTAGGGTGTAATCTACACCATTACCAGTATCTAATTGGACCAATTAGTAGTCAATTTAATTTAAAATCAGTAATAGTCAGTCTACTTCACCATTTTACAATAGCAGCAACCAAATTAAGAACAAGCAAACATCAATACAACGCACAAACAGAGCAACTGGGCAGAGTGTGAGTTACACTACGTCCAAATGTGAATAACGTTTACTTCCTATATTGTCCCTGTACTACACACATTCCACAAATGTATGTTAGGAAGGACATAGGAAGTTGAAAAAATGTGTACTTTATTGTGATCAAGCCTTATTGTAACTTCTGCTATTACACTGGGGCACGAATTGCAATTTTAAGGCAAGATTTCTAAAACAACAAATTATGCCTGTGAATAACGCCTACTTTTTAAAATGCTGCTCATATAAAAAGTATAAGAGATAGACATTAAACTTTTATTGCCACATCATCACAAACGTTCAAACTTCATTCTGACTTTATATTATCATGCTGCTAATGTTAGCCTACAATTAGCATGCAATTAAAAGCTAAATTTTGTGCAAAGTGTGAATTACACTACGTGGAATTGCCCATATGAAACACCATTTAGTGTAATGGGTCCCAGAATCTGGAACTGTATACCTTGGCACATATATTATGTGCAGTCTCCAAGCATGATGGCTTCATATTATGACGGCTTTCATGTTTTCCTTGCCGGATAAACCGCCAATCCGGGGCTCCACGCCACCGAACGGCGAACTTTATACTGGCTGGCGTAATGATCGAGAGAGGCATCTGCAACTCTGACGGATATCAAAGGTACCAAAGGTATTAAATAGTAAAACCACGTTTAAAACTCACTGGACGTCAGAGCCACAATCTCCTATATTCTTGCTGCATAGTATAAATGCTATAAATTGCAGCTTATTGCCGTTTTTATGCACAGATTTATATACTTTCATCCTCCCCTTTTAGTTATGAGCTATATGCTTAGTGGTTACTGCAATTTGATGGTTAAAAATGGACACCAATCATTAAATCTGCATCATTGTTAATAACATTGCAACATATAAACGTTTTAGCACGCTTTTTAAAAAACAGTAAAAGGTTTCCAGATAAACCCTTCGTTACTAATCTAAACCGTTATATCCACTGCATTCCTTAATACCTATTCGTTTAGTTGTATGTTTCCTAGACGAGTCTGTCACAGATCTCGATTAAACTGTTTAATTTTGAACACAGATTTATATACTTTTATCCTCCCCTTTTAGTTGCGAAATATATGTTTACTGCAATTTGAGTGGTTTAAAATGGACACCAATCATTACATCTGCATCATTGTTAATAACATTGCAACATAATATTTTTAGACGTTCTATATCCACTGCATTCCTTACCTGCACTGTTCAGTGTTCGTTAAATAGTTGTATGTTTCCTGGACAAGTCTGTCCCAGATCTCGATTAAACTGTTTAATCGGTCACAAAATGTCATTTCACGATTAGTAACCTGTCACTGACCCATAGGTTCTCAAGCAGCAAGGAGACATTTCTACCAGATCTGCAGACTGCCACATTCTTAGCATTCCACGCTCGGAGTTCCTCCATATCATAAAGTGAGTCTAAATATTTGTTATAATAATAGTCTGCTATTATATTATCCAATTATACGCATATCATAAAGTGAGTCTAAATATATGTTATAATAATAGTCTGCTATATTATTATCCAATTATACGCTCCTATATCTTTCCATAAAATTGGGTTGTCTTAATATATACATGAACAAGCGAACTTTGTTGCAGCTTGTATTTTTGCAGGCTACAAAACCAATAAACCATTTCACTACTTTATAGTACAGTAACTGTAAGTTACATGGTCACCCTGACTATACATAAACCCCTCTCTCGACAGACCACTCCCTGACTATACATAAACCCCTCTCGACAGATCCCTCCCTGACTATACATAAACCCCTCTCGACAGACTCCCTCCCTGACTATACATAAACCCCTCTCGACAGACCCCACCCTGACTATACATAACCCCTCTCGACAGACTCCCTCCCTGACTATACATAAATCCCTCTCGACAGACCCCACCCTGACTATACATAACCCCTCTCGACAGCCCCCCTCCCTGACTATACATAACCCCTCTCGACAGACCCCTCCCTGACTATACATAAATCCCTCTCAACAGACCCCACCCTGACTATACATAAACCCCTCTCGACATACCCCTCCCTGACTACATAAACCCCTCTCGACAGACCCCTCCCTGACTATACATAAACCCCTCTCGACATACCCCCTCCCTGACTACATAAGCCTCTCTCGACAGACCCCTCCCTGACTACATAAACCCCTCTCGACAGACCCCCTCCCTGACTATACATAAACCCCTCTCGACATACCCCCTCCCTAACTATACATAAACCCCTCTCGACAGACCCCCTCCCTAACTATACATAAACCCCTCTCGACAGACCCCCACCCTAACTATACATAACCCCTCTCGACAGACTCCCTCCCTGACTATACATAAGCCCCTCTCGACAGACTCCCTCCCTGACTATACATAAGCCCCTCTCGACAGACCCCCACCCTGACTACATAAACCCCTCTCGACAGACCCCTCCCTGATAACATAACTCACTACCCCTCTCTAACTACCTCTCCTCTCAGTCAGAGTGAGTTGAACACTAAGCGGATAAAGGACGAGGAAGGTAAGGTAGTAGTGGTTAAAGAGCTGAGAGCTAGTGTTAGTGGTGGGGCTCCTGGTGACGTCATCACTGCTGCTAACCCTGCTTCTCTGATAGAACATCTCCGAGAGAATCACAAGAGTGTTGATCCTGAGTACACGGAGGTACATTGTAAGGGGTGGATTACTTCTGTTTTACGTTGGCTTGCAGTTTGTTTTAGAGGGTTATATTATATTGGGAATATTGGTGGAGTTGTAGGGTTTGGTTTTTTAAGATATGATACCGAGGGTGGGGGAAGAAGTCGCATACTTTACATTATAAAGACTACCTTGGAAATCTATGAATAAATAACTGTAGACACAAGAATACAAATCTCTCAATTCTCTGCTGAACTATTAGTGCTTTGCCCCTCCTCTCATTTTCTACTGACCTATCAGTGCTTTGCCCCTCCTCTCAATTCTCTGAGTCTCTGCTGACCTATCAGTGCTTTGCCCCTCCTCTCATTCTCTACTGAACTATCAGTGCTTTGCCCCTCCTCTCATTCTCACTTACCCCTTGTTTCAGTGCTTTGCCCCTCCTCTCATTCTCACTTATCCCTTGTTTCAGGATTTCTTCGTAACATACAGGGTATTCCTTAAAGAAGACGTAGAACAACTGACCAGCTCTCTTCTACATTGGTTTAAAGACAGTGGATACAGATACAAGATACTATCTATTGTCACGTCCTGGGTGTCTGCTCATTTTACTGACTTCGACTACAACCCCAAGTTAGTACTTATAGAGTTATAGTGGTATCTTTTAGTGGTCCTTTTAGTGGTCCTTTTAGTGGTCCATTTAGTGGTCCCATTAGTGGTCCTTTTAGTGGTCCATTTAGTGGTCCCATCAGTGGTCCTTTTAGTGGTCCATTTAGTGGATTATAGAATATACATTCGTTTTATAGATCTGGATTTTAATCGGTATGCTGGAAGCTGATCGGTATGAAAATCGCTGTCACGTGTTCGACAAAATATGGTTAACCTCCAGTTTCTAGATCTGTCAATACTTTATGAAAAAATATACAGAAAGGAAATGTTAACACGTCATCACTGATACGTTCTCTCTCTCTCTCTCAGTGGAGAATAACACTCCCAAATATCCAATCATACAGACATAGGCAAGCTTACCGCGCACGACGTTTTTTCTTTTTTGTTTCGTCCTTTCCGTGTGTGCCGTTTTGTGCCACCCTCTCTGCTGTTCCTGCGCAATTGCGCTCATTCGCTCTTCAATGGGCTGTTCAATTGACAGAGTTACTGGCTGGCACTCCAAACATCTTCTCACTCACAATCACCATCAATCAAATTCAAAATTATGCAATCAATCACTATACATCCACGATCATATGATCAAAACACAAAACTTTGTTATATACTGTTTCTGTTTGAGATTTGAATAACGTTACTGTAATGTTTCAAATTATATTTTAAATGTTCAAAATGTACAGATTGTTATCGGTATTGTCAAGGTATTGTCAAGGTATTGTCAAGGTATTGTCAAGGTATTGTCAAGGTATTGTCAAGGTATTGTCAAGGTATTGTCAAGGTATTGTCAAGGTATTGTCAAGGTATTGTCAAGGTATTGTCAAGGTATTGTCAAGGTATTGTCAAGGTATTGTCAAGGTATTGTCAAGGTATTGTCAAGGTATTGTCAAGGTATTGTCAAGGTATTGTCAAGGTATTGTCAAGGTATTGTCAAGGTATTGTCAAGGTATTGTCAAGGTATTGTCAAGGTATTGTCAAGGTATTGTCAAGGTATTGTCACTTAGGTATTGTCAAGGTATTGTCAAGGTATTGTCAAGGTATTGTCAAGGTATTGTCAAGGTATTGTCAAGGTATTGTCAAGGTATTGTCAAGGTATTGTCAAGGTATTGTCAAGGTATTGTCAAGGTATTGTCAAGGTATTGTCAAGGTATTGTCAAGGTATTGTCAAGGTATTGTCAAGGTATTGTCAAGGTATTGTCAAGGTATTGTCAAGGTATTGTCAAGGTACCCTATCATGATTAGTTTTTTACCTCCCATAAACTGATAAACCAACGTCCCTTTGTTACACGCCTATAAATGTGAGAGCCTTGTACTATAAGATATCATACCTTTCCAGACTCGTTCAACTACTACTATAAAAGGTGTGGATTCTGGCGGGGAGGCGGGAGGTGAGACAAACTGTGATCATTGGTTTTAATTGATTAATAGTTGAAGCTAATTGGTTAATTGCTGTCACGCGTACCTCGCCTCCCCACCAGAATCCACATCTATAACTACTACCATAACTTCTATAACTACTACCATAACTTCTACACACAATGCGAACCTGTAAAAGTTAGAGCTGTTAAGTGACAGTGTGGGGTCTGTAATTCTCACAGTTCCTCTAACCTTCCTCTAACCTTCCTCTAATCATAACAAGGAGCTAACTTTCCACCCTAATGATGTAACTTTGTTATTATAAATAACAATAACAATAGGAGTCCCTGTAATTGAGTATAACTATGTACACACTACATTACAAACTATGTACACACTACATTACAAACTATTTACACTGGACTGCATTGTTTAAACCCCCTCTAAAGAGCATTGTTTTGTTTTAGAGTCCAGGTTGTAGTAGCGTGGTCCAGGGTGATAATTACAGAGCTCTGATTCCAGTACTAGATTGTGTGTTTGTTTGTCACAACACTAGCTCAACTCACTAGCTCAACTCACTAGCTCAACTCACTAGCTCAACTCACTAGCTCAACTCACTAGCTCAACTCACTAGCTCAACTCACTAGCTCAACTCACTAGCTCAACTCACTAGCTCAACTCACTAGCTCAACTCACTAGCTCAACTCACTAGCTCAACTCACTAGCTCAACTCACTAGCTCAACTCACTAGATCAACTCACTAGCTCAACTCACTAGCTCAACTCACTAGCTCAACTCACTAGATCAACTCACTAGCTCAACTCATAAGCTCAACTCACTAGCTCAACTCACTAGCTCAACTCACTAGCTCAACTCACTAGCTCAACTCACTAGCTCAACTCACTAGATCAACTCACTAGCTCAACTCACTAGCTCAACTCACTAGCTCAACTCACTAGCTCAACTCACTAGCTCAACTCACTAGCTCAACTCACTAGCTCAACTCACTAGCTCAACTCACTGGATCAGTTTAATAGCAACTCATGTGTAATAATATTCGTATATAGGATATAATCCTTGAGTCTGCCGTTTTCTGACAAAAGTGCTTAAGTAACATTTTGGAAATTTCGGGTTTTTTGGTCTAACTTTTGTTTTTGGGTCAAGAACTATCCCTGAGGACCATTGGATACATTCGCCGACCCCCCAAAACCCCCTTTTTGGAACCCCCTAAAATGCAAAAAGTGGTCATTTTTCTGAGAAAAGTGCTTAAGTAACATTTTGGAAAACGGGTGCCGTTTATTTCAAAAATGGTGCCATTTCGGGAATTGAAAACGGTGGCATTGTTTTCTACGTCCAAAACTGGCCTAGTGACGGCAATTTGGTGATCGTGGGTCTTTTGGCCTGGGAAAAAACAATTTATGTCACTTAAGCACTTTTGTGAAAACGGGCTCGTTTTCTCACAAAAGTGCTTAAGTGCCATTATACGTTTAATTAAATGTTGATTCTGCCAACTGAAACTATATAATCGGTACTAACAAATCTAAATTTTCACGGCGGATCGATTGGTGATGGTCATAAACTTCAGAAACTCTAGCTTCACCGTCAAACTTGCCGATTTGTCAATGCAGAACGTTTCAAAATATACGTCATAATTTGCTTTACAATTTTGTATTCTCTTATAAGTTGAGACTGGCGGGATTATCGACAGGCAAGGGAACATTACCAAAGAGATAGAAACGATTTGCCTCACTGATCCTTCTCTGTTGATATGGAGAAAGTTCTTTAACTACCACACATGCCGGAGTACAAGGAGGCGATTTTTACAAGACGCCTTGTCACATTTAACGAGACCTTCGCGAGGCTGGGGTCAGACGGAGCTCCTTTAGCGATTCTTTGGAATGCGTCAATCGCAGGAAGGAAAGAAGAGAATGTGTCCTCGAGTTGGATAAGGGCAATAAAACATTTTGCCGCAGGCAAGATTGGTGGTAGCAGGGAGATCATTTTTTGGGCAGACAATTGTTCTGCTCAAAACAAGTGTTGGACTTTATTTACTGCCCTATGTTCAATTATCAACAGCCCAGATGTTGACCTGGACAAGATAACGGTCAAGTATCTAGAGCCAGGGCACACCTTTATGAGTGCAGACTCATTCCACCATAAAGTGGAGTTGTCCATTAAACAATCAGGTCAACTTCATGATTATAAGGACTTTGTTCAGGCAGTTGAACAATGAACAGGTGGGTACAGCTGCGATAAGCATGAACTGCACAGACTTTGAATCGTAGCCAAGGTCCTACGGAACAAGAAACCGTTATAAAACTGAGAGATCTCTCTTAAAACTAAAAGATGTTTAAGTTGTAAGTTTCCAGCGTGGGTCTGTAGAAATGGGATGGAAAACAAATCATGACGAGGTTTCCTTTCATTTCACTCCATTTCTCAGACAAAAAGACGAGAGACTCATTTCCATAGGTTGCAAAATAGCTTACTCCCAAAAAACAAGACATTATACGTAAACTGTGCAGGCTTATGGCCCCGAGTAGTAGGGTATTCTGGATGAACTTGCCTGATAGTACAGATATAACAGATCTTAATCGAGTGTTTGACTAAAAATCATCTATTTCTTGTATTATTTACCATTTATTTATTTACAGTATTATTCACAATTATGTTACATTTTTATACGCTTGTTTTTCTTTGCCTCGCGTTACGATATCAATGATTCGCAAATAATTGGTCTTTATGAAGAAAGCCTCATCTGAGTTCTTAATTTAATTTCTAAAGAAAGAAACTTATTAATTATTATAACCCTGTACTTTCACCAATCAACTCTTCGTTGAAATGCTGGTAGAATTCCGACTATTTTTTAATACGCTGGGGAGAAGGGAGTGTTTTCGTGTTCTTAAACCACCACCAATCAATTTGTCGTACAATTTTAGGTCAGATTGATTGCAGATAAAGTTCCCACTAATGTGGCTGTACTTAAGCACTTTTCTCAGAAAACAAAATTTTCAAATTTTCAATTTCAGCGTGTCCCCTTTTTACAACCAATGTTTCATCACAACAGTTTAAGGCTCATTTTTCGTTTTACTTTCGATGACCAATGGTTTGAACGGGTCATTTTCATCAGAACATGGAGCTTTTGCTGATGTGGCTGTACTTATGCACTTTTCTCAGAAAACGAAATTTCAAATTTTCTATTTCAGCGTGTCCCCTATTTACAACCAATGTTTCATCACAACATTTTTAGGCTAATTTTTCGTTTTACTTTCGATGACCAATGGTTTGAACGGGTCATTTTCAACAGAACATGTAGTATTTGCCGATGTGACTGTACTTAAGCACTTTTCTAAGAAATCCAAACTATAATTTGTGATTTTGAGGCACTTTCCGAGAAGTTAGGATGATGAAACCTTGTCATAAGTCTCAAAAGTCGACAAAGTACCTTAGAAACATAGTGGATGCAGTTTAAATTGGACAGTAACTAGCCCAGAGCAATTACAGAATTGAAATCTTTAAAGTTAATTTGCACAAAATGAACCTTGTGTTACTTAAGCACTTTTGTCAGAAAACGGCAGGAGTAGACTGCAGGGTTAAATAAGATATTAATATGGTTAAAAACTTCACCTCAAGTATCCTACCTCAGTCACGTGTGTCCAATTAAAACTTTATATCTTGGTTAAAAGTTATAAAACCCAGAACATTCTGACAAGCTTTCTCAGGTAAGCTGTCCCATACTACCTGACACTGTGTGATGCCATCTTAATAGTCATGTGACACGTGTGACGTCATCTTACTAGTCCTGTGACACGTGTGACGTCATCTTACTAGTCATGTGACACGTGTGACGTCATCTTACTAGTCATGTGACACGTGTGACGTCATCTTACTAGTCATGTAACGACTTGTAGACAACGCACTTACCATAAACATTTAGTATTTCCCCTATAAAACCTGGTGATATTGCTACATTTAGTATTTCCCCTATAAAACCTGGTGATATTGCTACCCTGACCCACAAAGACGAGAGTACCTTACCTTAGAGTTTATACAATATGTGTTACTACACACCCCACACCAGAACCAATCAAATTACACCTGATTCAACAAAATATATACCCAATCAAATTTGCCTTCTCTTTAAAAACATACTGTTCAATATAGTGTAAAGTATTACCTCTCCATACCTCAATACTCATACACTATACCTCATTATATTGTGTAGTAGATTCACTGCAGTTTATTTGACAGATTCCTCCCCAAACATGAACATTTACTACTTCATACCGTGACTATAGCAACGAAATACCGTGACTATAGCAACAACATTTCACAGCAGCAATGTTATCTCCTCCTCACCGTATGATTGTAAAGAATGTTTGATCCAGGCCCTCACATTCCACTAAAACTCTCTCTCTCTCTCTCTCTCTCTCTCTCTCTCTCTCTCTCTCTCTCTCTCTCTCTCTCTCTCTCTCTCTCTCTCTCTCTCTCTCTCTCTCTCTCTCTCTCTCTCTCTCTCTCTCTCTCTCTCTCTCTCTCTCTCTCTCTCTCTCTCTCTCTCTCTCTCTCTCTCTCTCTCTCTCTCTCTCTCTCTCTCTCTCTCTCTCTCTCTCTCTCTCTCTCTCTCTCTCTCTCTCTCTCTCTCTGCACACTAATCCTCTATATAATAGCTCCATCTTGCTAGTAGTAACAGTACCCTCTCTATTTCTCTACACTCGACTAATGCAATGGGGGACCTGGAGTGGTTTCAGTGAAATACACCCGAACAAATATTATTTATAGCGCAAGTGTTTACAAATCCTATTTAGTGTTTACTAAAGCTGTGTTATTAAAAGGGTGGTGGTCTAGAAATTAAGAGTTGAACAAGTTTATATTTTGAATTGTTTTGATTTAATTGTTTCCGCAGAATTTACCGAAAACTCGTACTACAGAGAAAATAGTGGCAACGTTAGAAAATTAGAATGAGTCCAATCGTGTGATATTACATGGGGTGTAGATAAGGAGAGGAGAGGTTTTTATGGAGATTAAGCGCATTCAAATTTAAAAGCTTGACCATTACTGGAATAATCGGATTATATTGTGTTAAAGTATTAGAAGCTAGATAGTGTTATTCTTATTCTCTGCTGAATGGTTTATGCTTTCGGACTCTAAATGAAGGTTAAAACAGGTTTTTTAAATGAAAATATTAGAGAATTGGTTCACGTGCTGAAACTTGTACAGTGAAGTAGCTATTTAAGGGGGCATACACCAAAACAGTGGTTTGTGCCGTCCAGACCAAATGACCTCATAAGCAGTTCAGTGACCTTCTAGCGCACCGTTTCCACACCAAAAAAAATTATTTTGAGAATACCCATTTTTGTAATCGAGCATTTCCTGGTTGAGAGTGCAATTTTCGGAAAAAATTATTTTGTGGCTGAGACGCTATAAGTTAATCATTTCTTGCGGTATCGGGTTGAAATTTTGCTCGCCGTTTATTCACATCTATTTCAAGATGTGTGTAAAATCTTGATATCGTGTCTAAAAAGGCTGGTGTGTTATGAATTTTTAAAGTCAAAAAGCTAAAATTGTCCTTTTCAGGCTTATTTTAACAAAAAGACAGTCAGGGAAGATCGGATTGGTTTGATGCTTAACATCAAATTGTTCTCTGAATTCTGGCGCAGTTTTTGATGCCCTCAAAAACGTTTTTACTCATTCAGCTTCAAATCTATTGGACCTCAAAGCCAAACAACAAATTTAGGCACATTTTTCGATTTTAATATTTACTGATTTTTCTAAAATTTTGATAGGAATATGCTAGTGACTTTTTGAAGGGTGCAAAATAACCGCAACTAGCACATTTATATATGAGTTATGAACAACAAAACACCCTAAAATGCTTCCCTTTGAAGTTATGGGAGAAAATGTGATTTTTTGGCTTTGCAGATAAAAAATCACATTTTCTCCCATAACTTCAAAGGGAAGCATTTTAGGGTGTTTTGTTGTTCATAACTCATATATAAATGTGCTAGTTGCGGTTATTTTGCACCCTTCAAAAAGTCACTAGCACATTCCTATCAAAATTTTAGAAAAATCAGTAAATATTAAAAACGAAAAATGTGCCTAAATTTGTTGTTTGGCTTTAAGGTCCAATAGATCAGAAGGTGAATGAGTAAAAACATTTTTGAAGGCATCAAAAACTGCGCCAGAATTCAGAGAACAATTTGATGTCAAGCATCAAATCAATCCGATCTTCCCTGACTGTCTTTTTGTTAAAATAAGCCTGAAAAGGACAATTTTAGCTTTTTGACTTTAAAAATTCATAACACACCAGCCTATTTAGATACGATATCAAGATTTTACACACACCTTGAAATGGATGTGATTAAACGGCGAGCAAAATTTCAACCCGATACCGCAAGAAATGATTAACTTATAGCGTCTCAACCACAAAATAATTTTTTCCGAAAATTGCACTCTCAACCAGGAAATGCTCGATTACAAAAATGGGAATTCTCAAAATAATTTTTTTTGATGTGGAAACGGTGCGCTAGAAGGTCACTGAACTGCCTATGAGGTCATTTGGTCTGGACAGATTTGGTGTATGCCCCCTTAAAGTTATATCTGACATTAGAAGTTCGAATTTTTCCTCTTGCAAATTTATAGTCAATCTCCTATTACAGCCGTTCATAACAATGGAACGTGTAAAGTTTTTAAACATTGATCGTTTTAAGACATTAAGTTATTTCTAGCGATTTGAAAAGTCACATAACACAGAACTCAGACATCTTTTCGTGAGTTAAATAAGTAAATTGCAGAAAACCTCCAAGTATGCACAAAACAAACCACAACATCAAACCCAACAACTCCCCTCCCAACAACTCCCTCACCCCTCCCAACAACTCCCCCCCCCCCCCCACAACAACTCACACCATCCCCGCAGGTTGTGGAAGTTTCTAGAAGATTTCGAGTCGGAGCTGAGAGTGTGGAACCTGAAACAGGAACTAACCCAGTTCAGGCAGCTGTGTAACAACAGGACGCTACTCAGGACTATAACTATATCACGTGATAAGGCAGATCCTATACCGTTACTTGTGGGGGGAGCTCAGATCGGGTGAGCAATTTGTTTGTTGAGATCGTAATAGTGTTATTGTTACTGAAATCTTATTATTGTGGATCTTTCTTACCCTTTTTAGTCGTTTTGTGCCTTTGTACTGTTGTTACATGTATGATTTAAGTGAAAAAAAGGGATACATTTGAGTGGCTGTTGAATGTCAATGCACAATGCACATGAGTTATTATATTTGAACTTACAATTTTGAAGTTTTGTACGGTTCGTCTGATACCACAGTGGAACAATCTCTACTACTCCGCGCCACAATGCAACACTATCTCGCTATATCCCGATATACTTCTACTCTGCACTGAACTAGGGTTATACTATAAGTTATAACTCACAGTTTGTTTACAATGTATTTACAATATAGTTTCTCTCTATCTGTTTATATTATATATACAGCTACATATCAGAAGTGTCCTGTAATGTTCTATTATTATACTTAGTGCTGTAAAGGTAAAGATAAGATTAGCGCACGATCAGTGCCAACTGAATAATGTAATTCTATACTATTTAGTGTTTACACCCTCTGTAGCAACATGTACATAGTGATTGTCTGTGATAATGATCGTGAATATGTCAGCTTTCACAGCTTTCACAGCGCTAATGATAGTCATTATGGGGCTCAATGAGGGGTATTGTGGTACAGATTACATGTGTTTAGCTTTGTGAAGTGTTACAGTGTACTGGAATCGTGTAATCATGCGGTGGGTGCTATATCTCAATAATAGCTGAGTTCATAATATCATGTTTACTGCTATTTCCAAGTGGTTTATGTTCATTTTTATTATTGCAAAGAATAAACGAGTAGCAGGTTCAAGTCCCCAAATACTATTTTAAAAACAGGAGTATAATAACAAGCCTCAGTAATATCCAGTACTAAACTGAGAATATTGAAATAAGTGTAGCAGTGCAGCAGGTGTAGTGTAGTTGAAGTGTCACATTGTACACAGATACTTGACAGTGTACAGCTGTACTCAGCTAATTAATATTCATGTCCACCTGCGTATCACGGGATACACTCAGTTATAGGTTACATCACGTGATACTTAACAGTGTCACGTACTCACGTGATAATGCCTCACTGATTTCACCCCACTCTTCTACAATTCCATCCCCAACTGATTCTCACGATATTGCTCCAGATTTGCAGATAAATTTCCCTAAATAGGTAGCAACGATTTTACCTTATGTATACTGGATACCACTGGTTGCTTTTCCCACAGTTCAAGTTCCGCTCATTACCCACGTGCTAATCACATGGTAACCACGTGACCTACTTTCACAGCACGTGCATTTCCTGAACCTTCACGAGTGCGCGCGTGCACCTGTAACAACTCAGCAGACATCATGTACTGAACTAGGGAAGTTGTACTGTACTACTATATAATAGTTGGGAGTATTAGTGGTACATTTAGTAGTGTATTGGTAGTGTGAGTAGAGGACACAGGGTAGAGGACACAGTGAGTAGAGGACACAGTGAGTAGAGGACACAGTGGGTAGAGGACACAGTGAGTAGAGGACACAGTGAGTAGAGGACACAGTGAGTAGAGGACACAGTGAGTAGAGGATACAGTGAGTAGAGGACACAGTGAGTAGAGGACACAGTGAGTAGAGGACACAGTGAGTAGAGGATACAGTGAGTAGAGGACACAGTGAGTAGAGGACACAGTGAGTAGAGGACACAGTGAGTAGAGGATACAGTGAGTAGAGGACACAGTGAGTAGAGGACACAGTGAGTAGAGGACACAGGGTAATGGTGTGTACTGATAATATCTAGTGGTGTGTACTGATAATATCTAGTGGTGTGTACTGATAATATCTAGTGGTGTGTACTGATAATATCTAGTGGTGTGTACTGATAATATCTAGTGGCGTGTACTGATAATATCTAGTGGCGTGTACTGATAATATCTAGTTATTGTCGGCTTCATACAACCAACAAAACGGTTCACCAAATGTGGAAAAAACAAAGTTTAACGTTTTTCCATCCTGATCGTGACCACAGCCTGCTGCTGCGAAGAAGATAATATCTAGTACAGCTGATATCATCTATCCCCACTTGTGAGGATGTTACTAGTGTTTACTACTAACTAGAACTAGTGCTGCATTACTAATATTACTAGTCTGTAAGTACTAGTATTACTAGTCTGTAAGTACTAGTATTACTAGTCTGTAAGTACTAGTATTACTAGTCTGTAAGTACTAGTATTACTAGTCTGTAAGTACTAGAGACAACATATAACTGCAATGTGTCCGGTCCACTGGGAATTAAATGTGTTGAAATGTTTCTTACAGTGCTGTATAATAGTGTATACATAATATTACAGACTGCTTATTACTTTACTACTGGATAATGGTGCCCGATAATGCTAAACTAAGTTGGTTAGTTCGTAAGGCTCTTAAAGGAATTCAGTCAATAAATTCCATTTTTACCTCTCATTGTAACATCGCTTATCTAAATTATCATTCTTCGAAACAAATAATCTGCCAGGCGCTATCACTATATCAGTACAAGTCACTACCCCCCGGCCCTCCCTATAGAACCCTTCATTTACCTCCCTCTCCTTGCACCCCCCCCCTCCCTATAGAACCCTTCATTTACCTCCCTCTCCTTGCACCCCCCCCCCCTCCCTATATAACCCTTCATTTACCTCCCTCTCCTTGCACCCCCCCCCCCTATAGAACCCTTCATTTACCTCCCTCTCCTTGTGCAGGTGTGGAACGTTTGTAACGAAGGTAGCAGAGGGAAGTTCCTTTGACACAGCTCACCTGCGAGCCAGTGATGAGCTGATACAGTTCAACGACACTAAACTCGACCAGTTCTCTGAGGATAGAATCACTAAGATGCTCTCACAGAGTATGTGGATATTATTACTACTGCAATCTATAAAATATTATATATTATACATTATACATTATACATATTGTGTAACTTTGATATTATTCGTTCAAGCATTCTTGTACTGTGCATTCCTCTGCAGTCTGTATTCCTGTACTCTGTATGATTTGATGCTCTCTCTCTCTCTCTCTCTGAGTACTAATCACTTACAGGCTGTTAGTTTTGCATAATATTATCTAGAACATCTCCATTTTTCTTATAATATACCAAGCCAGTTGTTCTTACCCAATTATACTGGTTGTGATGATAATGGTCGTTTATAGCTGATGTCTACCATGCTTTAAAGTTTCCTTCTTGGATATTGTTAGTGAAAGATGATGGATCATATCATCAACTGTACCATTTATTTGTTCATATCTCAGGTATACGGTTCACACTGATGGTACGGAGTAACAAGATAGGAACCAAAGACGCGATACAGCGATCAGAGGACGATATAAACAAGAACCGAGTGCTGGACAACCAACCTAGAATACACGTGAGTTTCATGTTGATCCGGACGGTGCCGGACGGTGCCTGCAGTTCTAATGACTGATTGTTGTTTTGATGCTACTGCTCTGCTGGGGTTTTGAGTTCACTTTTACATTTTCGATTTTAATTCTGAAAGATTTGCTCGTTTAAAATATGGCATATTCAAACAAATTTGCTGTGCTTTTGGGATTGGTATTTGGGTTTTGCTTGATTTTTGATTGAAGCACGTTTCAGAGCAACTCAGATAGCATTGGGAAAACAAAAGCGTTTTCAGGATTCATAGATTCGTTAAAACAGAGGAAACCTCAGAAAAGGGTAAATTAATTTGTAACGTTAAACCACTTTCTTCATAAGTTGTGTGTTACTAGTGACGTAAATGCCTATTATTTGAGTAGCAAGACGTAGTATACAGTTCACGTTATTGATATTTTGGGGAAAGCTAGATAATATTATGATCTAAGGTGATGGCACGCCTTTGTACACTGTACAGTGTACTCTGCGCAAAGCATGAATATGCATATTTCTAAATGATAGCAATTTAAAAATGTAGGTATTGTATTATTACCTCGTGTTTGAACCTGCTTGTAAATGGAAAAGTAGGGGGTCCGAAACTAATTGTAGGATTGTCACGAAGCATGTTGAAACCCCGAAATTAACTGACCTCATTAATATCACTATTGTTCTGAACTGATGCCTGCCTTCAGGGTCGACTTGAAGATTATCCCGTGAATATGACTCTCCCAAACTCAAAACTAGACCTCACTGGAGCAGACCAGAATGACATGAACGTCTCCAGAATCTCCATGATGTCATCTCGCTCCAACATGACCTCAACATCCTCGCTCTCGTCACGTGGGAGTGTGGGCCTGAACCGTGAGGCGGTGAAACTTTACTCTGATGATAATGTGTTCAAGTACATTCAGATCACGGAGGAGACAACTGCGTTAGAGTTGGTCTATATTGGTCTAGATCAGGTGAGGTTATCTGTTAGAGTTGGTCTATATTGGTCTAGATCAGGTGAGATTATCTGTTAAAGTTGGTCTATATTGGTCTAGATCAGGTGAGATTATCTGTTAGAGTTGGTCTATATTGGTCTAGATCAGGTGAGGTTATCTGTTAGAGTTGGTCTATATATTGGTCTAGATTAGGTGAGATTATCTGTTAGAGTTGGTCTATATTGGTCTAGATCAGGTGAGATTATCTGTTAGAGTTGGTATATATTGGTCTAGATCAGGTGAGATTATCTGTTAGAGTTGATCTATATTGGTCTAGATCAGGTAAGATTATCTGTTAGAGTTGGTCTATATTGGTCTAGATCAGGTGAGATTATCTGTTATAGTTGGTCTTATTGGTCTAGATCAGGTGAGATTATCTGTTATAGTTGGTCTTATTGGTCTAGATCAGGTGAGATTATCTGTTAGAGTTGGTCTATATTGGTCTAGATCAGGTGAGATTATCTGTTAGAGTTGGTCTATATTGGTCTAGATCAGGTGAGATTATCTGTTAGAGTTGGTCTATATTGGTCTAGATCAGGTGAGATTATCTGTTAGAGTTGGTATATATTGGTCTAGATCAGGTGAGATTATCTGTTAGAGTTGATCTATATTGGTCTAGATCAGGTAAGATTATCTGTTAGAGTTGGTCTATATTGGTCTAGATCAGGTGAGATTATCTGTTATAGTTGGTCTTATTGGTCTAGATCAGGTGAGATTATCTGTTATAGTTGGTCTTATTGGTCTAGATCAGGTGAGATTATCTGTTAGAGTTGGTCTATATTGGTCTAGATCAGGTGAGATTATCTGTTAGAGTTGGTCTATATTGGTCTAGATCAGGTGAGATTATCTGTTAGAGTTGGTCTATATTGGTCTAGATCAGGTAAGATTATCTGTTATAGTTGGTCTTATTGGTCTAGATCAGGTAAGATTATCTGTTATAGTTGGTCTTATTGGTCTAGATCAGGTGAGATTATCTGTTAGAGTTGATCTATATTGGTCTAGATCAGGTGAGATTATCTGTTAGAGTTGGTCTATATTGGTCTAGATCAGGTGAGATTATCTGTTAAAGTTGGTCTATATTGGTCTAGATCAGGTAAGATTATCTGTTATAGTTGGTCTTATTGGTCTAGATCAGGTGAGATTATCTGTTAGAGTTGGTCTATATTGGTCTAGATCAGGTGAGATTATCTGTTATCTGAGTTGATCTATATTGGTCTAGATCAGGTGAGATTATCTGTTAGAGTTGATCTATATTGGTCTAGATCAGGTGAGATTATCTGTTATCTGAGTTGATCTATATTGGTCTAGATCAGGTGAGATTATCTGTTAGAGTTGATCTATATTGGTCTAGATCAGGTGAGATTATCTGTTAGAGTTGGTCTATATTGGTCTAGATCAGGTGAGATTATCTGTTATAGTTGGTATATATTGGTCTAGATCAGGTGAAGTTATCTGTTAGATTTGGTCTATATTGGTCTAGATCAGGTGAGATTATCTGTTAAAGTTGGTCTATATTGGTCTAGATTAGGTGATCTTTGGTTGAGTGGCTATCACAATTTAATTTAAAGTAGGTATGTTAAAATACCTACTTTAAATTTTAAATTTGTTCTATTTCTCATATCAAGTGCTATTTAAAATCCAATATTTTATAATATATGATACATCGAAAGCATCCAATATGCATTTAAAATATGACTTAGAGACTTGAACAATTTACTGAAAGCGGTTACCAAACTAATGAGCATTTGATGGGTAATGGGTTAACTGTGCAGACAGAAATCTGCTACTTTCAAATCCCCAGGATTAGCTGAAATATATGACTCATCGTAAGAACCAATAACTCCATACATCACAACCCCACTAACTTTCCCTTTCTCTTTCTAACTTTCCCTTTCTCTTTCTAACTTTCCCTTTCTCAGTTCGAGATCCTGGAGGACGTAGCAAACTTTGCTCTGTGTGAGGTGATAGCAGTTCACGCGGGGGCAGTGAGACAGAAACAGCTGGCTCCAATGACTAAGAACCTGGCTAATAGACTGAGCCTCAGTTCCAGATATTATCTTAAAGATAACCGGAAGACGGACAGTCTTGTTCAGGAATATATTGCCCAGGTAAGGGGGGTTTTGGGAACAACATGGTTACCTTGTTCAGGAATATATTGCCCAGGTAAGGAGGTTTTGGGAACAACATGGTTACCTTGTTCAGGAATATATTGCCCAGGTAAGGGGGTTTGGGAACAACATGGTTACCTTGTTCAGGAATATATTGCCCAGGTAAGGAGGTTTTGGGAACAACATGGTTACCTTGTTCAGGAATATATTGCCCAGGTAAGGGGGCACAATGTCCAAACACGTCACTCAGCACTTTACCTCACTTTACCTCACTTTACCTCACTTTACCTCACTTTACCTCACTTTACCTCACTTTACCTCACTCACCCTCTAATTACCCTCTAATTACCCTGTACAGGAAATGTTGAGAGACACAGTCACTAACCTCCTACTGCTGGACCCTGAGGAGATAGCAAGACAGATCACTCTCAACAGTTTCGAGGTGTTCAAGAAGATCCGTCCCGTGGAGTATGTGACCGACTTGTTTAGTCTGAAGAGCGGCTACGGTCAGGATGTTATTGAGGTGAGTGAGATAGAGGTTTGATGTTTGTTTATATAATCAACGCGATGAATTAACATATAATTTTCAAGTTGTGCTACATTCAACATCATGTTCTTCCCTACCTAAATTTATGAACTACACTTTCTAGAGTTCATTACATAAATAAAAATATCGCTGAGTAACAAAGAAATAAGACACAGAATTTTGATGTAGTCATAATGATAATGTAAAACACACTTCAATTTGATATAAGTAAGTATGAATTCTTTGGAGAGAAATATAAATAATTTACCATAAAAACACACGTTTACATAGATTTAAGAAAAAGACCGGTCTCAAACAAGCAATAACACACCAATTTCCCTGTCGGCAGTGACAAGAAATAAGCACACATTATGCACATAATATAATGCACACCTCATGCGCTAACTTTAAACCCTTTACCAAACTCATGCTTGAAAAAACTCGAATCCCTTTAAAGCTCTTTGTACAGTTTACAAGATGTCAACATTCGCATGTAGTTAAATAAATTGTACATTAAGTGCAAGCTGATTATTAATATTATAAGTTAAAGTAACTGTTAGCTATTAAGTTAAAGTAACTACAAGTCATTAAGTTAAAGTAACTATAAGTCATTAAGTTAAAGTAACTACAAGTCATTAAGTTAAAGTAACTACAAGTCATTAAGTAACTATAAGTTAAATATTCGGTTTGTACACGTCCACAGCACCAAACTACCAGCGCCTGTACCTGCCCTTGCCTCCTCGTTTAGCCATCTCTACTTCACTGTCCAGCCCTTCACTCGACTCGTAAAGCATGTCACCTGAGTTTTCCAGTTCCATATGGTCTGCCAACTCTGCCATTAAGTCTCCTTCTTCGTCTTCTGTAGAACGTCCTGGAATAGACTACCATTAGTTTTCCGGTCTTAACTTTCGAAATAAAGCTTTTCCAATTAAAAACAAATTCCACTTTCAAAGAAATTAACTTCGTCAAGGATTTCATGGTACATCCGAAATACTATTAAGGCTTTCTGTGTCTATACAATCTGGGATGGATGATTTCGAGATTTCATTCAAGATTCAAGACATCCAATCCTATCAGCTTTACAACGATAATACGACAACAGTTTTAGACAAAACAGTCTATAAAATTATTCTCTTTTGAAAATAATTAGTATTAACAAGATTATTAACCAATTTAACTTGTCAGATTGTTACTTTAACTAACAGCAAGACATTAGACAATAACACATGGAAACAGTATGCTGTTATCAAAATAAACAATAGCAAGTGATTACCACTTGAAATGTTGCTTTTGACAGAGCAAATTGGCGCAGAAGGCAAGTTTTATAATTCTACAGTTCTTTAGAGAAAGATTAGATAGCAGCGTTGTGTTTACACTATCTGTTATTTAGAACTTGAGTATATATTATAATAATATGATATAAATTATAATATATAATTGATTATCACCGTGTGCTTACCTGTTGCTATGGTGAAGATTGTGAAGACAACCATTGTTACTGCGAATATCATTCTCAACATTCTGACGACTTTTATCTGCTAATAGATATAACTAATGAGATTTATTCGTGAACAAACTTTAACGATGAATTTAAATGCTAATTTTTTAAAGGGAAAATGTATAGTTTAATTATGTATAAAGTATCTCCATAAGAAAAATAGTAGGGGAAATGGCGTCAAAACATGTCACTTTCTCTGCTGAGACCTTAAAAACAGACCAAGCAAGGTGATAAACATTTGATAACTCAGCTATGAGACTTTCTTTGCTAAGACCAGGAAATCAGACCAAGCAAGATGCTAAACATTTGATAACTGAGCCTTGAGAGGTGCCGAGATCTCTTTAATACCCCCGGTTGTTGGCGACGCACTGTACCAATCATGGCCCCATTACAGGCCCCAAAACAGGGCCACCACGTATCTAATCGAATTTTAATTGGATTTTAATTGAACTATAATTCCCTTCTTATCAATTGGGACCTTGATTATTGACGTTTAGCGGCTACCTGCTCTATTAGGGCCTATTAATTTGCGTTTAAGTCACGTTTAGCTGAGAAAGTGCAAGGAGACAAGCAAACAAATGATCTGTCCGGGCGTTTAGATTTGTTAGCCGTAATTTAATAACAATTTCATGCCATGCGTGTCAACTGTTAATCGATAATAGTGCAAGCATTGTTACCTTCAGGTCTAATATCTATTCAGGGGTTTGACTTTTAAAATGGTTAGCGCGATATACTAATCGAAGTTTAAGTTCCTTGTCATTATTCGACCTTTCGGCTGCAGCTGGAAATAACAATAATTATTGGACTGCGTTATCAGGATAGTTGGGCGTCAGTCAAGAAGCTCGTCCACTAAGGGTAGACAAGGTTTGGCTGAGAGACAAGGGTAAACCTTCCCTCCCTCTGGTCTAGCCTCTCGAAAAAGAATCATCATATTCATTAATGTTTTTTAACGGTCTTTTTAGCAGTCAAAACTCACCAAACCACCAAAACTTAAACTCCTACAATATTCACTGTGACCACGTTTTAAAACCAGCTTAAACTAGCTAGCCCTGCTCTTTGTGTAATCAGTTGTAGCCAATTTTAATCTATTTGTAGCAAGTTATTTGTGTTTGCAAAAATATGTGGTCAGTTATTTTAGTCGATGAGTATATTGTTGTTGTAGACGTGGTTTAAGTTTAGCACAGGTATAATGTAGTATAATATGCCTAATCTAGAAACATAAACATACTTGGAACCCCCCATACTTGGAACCCCCCCATACTTGGAACCCCCAATACTTGGAACCCCCAATACTTGGAACCCCCCATACTTGGAACCCCCCATGGCCAAACTTGGAACCCCCCCATACTTGGAACCCCCAATACTTGGAACCCCCAATACTTGGAACCCCCAATACTTGGAACCCCCCATACTTGGAACCCCCCATGGCCAAACTTGGAACCCCCCCATACTTGGAACCCCCAATACTTGGAACCCCCCCATACTTGGAACCCCCAATACTTGGAACCCCCAATACTTGGAACCCCCCATACTTGGAACCCCCCATACTTTATGTTAGGAATATTTGATTTTTAAATTGATCATAAGGAACGTTTATAACATAATATTTATAAGCTAAATATTTGTCAATGAAAAAAATCTGTTTGGTAACACCTAAACCTGTCGTAAACCTGTCAAAACTAGATTTCAATCATAGTTATTACTTTCAAAATAAGCCAAAAATTGTTTATAATTTTATAAATGTGCGAATAATTTGAAAATGAGCCACACAAATATTTCAGAAATTTGCAGAGAACGTCAACACGGAAATGTACTGGGTAGCGACGGAGATCGTAATGGAGAAAAGTGCGATAAAGCGAGCTCGCATGATAAAGCACTTCCTGAAGATAGCAGTGTATTGCCAGAGTTGCAACAACTTCAACTCCATGTTCTGTATTCTGTCAGGGTTAGCTCATCCTTCGCTGAAGAGACTTGATGAGACTTGGTCTAAAGTTCATGGGAAGTGGTACAAGGTTTTCGAGGTGAGATCAAAAGTTAAACATTATATTGTATTATATCTTTATATATAAATTGTGCTATAATATGCTGATGACACCAAAATATGGCGTAAAATCGTGACTGGAGCGATGGGTGGGTTTTACCCAAAAAAATGTTAAGCGCGCTCAATTTCTAGCAAAATGAGCGAAAAGGGGATTTTTAGTGTTTCCCACTTTCAGCTATTTGTCTACACCCTGGATGGAATCGCACTAGATTTCGTGCAGAGCGAAAAAGACCTTGAGGTCTTTCTTAAAACATACCTAAAGTGCAGTGAGTGGAGAACATAATCACATAATCACCCTCTGTATATACACGCTAGTTCACGTTTAGGTTTAATTAGAAGAACTGTACGGTATATCAAGGACCGTAAACAAAAGAGGGCGGAGCCTTCTATCTAGCACTAATTAAAAGTTTTTGTGAAAATTGCAGTGTCGTCTGGAGGGCAACAAGTATTGTCTTAATTAACAAACTTGAAAGGGTACAGAGTCGAACTAGAGTACGCTACCTGGACTCTAGTTCGACAAGTACCGAAGTTCGACAAGGTTGATTCCTGGCGAACTTTAGTTTACGAAATAGAGTACGTGTCGAACTAGAGTACGTGAATCTTGGCTAGGCTAAGACAGCTAGACCTGATGCCAATTGCATCATTATACATTTATACAATAGTCAACTTTTACTGAATCTCCCATCTTACTTAACCCTGAAGGACAAAAATATATCTCTTCACATAACGTTATCTGAGCTAATTAAATCTGCTAACTGATTAATTAATGAATATTATTAACAGGATCTACACGATCTGCTGGACCCCTCCCGGAACATGTACAAATACAGGAACCTAATGAACAACGCCCCCTGCAGAGCTCCCATGATACCCTTTTTCCCTGTACTCAAGAAGGACCTTACCTTCATCCACCTCGGTAATTAGTTGTTATTAATTAATTAGTTGTTATTAATTAATTAGTTGATTACTCAAACTAATTTATTAATTAATTACTCTAACTACTGTAATCATGCTGGCCTTTCTAATTTCTAAAATCTTATCTTGGTTTTACTTTTAAAATGCTGTTACTTTAATCGTTTTAACTTTTTAACAAGCAGTTCAATTGACTGCTTGTTTAGCCTTAGTTCTCAGTTAAGCCTTTCACGCGAATCAATGGTTTTAAAATGGCTACTAAGACTCAGGTATTTTGTACAATGTACATGAGATGGTACATTGTCAAGCAGATTAGCAAGTTGTGCTTGCCAACATCCTAATCACAGACCACAATGGACGGTGAACTGTCTGTTCTGCTCTACATTGTGAAAACGTTTAAAACTTTAAGTTAAAAGTTATCTCCCTTTTAATGCTGACTGCTGAGGGAATAAGACATGTAACTGGTTCATACTTTTTGTAAAGTAGCGCCGATAATATCTGTTTTAAAGATAATTTCTGCGCTTCAATGAAATAAAACAGACAGTAGTTAATCAACAACATCTCAGGTATTGACACGAAAGTGGAAGGAGGTCTTATAAACTTCGAGAAAATGCGGATGATATCCCGTGAGATCCAGAACATCCAGAAATTCAGTAGCATGGAATACAACTCGCGGACTATGTTCAATTTGGCGGGTGATACCGGCTCGGCTGCTCGACTCAGACGCAAGGTTAATAACTATTCAACAGGAGTTATTGTAGAGTCTTATTTATATAGCTATTTTATTTGTTGGATTTAAATGTTCAGATTACTGACGTAAGTCTCCTATCCCTGAGCTATTTAAATTATTGTTAAAACGCTTATTTGTTGATCAGTGACCCTTAAGTCTAAAGGGCTATGATTGGATCATATTTGCAGAATGCAGACCACCTACTATATATATATACCTTCAATTCAATGGTATCTTGCTGACAGCAAGAATCGTTTAAGCACTTTTTTAGTAATATATACCGCAACCAATCTCGCAACCAATAAAAGTGGCGGGGGAGAAAATTATATCTTCAACTTTTAAAGCACTTACATTAGGTCCATCAGTCTGTCGATTTAAAATTTATAATGGGAAAGAGGAAAAATACTTTATATAATGTAACAATTTTGACCGTCATTCAGTTGTTTTGTCCACCATGACCTGATGACCAGTCGTCTAGAAATTTACACGGCTAGTCAGTAGTCATATGCGTCACAATATAATAGCCGTATTCGTTACTTTTTTGGAGATCTTAAAAATTCAACATTTGAAGCTGATCGGCGACTATACGATCACTTTTAATGACGCAACACTGAAATTCCCGGTTATAATTTATTTAATCTCTTTGATATTACATTTCTGATATTGTACTAATAATATTAAATATTACATCACAATAATATCTTAAACAATAATCAAACTATGATATTATATTAAGCTTCCTTACATTAAACTCAAGTTATTTCAGGAAAGTAACACTATTCCTACAAATAACGCTAAGAAGCTGTACGACAAGGGACTGATGCAACGTAAAGTTGCTCTCTATCTTAGTGAGATAGTTAACTTTGACGAGGTTAATATTACCATTATGTACCTAATAATAATATCATTTTTATTAAATAAATAAATGAATACACAATTAATTTATATCATCTTTAATAATATTTGATAATATAGTCGTGATGTAAGATGATACTCCAGATCGTAAGCTAAACACTCACAGACATGTTCTCTTTCCATCTTATAAAGATTATAGTGTTATCCTGACTCCGATAGTTCATAGTACGCTAACAGTAACATCAATAATTATCGTCTCTTCAGATTAATAATTCTAACAATCTCCCCTCAATTCTCACTCTTATCTCCACCCCAGGCTAAGTTGCGGCAGTACTCCCACGCGTGTGAACCACCCTCTCCCACCACCTTTGTCTCCTCTTTACAACGCCGCTCTCTCCCCGACCTCACTGATGTGAACAGAGGTGGAATACAGGCTCCTCCTCCACCTGACACCACATCCGACAAGGTCAGTTGTTAGAGAGACAATGTTAGGAATGTTCAGTTACCAGATAGTGCAGTGGTCACCTATTTTCTTTGTTCATTTCTTGTGATTTTTCTGCTAATATGGTCATGTTCTGTTGCTCAGAATACCGTTAGGTTCAATACTTTACTTCGTCGCAACTCACCAAGGTTATAAACTCTCACGATCCTAAATTAAGTGTTCCTTAGTTTTTACCAAATTAGCGCATAATTCAGGAATAATAAGTCTCCAGTAACTACTTAATTGGCTTGCATGTCAACTATTAAGCAGTTACAAGGATCACCACCTTATTTGAGTATTTTAGTCAACGTTTGTGGACTGTAATACGATATAAACCGTCCAATGTCACAATGTCACAACAATGTGTACGTCAAATATTTTGCAAAAGTGGCATTTAAATTCTCTACTGACACAGCGTAATAATACTGAGCTACAACATTGTTATAATTACTATAAAATCACTCGTGACACATTACACAACACATGATACAATTGCAATTATATCTCTGACAATTAAATCTCAAACTAACACCAAATAACACCTCATACTAAACCGACCCCCAAGTTTTTCCAGACGAAGACACTACAGAGATTCCCACGCGACAAGACCCGGTACAAGAGTGCTGATTCTAAACGACTGAAACATACCATTAAACTCATGCAGGAACACTTCCTGACGACAAACCAACACGACCTCTTAGAACTTCCTGATAACTCTAAATCTAACTCTAAATCTAACCCTGGCTCTAATTCTAGCTCTAACACAGTCTCTAATGTGCCTAGTTTGAGGAGGAAATATCCTCCTAATTTTGTCCCGACAATATCAGCTCCACTAGAGAATCCTTCACTTTCTAAAGCAAGTATCAGTCGTATAACTCTTGCTTCTAGTTCCCAATATTTTAGTGACTCAAACAATGTCCAAAATACCCCAACACGTCTGCAGAATGTTCAAAACAATGTCCACATTTCTCAAAACAATGTCCGGAATGTCCCTAACAATGTTCAGTACACTGACAACTCTCCTACTAGTCCACCAGCTACTAGTACACTGTCTAGAGATAGTTTAGATAACTGTACATTAACTTCAGACAGCAGATATAATCTCTCCGGTACTTTTACTGCCATCTGACAGTAAATATAACCTTTCTGTTTCTGGTACTTTTACTGACAACTGGAATTAAATAAATAACTGCACGTAAATTTAATATAACTTTTCTGGTACTGGTTCTTTTACTGACAACTGGAATTAAATAAATACTACAATTTGATATAAACTTTCTGGTACTGGTTCTTTTACTGACAACTGGAATTAAATAAATACTACAATTTGATATAAACTTTCTGGTACTGGTTCTTTTACTGACAACTGGAAATAAATAAATAACTACATATAAATTTAATATAACCTTTCTGGTATTGGTTCTTTTACTGACATCAGACTTTGAGCTAGTAACCATCTACTTTATATTTGTCTTTTACTGACACTTACATAATAACAATTCTGTAATTTACAATCAGAAACGAAATTTATTTTGAAATGCATGTGTTAACTTACATAATAAATAATTTACATTATATACATACTATATTAACTCGTTTTTTAATTTTTAGTTTTTTAATTTTTAGTTTTCAGTGTAAAGTTTATATTAGTGCTATTGTATAATTTAATTTGTCTCCCGATAAAGCACGTTTTTCAGGAAAATCAATCTCCCCGTTCCATTAAATCCAACATTTATGGACATAATATGCTGCGCTGAAATCACATTTTATATTGCATAATTGTTACATAATGTAATATTTGATCGAGTTGCAGGAATGTGTTATTGAAAATTCTCTCTGCTTACACGCTATGTTGTTGTCTGATTAAATTAGCTCCAGATATTGGAATTTTTGGTTCGTGTGTTTAGGAAAATACTCATAGAAAATATAAAAACATAACAACTTAAGTTAATTTAACAAATCGCGTCCACAACAAATGTACACTGCATCACCAAAGCACACTGCATCATAGCACACACTGTACACTGTAAACATAATATCTTCAACATTTCTACATATTCTAACATCTGATTAACTCAGACAGACACAGAAAGTTCTCTCCGTAAAAGCAGCTCAGTAGAAAGTGTGAACAGTAAGCGGTATCTGAGCGCACTGGAGAACGACATTCCGGGATTAGGGGACACGGCACGACAAGAGGATGTGGGACGACCTCGTCCCGAAGGGGCGGAACAGTTACCACCGGTAGTTCCTCCTAGGGTCGACAAGATGGATCTTAATAATAGTACGAGTTTATTGATGTGATAATTTTTGATTCGGTATAGTTTTGATTTTAGAGTTATATTAGTGTTATATTAGTAAAAAATATGTTAATGTACTATTTAAGTCTGATTTTTAAAAGTTTAAAATTTAAATTATGATAAGCAGCAGTTTAACTCGAGTAACTGGTTTCACCATTACTCTGAGCTTCATGTTAATTACCAGTTCCTCACCTAATCTAATGTGATTGTAACTGTAACATTTCAGCGTTACAATCATCGTTTAGAAAGAAGCTAGAACAATCCCGCGCGCAGTCTATAGACAGTTCAGTGCAGCCAGTCAAAGCGTTCAAATCCTCTTCAGCCAACAGTTCGCCCCACTCCACCCCTCCCCCTGTGTCACCGCCCCTTCTTCCTCCTAGACAACGTAGGAAGAGTGACGGTAGTGGTACTACCACTGTATAGAAATGTGATTAACTAATTATTTAGGAGTGTAGTTAGTAGTTGTTTAGGCTAATCTATTCAGAAGTAGTGATCTGATGATTAACTTCCTATTGAACTATCTTGTAGTGATGAATGTTTTTAACAGATTCTTATTGCTCGCATTTGAGCAGTCTCATATTTATACTTTACTTAGTATAGGTTTATGAAGCGACGATATTGAGATTGGTTAATTAATCTTGCTTCCACAACTTCATATCATTTTAAAAATCGAATTATTTTATAATTTATTCCGACTTAGTAATGTGTTGATAATTGGGGCTGAAGTCAGTGTATTATATTTTAGAAGAACTTTTAGATGTTTTCATGTACTCGTTACTCAATGCATGTTTTGCTGCTATGTCGAATATTAGCTATAATATAGAAGTTGACATGTTGGAATGTGTGTAGAAGTATGTGAAGATACCTGACATATTGTATACGTGTTGCTTTGAACTATCGAGAAATGTTCTTAAGTAATGTGATCTCTCATTGAAATGTACATTTTTATTTCAACAGAAAAATGTTGTCTTTCTTATTGTACATTGAAGATCATTTAAAGAAAGAAAAAAGATTGAAAAACTGATTAATAAAAACATTATGGGAAATCTTTAAAACTTCATGTTTAATCTAGTTTAATTATACGAGGCTGAACTATTGGTTTCTTAACGCACCTTTGGGCTTTGCCGCCTTTGCTTTGACCTGACTTCTCACCAAATCCATTCCCAAACTCCGCCAATTTATCTAAAAAAAACCTTGGATTTTCCACTATTGCGGATGGCGCGAAAGATTTGCTAAAACGTAAGTGTTCCACTCTTCGCGCAAATAAAAGCGCGCGCCTTATCTTGATCTTAATTAAGTTGTAAGTTAATAACTTGATTGACGATGTCAATCCGTCGAGATCGATGCGGAGCAAGAATGCTAGTTCGCGTCGAGAAGCGTTGACCATTGTTAATGATCTGGCCCGGCGCGCGCTACTTCGTAGCTCTTTTCGAGAAGAAAGCGGCGCGCGCTACTTCGAAAAAATTTAGACGAGTAACATCCGTCAAGTCGAAGCGGCGAAGTCCTCCAAGTTAATAACCCACCAAGACGCGCGCCGAGTTGGACTCGTCGACGGTCCAATTAAACCGATCTAATTAAATATGTTGTATCAGTGTATCACGTCGTGACCCCCATTCCGTTGAACGTATGTCGTATGACAACTAATACATAATATGTGGAACACATATTTTACGAGTATCACCCGTTTATAAGTCGATCTGCATGCATTTTATTCAACGTATTCAAAATTCATTTATATTAATTTACCCGATACGCCAATCTTGCAATGCATAACACTCTTTTCGAGCTTCTTGCAGTGTGCGTGAGATAATGGAGAAACAAGCAATTGATCGGGTGATAATTGTAAAACATTTGTTCCAAGACCGTACCGCGACGGTCTTGGAAAATTTATTTTAATACTTTCAACACTACTACATAACAAATAATTTGATAATATGAGTATGACGTAAATAAAAATCAAATCGAATCAAAATACAATGACACAAACATCATCACACATCGTCAAAAATAAATTTACTAAAGTTTTAAAATTAACTAAAAACTATTGGCCTAAACTGTAAACAACAAACAACAAAAAAATGGGGGGACCCCCAACCCATGTAGCTGAGACACTTCACAGCAAGTAGACCAAAGTGGCTCTTGCTTGTGAAAGGTGCGTCAACTACTTGTAGCGCGATGCGTTACTGTGCCGCGCCGAGCTGCCATGAATTGACATCGTCAATTAAGTCAACTACCCGCCGAAGCGATGGGTTGGGAGTCCCCCCTGGGATCATTTCGTCCGTAAAATTATATACAACATAAAATAGTACAGTAAAATATCAAAATTTACATAAACAAATCTAGGAGACCTCAAAGCTCGTCTTCTGGGGGATGAGGTTGAAGGAGCAGAGGCGGCTCGTGGGAGCTGGCTGGCAGTTTTGTTGGGGGTCCAATCGATGGACTGGGGGGGGGGGGGGGGGGGGGGGAGGGGGGCTTGGGAGCCGGCTCAAGCTGATCCCTCCAAACTACCGATTACATTACACACAGGGCCTTGTAAATGTAATGTGTAACACTTTACAGGCGACAGCAATAATAATAATAATAATTCTATACAGTTACATAATTGAAACAATTATGGCCCCTTATTGTGGGCAGAGTATGTGTCTTTATTGAATTGTCCTGATATAAACTTATCTGAGTGACTGCATTAAAATAATTTAAGGTGAGTTCTCTTAAAACTTTAAGACAATAGGAATAAATACTAGGACCTAATAAAATGAAAACAAAATGCAGCCGACAGCAAACAAACACAAACACTTATAACATGGTTGAAACAGGACACCAGTCCACACGTGTATGATCTCAGCCGCGCAGTATCATATAGCAGTCAAATTGCAAAGGGTCCTGGACCCCCAAATCGAGGCAAATCATAATAGATTACCTATAGTGGGATGCGCACGATGTGCTTTGTAACGTTTACAATTAACTATGTGTTAAAACTGCGCCGCTGAGTGGTCCAGGACTCCCTACAACACAAAATTTCACGAAGATCACGCGTGCGCTTACATTAAAACGTATGATAGTAAATGAAGACCTTTATATTGCGATTTGTTATTTCCTAACACTATTACTAATTACTATTAACTATTTCTATTTTAAGCACCAGCCACCAGATAATAATTTTAAGGCATCCACGGACGCCTGGACGCCCTCAATAGCCGCCTCTGTGAAGGAGATGTCATGCAGTTCAAGATGCTGGGCCGTTGATCTTCTTCTGATTCCTCTTAGTACAATGAGTGTACTTCTTAACAGATCAAATCTGAATCGTGTTCTGATGTGATTTTTGACTTGGCTCTTGGCTTCTTTTTTATGGTCAGCTATCATCTCAGAGACACGATCTACAAATACAGTGCATAGTGGTCCCATACCTCCAGAGGTTGTGAAGACTAGAGGGACAAAGGATCCTTTCTCTGACTGAAGTACTCTCTCTTCATACAAATCTTTCTTTTCTTTCTCGTGATCTTTATAGATCTTATCTAGCGTCTTAAATGTGTTTGTGTCACAGTTAGGATGTGTGACCCTGTAAACAACCAAGTTAAAATGAATCTAATTTACATTTACATACTTTCCATTACTATATAAGTTGATGAAGTGTTTTTTAGCAACATAAGGAGTACACATAAAATATCCATTGTGCTTCTCTTTATTAGTAGCATAATTTAATCCCTCAATCTTTCCTAATACTTCGTCCGAAACATACCAAACTATCATTTACAGATCCGTTTAAAAATTTTTTTTGAAAGCCTCTAATCTTATTTTAAAACTTAACACTGTCCCACAATTTTTGACATCCGAGGGGAATTTGTTCCAATATGGTCTCACCCTCTCCGGAAGAAAAGAACTGTGGACTTTTTTCATTTTACTCCTACTTTTACTGCATTTACTGTTTGATACCACATTAAGACCAGATCTGCTCATACTGAACAAACCAGCTCCGTAATTGGCCAAACCACTTATCATTTTAAAAGATTCAATGAGGTCCCCACGTATTCGCCGCTCTGCCAGTGTTGTTAAATTGAGGATCTCCAGTCGACGACTATATGGAGTACCCACCTCGTCAATCAGACGGGTAAACCCTCTTCTGGACGCTCTCCAGCTCTTACTGGGCCGCGCTCAGCCTGTCATTCCGCCGAATCATGTTTATGAACATGATAGCCTGAGGTCCCCAGGTAATCCAGCTCCAAAATGATCCTCCAACTTCCATGAGCCGCAACTGGACTCCACGATTGAACACAATACTCTAAATGGGGTAGAAGTGCCGATACGTTATTCAGCTATTTATTTCCATTAGAATTTGTCTTCACTGAGTCTTCAGAAACAATCAGAAATTTGAATGAAAGAACTATCAAATCATGAAACTCTATAACACTACACGAATCCACCAGATTATTAATAAATTAAGATTGTATAGAAAATTCAATCAACTTTGACTAAAAAAACGATCCAGACCAATTTCAAGACTCTACTATACACAAAAACTGAAAAAAATGGGGATTTTGAATTATAACTCCTTGAATTTTTAGCCCCAAAATGCCAACAAAATTCAAAATTCCTTACACAAGCCACAAAACCAGTTTTGAGGTGCTTCACTTGTAGCTGAAGGCTCCCAGAACTGTAACAAAAATATGTATGCCCATATTTGGGCATAAGCCCCAAATAACATAGTTTAAGACAATAAATTGGTACAAAATCGGTATTTTTTTTAAATTCCCCTAAATGCCCTTATGATTTTTCTTGTATCTTGTAGGGAATCCTCTAAGATTTCAGATGGTACTATGGAATAAGGCGGCAAAGGCCAGCTACACAATTATTTTTGGGCTAGAAGGCCAAACATTTCCCTACAAATAGAACCAAAACTCAGGCTCATGTCAAAAATCAGCTAAATTCCAATAAATTAAGGTTTAAGAGTTGTTTGGAGATATAAAAGGAGTCAATTTACTTTATAGTATGTTATCTAAGGCACAGACATAGAGTAAGAACTATTTTTCACTGCCAAAAAGCAAAAAAATTGGTTTGCGAGAAATCGCAAATTTTGCAGCCGCGCAGCGGTTAAACCGCATGCAATTTTTAATTTCGGTATTTCTTATCCTGCAGGGAAACAGTTTTCCTATCAGATCATTTCAAATGCATCTTAAACTGACAAACTCAATTTTGAGCCAGAATAAAGCCTGGTGGCCCACTGTGGAAGAGCTTTTTTTAAGGGGCTATTTTCTTGAAATTGTTGTTTTCTTCATCTTCAACTATAGTGTTATTATTATTATTATCAATGCTATTTTTTACTTATATGCTCATTGTAGCCTATAACAATTAACATTTTCATCATCATCATATTGAGTTTCTAATGGCAGCTTTAATAAAAAATACTCTCAGGATGTCTACAAAACAACTGGAGAAACAGCAATTCAACTTGAAATTTGCAGCCAAACAATTGGAAAGAAATGCAAATAAGTGTAAGAAAGAGGAAGGAGCTGAAAAGAACAAACTGAAAAGAGCAATAGAGAAAGGCAATGTTGAAGGTGCCCGGATTCATGCTGAAAATGCTATACGACAGAAGAATCAATATGCTAATTATTTGAGGATGGCATCTCGTGTTGATGGTGTGTGTTCTAGAGTTCAAGCTGCAATAAGTATGAAACAAGTCACCAGTAACATGGGCAGTGTTGTGAAAGGTCTTGATGCTGCCATGAAATCAATGAACCTTGAGAAGATGCAGCAACTTATGGATAAATTTGAAAAGCAGTTTGAAGACATGGATGTACAAAGCCAAGCAATGGAGCAGAGCATGAGCAATACTGTTACACTGTCAGTTCCAGAAGATTCTGTTGATTCTCTGATGCAGGAGGTGGCTGATGAGCATGGATTAGAGGTTGGTGTAGAACTTCGTGGTCAATCTGTTCCCAGCTCCTCTATTGGAACTACTTCACATGCTAATGCTGAACAGGATGAATTGTCTCAACGTCTTGCAAGACTTCGCCAACAGTAACTTTCCACAGTTCTTACGATTCCCGGATATTATAATACTTTAGATGAGCAATATAGCATATAGCTATTGTAACATGGAAACAACACTTGAATTGGCAGTGAAGGATATATTGTTTTATTCAGGAAAGAACCACCTGATTAAAAATCCTACTGAATTTGGTATTCACAACTGACAACTTAACTGGTGACTGATAACATACTAATGTTTTGCTCCTGGAATATTTTATCTACATAAATCGGTTGATTGTCTTCTGATTGACAGATAATGGCAAGTTATCAAGTTATATTATCTAATAGATCACGAATCTTATTTTCTTGTTACAGCATGCTATTTTTCAGTAAATATTTTATTAGTGTAAAACATTGATATTGGTTCCTTTTAAACCATGAATCACAAATATTAGATTGGTCTTTGTTGACGATGTCATAAAATGGGAACACAAATATGAGTCTTGATATACAAAGTTAGGCCACTTTACTTTCTTGAGAATGATTTGTCCTAAACTGCTTTTAAAACTCAATGTTAAAACAAAACGTAATGGTTGAAATTGACGACATTTTATGGGTTATAGTTTGTTAATTGTGGCATCTAGCGGAAGTGTTCACACATTACCATATCAGTAACAAACAAAACATTATCCATGATGTTTAAAAGTGAAAATGGAGGGTGAAGGTCGAAGAGGTTCATAAATACTTAAGATGTGGTAGGTAATTTGTGAAGACTTCCAGTAGAATGCTTAGTATTGGGCTAACTGTCACATGGCCAGTTGAATATTTTTCATACTGAAGCTGAAGTTAAGTTAACGATGCTTCGTAGGCCTATTACTATCCACAGTTATCTTCTTCGAACTGATTACGGTATAACATGTATTATAGAATTGATTTTGTAAATTTTAAAATTGTAGTGTCTTCATAAACTCATTGTGTTTAAGTCACCATTCACCAATACAATATTGCTTATTAATTTTTGATGCAAAATTCTCATAGGCTTAGTATGGAATCCAGCTATTAGTACAGGGAAATCCGTCTGAAAAAATCGATTTGCCGACACACAAAGCTTACAAAGGATTTTTGACGTTTTTGAGTCCTAATAGGTGTCCTTTATGGCTGACCAACTTTTCCAAACTTTTCCACGTGTCTTAAGGCCACTTTTTGCCACTTTACCACTTTTTACCACCTTTCTTGTTTGTCAAATATCTTTAGTTGTGAACATCGTAGAAAGTTGCAGATTAAACGAGGGTGTTCATATTATCAAGAAGAAAAACTTTTGTTGAGACAATTTTTTCCTCAGATAATCAATTAATTGGATAATTATCAATTAGCTAATTAGCAAAAATTAAAATTTTTTATTGGCTCAAAATGATTGGAATAGCTTAAAAAAGTAGTTTTTAGAAAAACTTCGAAAATTTTTCACTTACATTTTTTTTTCGAGACATGGAAAAAAAATTTCGAATTTTCGAAATTTTTTTTTCGCCAAAAGTTATCAAATTGCATGAAACGTGGAGAAAAATGCTATTAAAAAAACTTCGTGAATTTTTGTTTTCAAGAATACTAAAATCACTTATATTTGTAGTTGGAGTTCAGTAAATCTCGGCAGATTTTAGTAATCAGGAATTATTAAATCAAAATAGATAAAAGGACTGAAACTGAAAAACGTTAACCACAGGATATTAGAGTTTTATAATTAATTACAGTATATCCTTATTGATTTTTACAGAAACTGCACCAAAGGCACATTTAAGATCGAACCGATAGCCTGCTGTACTACGATAATATGTAATAAATAAAACATCTCTGAGTCTGTACCGTCAATCGTGCTAATCTGAACCAGCCTACCTGGATTACCATCTACCTCTTCTTTTCATCAATAATTAGACCGAGTTGTGCAAGAAATGTGATTTATCATAGCTCATATTGCATTTAGTGGGTGATGTAAGTACTTATCGAGCTGTATTCAATCACAATAGTAATATACGACACAATACCTTTGTATTAAATGGCCCTTAATGCGGTATATGAAACGCTTTATACCTCGATAGACCCGGTATAGTTTATCACGAAAACGTCTACTTGGCCTCATGGCTCATTTACAGCTCGAAGAAGGCAAGAAGAGACCATGGATACCAAGGAAGAGCTAGGAAGTAGGAAACAAGTGTAAATACACCTTCCAACATCTATTGTGACTTGTTTTCTATTGTTCTGCATACCACTTCATTCGCTATGCGAGATACCTCATACCTCAAATCACCCCCATATGTCAGGGTTGGCTAAATTCAAAAAGAGTAATATACGGGCAAAGGTAAGATCTAGATACGAGCGTCGGACATGGGCAAGAGCCGTGGGGTAGTAAAGAAACGGTAATGATTATGTTGGTTTGCAATCCGGATGTTGTGAAGTAAAAAGACAGGTTCTTGCCGCAGCTGCAGGATATTTGGGGGCCATGATGATAAGCTCTGGATCAATGTGGGACGGATCGAAGAACATTTAAATGAGCGAGTTGACATTTTAGGCTTTCTGATGTTTTCTTGCCTTCTTCGAGCTGTCAATGAGCCATGAGGACAAGTAGAAGTTTCATGATACAGTAAAACCTCTCTATACCGGCCTTTCGCGGGAGAAACGAGAAGTGTACGGTATAGTGGGGGGGGGGTCCAAGGGGAACTTTGGGGAACTTTGGGAAAGTCCCCCAAGATTTCTGAAGTTCCCCAAAAAAAAGTTCCCCAAAACTCCCCAAAATTCCCCAAAATTATTCAAAATTATTCAAAATTATTCAAAATTATTCAAAATTATTCAAAATTATTCAAAATTATTCAAAATTTCTCTAATATACATTAATACCCATTAATGTTAACATGTATGTTATTATAAGGTATAATCTTAACTTACTTGTTGATACTTGCAGCATGATAATTTTTTTGGCATGATAATTTTTTTGGGGAACTTTGGGGAACTTTGGGGAACTTTGGGGAATTTTGGGGAACTTTCTGAAGTTCCCCAAAAAAAAGTTCCCCAAAATTCCCCAAAATTATTTGTTTCATTGATAATTTTTTGGGGAACTTTGGGAAAGTCCCCCAGGTTTCCTGAAGTTCCCCAAAAAAAAGTTCCCCAAAACTCCCCAAAGTTCCCCTTGGACCCCCCCCCCCCTATAGTCTATAGATTTATAGAAACACCCCGATAAAGAGCGTTTCATATACCGCATTAAGGGCCATATGATGTACACGTATTGTGTTTTATTGTGATAGTGTGATTGAAAACAGCTCGATATTATTTACATACCCATCAAATGCGATATGACCCATATTGCATTTGGTGGGTGATGTAATTATTATGAGCTATAATAAATCACATTTCTTGCACAACTCGGTCTAATTATTGATGAAAAGAAGAGGTAGATGGTAATCCAGGTAGGCTGGTTCAGATTAGCACGATTGACGGTACAGACTCAGAGATGTTTTATTTATTACATATTATCGTAGTACAGCAGGCTATCGGTTCGATCTTAAATGTGCCTTTGGTGCAGTTTCTGTAAAAATCAATAAGGATATACTGTAATTAATTATAAACCCCTCCGGGATAGAATAAGATTATGATAATCCCGGCTCCCGCTAAATAGATTCTGATAATCCCGCCTCCCGCTGTTAGTTTTTTCCCGCTGAATAAATAACCCCGGCACAGCTTCTATAATCCCGCCCCGCTAATTTGGCTCAACAAGATTTGTTTTGTTTTGATATTCCATGAGAATTTCAACTGCGCACTGTCACGTGTTTTGATGACGTGTATCACGTGACTAACTACTACGACGCGCATTCGTAAAAAATGTCACGTGACCTATGGCTTAACGTAAGAACTATAAATACACTTGATATACGTATCGGTCTAATTGCAGGCGCTGGCAAAACTCCAGCACACTGCTTACATTACTTAAACTCTTACATTAATTGGACCAGTTCCAGAACTTGTCTCGACGGTTACATTTGATTTTGTCCAGTTAATTTTGTCGTGTTTGATATAAGCGCATATATAATCGTCTACTTTGATGAACTTCATGACACGATATCATTATTAGCTCCACCTTTTATCGCTTGCCAGGCTTAACTCGACGCCCCTTATCGATATTCATATTCATTCAACGTTCTGACTGAGGAATACTGTTTAGATATAACGCCAATTTCAAATGTCATAGTACCTTAGTTGTATTTATTTCAATTTGGTAGTCCCCAATTCCATTTCATGTTTTCCATACTGATCTCATATAGCTAGAATTAAGAGTAAAATGTCAAATTTGTTGGTCCTAGCACTAACCCGGAGGGGTTTATAACACATAACACCGGCACGCTTAAGTTATATTAAAATAACCCCTCGTGCTAAAGCACGTCGGGGTTATTTTCATAATAATCCCTCGTGCTTCGCACTCGAAATTATTATAAATTTTTCCCGCGCGTCGCGGGAAAAATTGAAATATAATCCCTGCGCATGCCGGGGTTATGTGTGTTATAAAACTCTAATATCCTGTGGTTAACGTTTTTCAGTTTCAGTCCTTTTATCTATTTTGATTTAATAATTCCTGATTACTAAAATCTGCCGAGATTTACTGAACTCCAACTACAAATATAAGTGATTTTAGTATTCTTGAAAACAAAAATTCACGAAGTTTTTTAATAGCATTTTTCTCCACGTTTCATGCAATTTGATAACTTTTGGCGAAAAAAAATTTCGAAAATTCGAAATTTTTTTTCCATGTCTCGAAAAAAAAATGTAAGTGAAAAATTTTCGAAGTTTTTCTAAAAACTACTTTTCTCCGTGTTTTAAGCTATTCCAATCATTTTGAGCCAATAAAAAAATTTTAATTTTTGCTAATTAGCTAATTGATAATTATCCAATTAATTGATTATCTGAGGAAAAAATTGTCTCAACAAAAGTTTTTCTTCTTGATAATATGAACACCCTCGTTTAATCTGCAACTTTCTACGATGTTCACAACTAAAGATATTTGACAAACAAGAAAGGTGGTAAAAAGTGGTAAAGTGGCAAAAAGTGGCCTTAAGACACGTGGAAAAGTTTGGAAAAGTTGGTCAGCCATAAAGGACACCTATTAGGACTCAAAAACGTCAAAAATCCTTTGTAAGCTTTGTGTGTCGGCAAATCGATTTTTTCAGACGGATTTCCCTGTACTATATAATATAGTTTTTTACATGTCCAGATAATCAAACACAATTCAAAGTGACACAAATAGTGCGGTACAATTTGTAGGTTGAATTTCTCATAATTGCAGAACGTGACAATTATAATACTATAATACCTTCGCTTCTGAGTGCTGAGCGCGATAATTCCCGACAGCTTGCTGGAGGGAACGCTCGGGCACGAAACAGTGAAGGTATTATATTTTATAATACGTTCTGGTTCCGATTGGAAGGGGTGTAATGTGATACGTGCGCATGATACACTATAGTGTCTAATATATAGAACGCCAGTGTTATTTGTTTTGAAACTTGCCGCCAGCCAGTCTGAGTCTATGCTGATAATACCTTGGCTTCCCTTGCGGGATATATCTGCAAACTATCAGCTCTCAGTGTCCACGAGTTTTAGTCCAGATATAATTCCCAGTTCAAGGTATTATAAATTTAATAAAGCTATCTTTTAAATGCTATAAAGCTAACTAAACTAAAATTAACTATTATATGCTAAATTTAGCTTTATAATTCAAATAATTTTGTTTTTCAAACCATGATAATATTGTCATAATATCTCGAATTTAACAAGTTTAATATCAATCAGGATGGCAGGCCAGTAGAATGAGGGTATGAGGATTACCACAACATGGCATCACCTGGTATCACGATAGCTACTGAAAGCAACCAAGAGTTGAAGTATTTTCGTAGGAAGTTGATCGGATTGGGAAACTATGGAACACGTGTGTATCTCGGGGAGCTAATTAGATTCAGTCCGAGTAGAACGGTCTGTTCGAAGATAAATGTTGCAGTTAAAGAGATGATTTGCCAGGATCCTGCAAAGATAGTTAATGCAGACAGAGAGGTCCGTGCATTACAAGCACTCCAACATCCAAATGTCATAACTTATCATATGTACTGTACCGAAGGTAGTTTCGTTTATATTGCTTTAGATCTCTGCAGAGGAACTCTAATTGATTGCATCGATGATGACAAGAAAAAAGACATTGATGGGCAACCTTTGTTGCCAAATTCTGACAATTTGCTCGTTAGACTGACTTCAAATCAAACTGACACAGTTATTGTTGAGCAAGATCGTGATTGGATGTTCAAAAAGCACCTATTGCAAGGCATAGCAGCAGGGTTAAGTTATCTTCATGGGGGAAATAGTAGTAATTTTATTATTATCCATGGCGATCTTACACCCCAGAATGTCCTGATAAAATCAGATGAATCCAATCATTATGGATTAAAAGCAATAATATCTGATTTCGGATTTTGCCGTGAATTAACTCATGGAGAAACAAGTATATCTGCTTCTCAGGCTGCTGTAGGAACAAATGGTTGGATGGCTCGAGAGCAGCTCATGCTAAACGAAAGGATTTCTACTGCTACTGATATCTTTGCATTTGGCTGTATTGCTCATTATGTCCTATCTCCGAACAGAGCAAAGTCTATTATTCATCCTTTTGGAACTAGCGAAAAGAGGAATAAAATGATTGAAAAAGACAAAAGGATATGTTACCTTTACGAAAATGCGCCTAGGAGTTTTATTTTTAAAGGCGACTTGATATTGGCTGATATCATGATAGGGTTGTGTGTCAAGACAAAACGCACTGTTCGACCCCATGCTGATGAAATCCTTAGCAGCCCATTTTTTTGGGGCTATGACAAAAAGATGCTGTTGTTAGAGCAGATTTTTAATGAGTACAAGGATAACATACAGCAAGTTGAGGTAATTAAAGAATTGGAGCAAAAGTGGAACGAGCATCATCCATCAGAGTTTTCTGTTTCTATTCCAGAGATTTGGAATTACTACAAGAGTTGGAGAAAGAAGCAAAAAAAACCGGATCCAAGCCCGACAAATCTATGTAATTCCCTGATGAGGTTAATTAGGAATACACGACAGCATTTCACAGATACCATTCAGAAGAATCCTGAATTGAAAAATGTGCTGGGATCTGGGGATGACACTGCTTTGGGTTTCTACTTTTTTGAAAGAATTCATTTGTTATTCCCTTTTATCTACGTTGGGTTTTACCATCATGCTTTTATAGAGAGCAAGTTTCAAAACATGTATGACAATACGAAATTCTTTCTTCGTGCAGTTTCAGTCAGTCATTTGAACAGTAATAATTATAGCATTGACGGCGAGATTGCTAGGATTGAGAATACTGTAGAGCAATTATGGGTGACATTAAGTAGGTGTAAACAACGTAAATGATTGTATTGATATCATGCATGTAGTTATTAGCTATGCAAAAATAATGGCCAAAAACGTGCTGACGTAATAAGTGATTGCTCCCTAATTAAATTTGATGTTGATTTGATTTTGTGGTTCTATAACATTATGCACTGGCCATTATTTGAGTGGAAGTGTGGCTCTTATAGTAATACTAGAAAGCCCGTACGGGCCGTGTTTACAGTGAGGAAGGTAATAGTATTCTTTGATAGTCAGTTATTATTGCATCAAAATATCTCTATGTGCAATATCATGAAAAGCTTTCCTAAATAATATGTAAGTCTTAAGTTTCCGTTTATATAGACATATGCATAGTATCGGTCAAAGTTCTCAGTTCATATGTTAGCTGACTTTAAACAGAGAGTCCACATTGACATATTAACCTTCGCTTAGCCTTAGAATAATTTGTTACGTACAAAGTAGTCTTGGTCTGTTCGTAGCACACGCACACGTTGGCTCTTGACGTCAATGCAATTAGTAATAGTAATGTAGGAGCCATTTTGTTGACACAATATGTGAACACGGGTATCTGCAATTTTATACTCTATTATTTTTCATATTTGAAGAAAGTGGGTTTTTAAGAAAGGAGTGATGTGTATTGTATATTATGCTCGGGTTCCCAAGACCATTTTTAAGTCCAAATATTCGTTATAATTTTATGTTTTTATTTCAGAAACTGTAGTGTTAGTTTAAAAGTAAGCATTTGTACCTTTTTATTTTCAATTAGTTATTGTATATATAATAACTAATTGAAAATGAATGATTGTATATGATAATCATATAATTGAGTGATTCAAATTATCAAGCAGTTTCTAACTCTCCTTTTGATTGACTGATCTAAAGCAGTATTTGACTTGCATTTTTTGGCATTTTGATTTTCGACGATAATGTATTCAAATCTAATCAATTTGTACGATTGAGTTTTAATCCGAATCGTTACGAAAATGTTCATTACAATCAGCCTGTCAAATTTGCATGAAGCCTTCAAGATGAGTAGATAATCGTAATTTACGTTTTTCATATCACGAGTGTTATAATTGCCCAATGCTTCGATTAAGAAAAATATAACTAAATCGTTAAAGTAACAGAAGCTGTTAGAAACATTGAATGTTACATAAAACAAAACAAAGCTATGTAAAAAAATATTATGAATTCAAGAGTGATTAGTTATCTGATTATCTTACAGGTTATGGCTTCCACGTTTTAACTATTATGCTAGATGAAGTAGTGGATTTAAAAGATTTGGATGAGATTGAGAGGAAGCCTAAATATGAAGCTTCAGTTTCTATTAGGGAGCCAACAGTTTTCCAGTCAAGCACTCTATTGAAGCCTCTTGTTCCCCAGTCTAGCATTGTTGATCAATACCGAAATCAAATCAAGCTACGACATTCTATGAACCTAGAAAAACAAACATTAAAATGTATGGCAAGTGAAAGCAAAGCAGCAAATGTCACTTTTAAAGATGTTGGAGAAAGAAAATTCCTTAAACTAGATAAGAACGTTCTGCTAGGGAGTGGGAGTAACGGAACTCGTGTTTATCTAGGAACATTCCGTCAGAGTGTAACTAATGATGAAACGCTGGTAGCCATCAAAAGGATCCAATATGATACTGAGGCAGAGTATAAAGCAACATACCGAGAGGTTGCTACTCTGCAGAAACTGAATCATTCCAATGTGATCAAATATTTATTCGCTGACAACAATGATGAATTCAATCTTATGTTTATCGCTCTTGAGTTATGCAGAGGATCTTTAATCAATATATTTGAACTCCGCAAAGATGTTTTTGAATGTCCCTTTATACTCAAAAATCGAGCTCCTGCTAACGATTGGTGGTTTAAAAAACATTTGCTTCTTGGAATTGCAAACGGTCTAGATTACATCCATCAACAGGGTCATGTCCATAGAGACCTTAAACCACAAAACATTCTTGTTCAGGGAGATGACAGCAACATCTTTGGTTACAAAGCAGTAATATGTGACTTTGAGCTCGCCAAAGAAATGGAGGCAGGGAAGTCCAAATTGTCTGTGTCTCAGGGGATTGTTGGTACCCAGGGTTGGATGGCTAAGGAGGTGCTTGCCGGAGGAGCACAAACTAAAGCTTTAGATGTGTTTGCTTACGGGTGTATAGTACAATTTGTCCTGGTAGAGAACAGAGATAAGCATGCAATCCATCCATTTGGAGCAGACATCCACCGGGATAATGCCATCATGGAAAGTAAGCGGTCTTCATACATTAGTACACATATTGCTGATATAAATGGCTCAATTCGTACTACTGGTCAATCTTATTATGTCGGTGAATTACTGCAGGGTAGAAGTGGGCTAGGATATGAATATCTTGGTGATGCAATTATAGCTGATTTACTCGTTAGTGTTTGCATATCAGGGGATAAAACTGTCCGACCTTCAGCTCCTGAACTGTTACTCCATCCATTCTTCTGGTCGTATGAGAAGAGAATTCAGAGCAATGAAATGATGTTTAATTTGTATAAACACGACTTTCAAAGACACGACATAGTGTCGTTGATGGAGAAGAATTGGAGAATCCTCAACACTTATACCTATTCCTCATTAATACCTGATGCATGGGAATATTATGTTTCTCATAGAAAAGCAACTAAAGGAAAGGTACCTTCTTCAAGACTGAGTAGTTCTCTCTTCAACTGTTTGATGAGGCTGATTCGAAACCTTCAGCAGCATTACGAAGAAGCAATTGCTCTGTCACCTGAACTTGAAGTTGCTTTAGATGGGAACTCAGAGTCTCTGGGTAAATATTTTTTCGAAGGAGTGCCCCTGGCATTTCCAGTAATATACATTTACTTGTTTCAATACCAATGCAATTCTCCGGAGAAAACTATTGAAGTAAAACGGAAGATCTATCAGCAGCAACTCTCCACTCTTATGAATCTCAAGAGCAATCATCGTGCATTGTAAACTTGAGTGGGACATAATTTTAGCAGTAGATACTTTTAAGAAGGGCATTTATAATTCATTTATTCAACGTTATTAATTTCGGTGTATCATTATTAGTTTAGATATCATCTGATATTGGCTTACAAATATAATTTTATCAACAAATAAATAATTACAGAGAACCAACCAGTTTTTTTGTTTATTGTCGTTGTTGGGTTTTTAAATGTGACTTTTTCTTCAATTATTTCAGATTATTTATTCGATGGATTGTTCAATTGTCAAACTTTATCAGTGTTGTATTTCGTTGATTGATAAATAAATGAATGTATGAGTAATATCTATCTGCTTTTTCTGAAAAAGAAGTTAAAAGAAGAAGTCATAGAGCTTTTTGAGTTTAGAATTAGGTACTATTTTTTTACTAATAAAGAAGTAAAGAGCTATTTCGTCTTGTCTTTGTCATTTTGTCGTGTTATTTAAATAGCCATGTTTCTTCTTTATGATTATCGGGAATTTATATTATTTTTCATAGTTAATGACTTGGCATTAGACACGGTGTTTTATTATACTAAAGTCAAGGATTAATTCTTTTAACCATTTTATTCTTTTATTGTATTAATTTTTTATTTAAGTTCTTTCAAACTATTTATTTATCTAAATATCTATTACATTGTTCAAAAATTTTGGATTTTATCGAAAAATGGTTGTACAGCAGGGTGTCAGAATTATTGGCGTGTTTGAAATTTTATGTGTATTTTATGATGAAATCAATATTTTTCGACGGGTCTTTACTTTACTTCTGAATATCGAAATTACAAAATTCAAAAACTGGTCTGTAGACAATCGTCTGAACTTTTTCTTAAATTCAGAATTTTGTGTTGATGTACCTCAAAACCCATAATTTAGGCCGTTATTTAAAGGGTCGATTCCATACTTGGTTAGATTTACGAAGGAGTAAGGGATTTATGTGTAATTTTTTTGGTGAATTTTTTCTGAAATTATTCTTTAGACTAAAGTGCACAGCTCTTCAGGCGATAGCGAAACATATAGAAAACTATAAATTTTATAAAAGCTCTCTTTCTCCTCTAACTGACGCAATAAAATATAGTCAGGCGGACTCATCCCGGAATTCAGGGGAAGCAGCCGAAGGCTTCAAGTCCAATAATCCAATTTTTTTTTTTTTCGTCGTAATTATCGACGAAATTTAACTTCTTTCGGACTTTATTTTTAGACTGAACTGTAGTATGAAGGATTATCTCTCGAATGATTAAGACTCCATAGGAAACTGACCCTCAGAAGTCAAGTAATTATCGTTTTTAAAAGCTTGGGTAAGCTAAAATTTTAAGCAAAATTGTCTGCGTGCCAATAATTATGACACCCTGCTGTATCATTACTGTACTATATTTATAGATTTCACCCATGAGACTTCTTGGTTAATCAGATGTTTTAAAGTTTTACTGACTGAACAATTGTCTTTTCTTCCTAGCATTTCATAAAATAATCTTCAATCCTCAATTAAATATCGACCCGAGAGTTATTCAGTACATTTACATTGAAAGTAGCTTGAAAATGATCATTGTATGTCCCATGATGCGAATGGCTCATAATCATTAGCCCGACCTCCGAGACGGGGTATCCGAGAGGACCCTGGTCGTGACCAGCTCTGCACCAAAAGGTGTATTCTGGCGCCTGAAATCTTGGACCGTAGTCTGCGTACGGGGTAGACTGCCACGGACGATTATGTTACATGGGCCGCTCACTGCATTCTGATTTTAGCCAGACCTCAGCAGGTGGTTTGTCTCCACTCTTGTTTCTTTTTTCTTGTCCCCCTGCATCCTGTCCTTCCCCTTTGCTTCCCCCTCTTTCAGTCTTCATTTTCAGCATCAGCCTCATCAGTTTTAGTATTCAGAGCCACTTGCTCCTACAACCGTACCTTACTGGCTCACTGCATTTGGCCCAAACGGCATTTTAATTTTCCGTTTTTTAACTTGCTTACTGTGCATTTCACTTTTTTGCCCTAGCGACTAGCGCGCGTTCGTGTTCCCGAGCCTGTCCCCTTATTCTCTCAGAACACCTCGGGTACACTTGTTCGTCCAAGTACCTAGTGGTAGACACGGGTAGACACTTTGACAGTCATCACACTGTTATGGATTTGGCACAGTTGACATGAATACTTTTTCTTATCAGTCATTATCATGTCACCCATCACAACATTTTGAACTTCGATAGTACCTCACGTGAATTTATCGACAGTTAACTCTCTTTCACTACGACATACTTAACTTTGTCACACAGTATCACATTTTCATTAGACACCTACATTTTGAGAATCATTTAATTTTCGAATGGAATTTTACCGAATTAAACCGAGTGTGTGTGTTTGAGCGATTTGTACAACATTTCTGTAATGTTTCAAATTATATTCAAATGTTCTAATCATAATCAATAATGTTTATTTACGATTTCTATCCACAGGTTATGGTCTCCACAATGACTCCTGGAGATGCTCTGAACCTACAGAAGCAAATTGCTAAATGGATTGGTACTGGACCGAATGCAACTGACGTGAACTTCAAAGACGTTGGTGAGGACAAACGCCTTATGTTTGATAAAGGAAACCTTTTAGGAACTGGAAGTATCGGAACTCTTGTTCATCTGGGAACCTTTCACCAACCACTTACAAATGAGCATCAGTTGGTGGCAATAAAACAAGCAACCGACGTGAACTTCAAAGACGTTGGTGAGGACAAACGCCTTATGTTTGATAAAGGAAAACTTTTAGGAACTGGAAGTAACGGAACTCGTGTTCATCTGGGAACCTTTCGCCAACCACTTACAAATGAGCATCAGTTGGTGGCAATAAAACAAGTTATAAACAACAGTAATGATGAATATAAAAAGAACTATCGTGAGGTTGAGAATCTCCAGCAATTGAATCATCCCAATGTTGTACGATATTTTTATGCTGATAAGTGTGAAGATTATGACATTATGTTTATTGCGCTTGAACTTTGCAGAGGTTCTCTAGTGGACATGTTTGTCCACAAACATGATGTCTTCAAAAGGCGATTCACTCCTAAGAATCAGGTAACTTGTGACGATTGGGGCTTCAAGAAAAATCTCTTGTTCGGTATAGCTTGTGGTCTTCGTTATATTCACAGTCAAAGCTATCTACATAGGGATCTTAAACCTCAGAATATACTTGTACGTGATGATAGTGATAACCGTTATGGATACAAAGCTGTTATCGGTGACTTAGAGCTTACAAGGAAGATGAAAGATGGGAAAGATAAATTGTCTGTGTCACAAGCTGCTGTTGGCACTCATGGTTGGATGGCCAGAGAGGTCCTTAATGGGTCAATGAAGTTGACTCCAGCCATTGACGTGTTTGCATATGGATGTATTGTACATTATGTGCTGTCTGAGAGACGAAATAAGCAGCAATCCCATCCATTTGGATCTGATGAGCACAGAAACAGTTTTATAAAGAAAGCACAAAGATACTCGTATATAAGCTCGACTTTAAACCGGCCACATGACGACATATTCTATTCTTCTCCACGTTACGATTACCTGGGAGACTCCATATTGGCTGACATGCTTGTTGACACCTGCATAAGTGGTGTTATCAGTTTACGTCCTAACACAACTGAGATATTGAAACACCCGTTTTTTTGGTCATATAGTGAGAGAATGAAGTGTAATGAACAATTTTTCAACACTTTCAAAGATCGATATCAAAGCGAAAGAATGATTTCATCCATGGAAAATATATGGAGCAGCTTGGAGAGTTTTGCACATGGGTGTCCTATCCCTGAGGTTATGGAATATGATGAATTGTACAGAGAAAGATTGAAAAGAAACAGACTCTTTAATCGGGTGAGGCTCCCTCAATCGTCTGTACCAGACATTTTTAACTATTTGATGCGACTCATCCGGAATTTGCAGCAGCACTACCACGATGCTGTTAAACTTCATCCACCTCTGAGTTTCTGTCTTGCTCCTGGAGATGATGAGACATTGGGCCGATATTTCTTTGAGAGAGTTCCTATGTTATTTCCAGTTATTTACATGTTTAACAGATTGTATGAAGATAGTAGCGACGGCAAGTATTCACCCAGAGAATTAAAAGTTCACAAATTACTCAAAAATACCCTGAAACACCTGCACACCAATCATCCAGCACTTTGAAGATATTTAGGATTTAACGTTTGAATTGGCGAAGGTTGTTGAAGGTTTCGAAACTGACCGGAACCGACCGGATATTTGGCTATGTAGTAGTACGTTGCTCACTTCTTGTAGTCAAGGTTTCATTCGAGGGGGAACATTTTAATCAAAACAATTACTTCGCCGTACAAAAAGGAATATTACGGCCAAAAAAATACTTTTGGGCATTCTGTTCCATCAAAAAGTACCTGCACCCCCCTCCCGCCTCATTCGATAATTTAAAATGAAGTATCAAATTAAATGTACGGCAAACGAATTGTCTTGATTAAAATCTTTCTTTAATTAGGTTCTGTAATTAAGTTCTGTTTTAAGGTTGAACCGTAATTGGGTTAATTATGATTATTTTAAACATATTTAACTGCTTTCTTTGACAAGTGCCCTTCTTGATCCTAGGCAGCAATGCTTTCTAGAGTGCAAGTCACGCACAACCAATATTTGTGAGTCTGGCATTGTCTCTGAATGAAAACATTATCAATCATGTTGTGTATTTGATTTTGCTAGGGCATTCGGTTCTATAAATCACGATATCCTTCTTCATAAGCTGAAGACCTTATATTATAACGTTGATGGTACACTTCTCAAAATGAGATGTCATCCACCCTTTCTGTTAATTCTGGTTTCCCCCAGGGCTCCATTCTTGGTTCCTTACTCTTTTTATTATTTATCAATGATATTCCCCTTGGCCTTTCGGATTATACTGACTAGCAGGAACCCGTATAACCCTAAAATGGTGTCAAGACTCAAGAGACTAAAATAATTATTATCTATTTAATTCGCGTTTTTGTCCAAATTTGGGGCTTTAAAACTTCTATTTCTTGGCCAATTTTTTATTTTTCCATGCTGATTTGGAGGCCATTAAAGCATTACGGTTTTTGCCGAAAGTAGCGTTAAAGTTGATGAGTTGATGCCGTGGTGTCAGTAAAATGGCACGGATAAACATATATCGTCTCGCTTTATATATAGTAAGATATTGTTTTGTATGCCGATGATACAAAGATCTAGCGTAAAATACGTTCATCTTCTGATAATGCTAATTTGCAAAAGGATATAGACTATCTTTCTGATTGGGCACTAAGAAATAAGATGCGATTCCATCCAGTAAAATGTAAAGTACTTGTTATTTCAAGGAAACCATCCTTATCTACTCCAATTGCATATAACCTTGATGGCTCTCCCCTTTTGTATGTAGGGCTAGAAAAAGATCTTGGAGTCGATATTACTCCTAAGCTAAGTTGGAATAGTCAATGCGACAGAATTTATACTAAGGCCTGCCAACAACTTGGTATGGCCAGAAGAAATGACCATATTGTCATTGATCATAAACGTTGCCGGGTCCTTTACCTTTTCCTTGTTCGTAGCCAATTCGAAAATTGCTCCATAATCTGGCGCCCTTGTAATAAATCACTTAGTGATAAATTATAAAGTCTCCAAAAGAGAGCTATTAAACGGATTCTATTTGAAGAGGGCCGCAGTTATCAACCTGAGAAATATGTCAAAAAGTGCAAGCTTGTCGACAAACTTTATCTCAAAAGTTTGACTTAAATGATCTTTTTTTTTTCCACAAAGTTTTAAACAATTTAATTCCTGTGTCACTGCCTCGCTATCTCTCCTTATATCAAGGCACTTCTCGACTAAGACGTTGCCACCTCGACAGTACTAGTATGTCTATTGTGTTATAAATTTACCTAAGTTAAGTCAGAATTCACACACCACCTGTACCTTAAATAGTCCACTAGTAGCAAAATCATTTTTCTACAGAACCCATATACTTTGGAATGGACTCCCTTTACAAGTTTACAGATAAGACACATTGTGTCTACTAGTCTTTTTAAATCTGGGATCACTAAGCATATTCTATGGAAATGTCTATTGGATAGTGAATAGAACAGTCTAGCCTAATCTCCTTGCTCCCCATATTTGTCTTCTATCTACCTTTTCCTTTATAATACTTCCAACATCATAACACTCTTCCCCCACACACCTTCTCACAAATTTTTTAAAATTAGAATCGGAATCTAGGATCTAATTTAAGGCCACAAGGGGGGGGGGGGGGGGGGGGGGGGGGGGGGGGGGAGTTGGGTGTCCGAGGTCAGTTTTGGGATTTCAAGATAATATAATGTAGTAGAGCTCAGTCAAAATTTTCAAATGCTTTTTGTCTCATAAAAAAAGAAGCTTCCGTTTTTGAGATATTGCGTGTCAAAAATAGAGGTTTACATGTAATTCTATTGTAAATGAAAACTTCAAATGAAACTTTGTTTAAAATCTATCTTATTTTCCACTTACAGTTTTTGACATGAGACCTTGTAACTCGGCAACAGTGTTTTTGCATCATAGCTGAGATATGAGGTTAAACATGAATGCGCATCATGAAATTTTCTACAGTTAACCTCATAAAAAGAGTTAGAAGCAAAATTTTAAAATTCGCTGCATTACACTTGACTGTGCCATAGGAACATATAATAATAATATTCCAAATTTGAGATAAAACAGATAAAAGCTCTAGAAGAAGATAGGATAGAAAATTTCAACTTGAGATTTGAGCAACAAAATCTTAAGAACCTGTAATAAACGAGGTTAAACGAGGTTAAACCTGTAATAAACGAGGTTAACTGATTGAATAGCCAACTGTTAACCTCAATTTTACGACAAACATGGCCTGCCCAACGTCAAAAAATGTGTTTTCGACATCGGACCCCCCTCCCCCTAGCCTGTGGCCTTAAAATATTGGAGCTATTATTATTAGATAATTTAAAGATGCTTTTAAAGCTGTGAAGAAAATCAAAATTAGTTCTAAGAACTACTTAAAATACCCTAGTAACCCTCTAGTTTCACGGGCAATTAATCGAGTAAAAGATATTGCACAATTTTTATCTGCGAAATAAAAATATAGAGGAAACCTGGCTGTTCCATCGATACATTTATTGGTGGTGTGTGTTAGGTCAGCAGGAGGACCGGCCACTGTTAAAGTTGATGTACCTTACAAGACATATTTACATCGTGGATCATAATTCTGGGGATCGGAATTATGGGGGAACGAAAATATGGGGATTTTTTTTCAGAAATCACCAAATTTCGTACCCCAAATTAAATTGTCGCATTTTCACGCTAAATTATTTCAGAGAAATCAAAATCAGTTTTTGATGGAATTTTTAAAAATTGCATGCCTTCCTTATTCTATTTTGTACTTAATGTTTTTCTAGTGTGAAACTAGTCGTTGTTATAGAAGTCTTTATAAAATTATATGTGAGATAATGTTGAATCTGACGCACGTTTTTTACGGAACACTGAAAAACCAGTATTTTCTATTCAGTAATTGTTATACTACCTTACTCGGGAATATTATGACTGGGATAAAGTGGTTGGTTTTGGAAAATTCTGCCATATTTTTCCCGGTCATTAATTTTCCCAGTCATGAATTAACCCGCTATAATGTTCCCGAGTAAGGTAAACTAATAGTAATACATTTTGATACTTGGTGGGTTTTGGAACATTCCGCCATATTTTTCCCGGTCATTAATTTTCCCAGTCATAAATTAACCCGCTATAATATTCCCGAGTAAGGTAAGTAACTTTCTATTTACCTGAGAAATGCGTATCCTTGTCTCACAAAACACGTAAAACAACAAATTTGACAAATTCACCTCAAATTAGCCCTATTTAAGCCAATTACATAAAAACTAATGTGTGGGATTTTGAAATGGCGGCCACAATTTTGGTAGTACAAAAATATGGGGATTTTTGGAAAAAATTCCCAAATTTCGTATCATATAAATATGTCTCGTAAGGTAGTTGATCCCAGAAATATGAGTGCGGGACGACAAAATGCAATTTCAGTATTGATTATGACCGCAGCCACTATATTATTTGAGTGACCGAATTTGTATACATTTTTATACATTTTTATTTGGCGTATTAATAAAGTAAAAAACTGCCTGTGGAACTAAAGGGTAAGGCCTTAAGTAGGGTATTAGAATTTGTTATAAAAGTAGTCTAGCGGGCAGTATGATATATCCCGAAGGTGCTCGTATAGCGCATGATATGTGTGTTCATGTTGGTATTATAGGTTGAGAGATATTTGCAAGCTTGGATGATGGCTGTGAGCTCTGTTTGATAAACAGTGCAATAATCAGGATGCATCATGGTTGGTATTGATAGGTCTCTGCTCTCGGTCGGTAACCTTGTTGATGACCCATTGTGCTGTGGCCAAGTCCACTTTCGTGGCCTTGACAGCTTCAGAGATAGCCTTGAAACAGACATTATTGAAGGCGCCTTCTATGTCTAGAAACACTCCTAAGACATATCCCTTCTTAGTTATTCTGCGTTCAATGGTGTGAGTAACTTTATGAAGTGCCGCTTCTGTGGAGCAGCCTTTCTTAAAGCCGATTTTTCGTTTGTTGGTATCGTTTGCGAAATTAAGGTCGTGTTACATATGCCATAAGATCACTTTCTCCTGCAACTTTAACATCACAGGTGAAAGAGTGATCGTTCGAAATGACTTAGCATTGTTGTAGTCGGTTTTTCCAGGTTATGGGACAGAGATTCTAAGGGAGTCCTTCCACAAAATTGGAATTTGTTGCGTTTCATGGTTTTTAGTCATAATGTTCCTCGTAATATCTTTAATCTTTGATATGAGTCCAGGCTTTCTGGATAATGATGGGTTTGAGAGTGTCAATTTTGTTGAGTTTTAATTTTTAAGGTTTTGGTTTTTAAGAATAATTTAATTTTTAAGGTTTTGGTTTTTAAGAATAATTTAATTTTTTAAAACTTAAAAAATCAGGATCTCTGTTGGTCACTGTTTAGTGTTAATACATTTTCTAATGAAGAGGGTCTTTTCTCAATCTAGGTGGCCTTGTGTCCATCCTAGATGGGCCAGCTGTAGAGTGGAATCTTAATTTGTTAATTTAATGTATTGACGGGTATCTCTATGAGTATCAGATAGAGAGATTCTCTATCCTCGTCAACAATTTGTCTCTTTGTACTTACTCTGTACAGCCTGGGTTCAGGCATTTGCCAGATTTTATGGAAAACTTACACTGTTTGCAGGATTTGTAGATGATTGTAGATTTATTTATTTTGGACATGGTGCAATGTTGAACTGAAGTTATACAATCAATCAGCCCTTAAAAAACAAAGTGAGTAAGAATTCTCCGTGTCCAAAATAATCCCACTTCCTTGGGTAATGAATAATTTGACTATTTATACTTATCAGGATATTTTTATTTGATATTAAGTTTGTGGTTCACAGTTTAAGTGTACTTCTGTGAACAGATTTTATATTCATTATCTGGAAATTTACCAATTACTGCGTATTTACGCTAGGTGGCCTGCCTCCTGCGGGCCAGTGGCGTAACGTTGCCTGTTGGCGCCCCAGCGGTGCTCCTCGTTACGCCACTGCTGCGGGTTGTATCTATTGTAGTATACTGTAAACATAGTACTATCACTATTAACTAAGTTATATATTATATTTTTAAAAGTTCAATTTGTGAAAATTTGTGACAATTTGTCAACAACGAGGAAATACATACATAGCCGAGGATCGACCGGGCCGCTTTTTAAAAACTATAACGGTGACCTGAACTAAGACACGATTCACCGAATTTTGACACGGACTGGGATTCCAATAGGTTTATTTTGACCGGTCGATCGTTGCGCAACAAACAAAACGTATTTGAATCTGATTTATCTGATTTATCTGACTATCTAGGTTTATGTGTGAGTGTTAATATTTCATAAGTTGTCGCTTGTAATATTGCTGTTTTACTTTTAGGCTCTGGATCGAAATCAAAGTTGACATACAAATTTAGTTGGTTCTATTTCCTTCTAAACATTAAATTTTCTTTTCAATATGCATATGTACGGTATTGTTCAGTCATTAAGCGTTTTATAACTTGATCATTTTCCTGTTATAACAATTATTTTCCTGCTTACTTTTAGGGCATGTAAAACCAGTTTACAATTTAAAAGCCATTGTGATACACAACGTCGTTAAAAGAATGCTGCTAAAGTGCCAAAAGGAGCCCTTTCTGCGACAGCTCACTTCCAAAGTCGTTTCTTGTAATGAGGTATTTTATATATTTCTACTTATTTAGCTTGGAAATCTCGTATGTTTTATTCAAAACATAGTTGTATTTGGTTGTCCCAGTTTTTATATTTAACCCTTCTGTTTCAGGTAAAGAAGGGAAAGAAAAAGCACTACGAAGTGGTGTTAGAAGACACAATACTGTTTGCTGAAGGAGGAGGACAGCCATGCGATCACGGTGTTTTGAGAACAATCCCCTCGGACGTCACTGATGTAGATAAACTGTCTTTGCAAAAGTAAGTGTAAACAGATCTGAAATCGTGTCGTGGGAGGAGGTGTTCTAGCAAATGTGTGGGCGAAATTGTGATTATGTCGCTTTATGTCGCGCGAGGTTTATTTCTCAGAATTGTGGGTATGTCGCTATTATTCGGATCCATAAATAACGTAAAGTTACGTGCGTGCGCGTATTTTTATAAAGTTTATAGTCTTACATATTGTACATCTGCTGAGCCTCTCGTAGCAATTTCGACCGTAACCGGACCATATTATCTTCATCTTGTGGCATGGTGCCCAAGCCTGATAGTAATACATATGCATTATGGCAGTATCTAGTATATCCTGAGCGGTGGAGATCTATCATTGTATTGGTGAAACTTCTCTCCATAAAGCACTGTCGTTACCTGTTTATTAAAGGTATTTCCAATCAATATCATGTGTGATAATTCCACTGGAATTATTCCAGCCTATATCTATTTTTCAGGAACCATAAACAATAGTCAATATACAATATACATACAATACAAGGCCTTCTCCAGGTAGTCTTCTCCTGACAGTATTATTTATCTATGTAAACTCGCGCACGCACCTACCTTTTTGCAATATTTAGGTTCAAATTTGCGCATAATCATAGTTTTGAAAAGCGACATACCCACACTTAGAGACAGTAGATGAATCCATAAATTTGGAACATGGGCACATCGCAGTATTGGCCGTATTTGAGTGCTGGGAAGGCTCAGTTCGGTTTTCTAAGATGGATATAGCCGTAAGCTAGGCCTAGGAGCCATCAAAAGTCGTATAAAATTACCCATGGAATGACCAGAAATGAACAAAAATGAATATTGTCCTAAAAATGCTCAGAACGGTTTAAAATGGGTCGGAAAGTGTTTACATTGGTCCTAGGACCACTCAAACCAAGTTTGGGAATCACTGCATGTCTAGAACCGATGTGAAGGTGGTTCCAATTTTGATTTTTGTAACCATTTTGGGAACATGGGGACATCGAAGTATTGGCTGTATTTAAGTGCTGGGAAGCCTCAATTCGGTTTTCTAAGATGGATATAGGTAAAAACTAGGCCTAAGAGCCATCAAAACTCAAATAACATTACCCAGGTTCATGGAATGAACGAAAATGAACAAAAATGAATATTGTCCTAAAAATGCTCAGGACGGTTTAAAATTGATCGGGAAAGTGTTTATATTAGTCCTAGGACCACTCAAACAAAGTTTGGGAATCACTGCATGTTTAGAACCGATGTTACCAATGTTCCAAAATGTTCCAATTTTGGCACAATAATCCTCCTGAGAATCCAGTTTTTTTGGAACATGGGCACATCGAAGTATTGGCTGTATTTAAGTGCTGGGAAGCCTCAATTCGTTTTTCTAAGATGGATATAGGTAAAAACTAGGCCTAAGAGCCATCAAAACTCAAATAACATTACCCAGGTTCATGGAATGAACGAAAATGAACAAAAATGAATATTGTCCTAAAAATGCTCAGAATGGTTTAAAATTGGTCGGAAAGTGTTTATATTAGTCCTAGGACCACTCAAACCAAGTTTGGGAATCACTGCATGTCTAGAACCGATGTTACCAATGTTCCAAAATGTTCCAATTTTGGCACAATAATCCTCCTGAGAATCCAGATTTTTGGAACATGGGCACATCGAAGTATTGGCTGTATTTAAGTGCTGGGAAGCCTCAATTCGTTTTTCTAAGATGGATATAGGTAAAAACTAGGCCTAAGAGCCATCAAAACTCAAATAACATTACCCAGGTTCATGGAATGAACGAAAATGAACAAAAATGAATATTGTCCTAAAAATGCTCAGAACGGTTTAAAATTGGTCGGAAAGTGTTTATATTAGTCCTAGGACCACTCAAACCAAGTTTGGGAATCACTGCATGTCTAGAACCGATGTTACCAATGTTCCAAAATGTTCCAATTTTGGCACAATAATCCTCCTGAGAATCCAGATTTTTGGAACATGGGCACATCGAAGTATTGGCTGTATTTAAGTGCTGGGAAGCCTCAATTCGGTTTTCTAAGATGGATATAGGTAAAAACTAGGTCTAAGAGCCATCAAAAGTCAAATAACATTACCCAGGTTCATGGAATGAACGAAAATGAACAAAAATGAAAATTTTCCTTAAAGCGCTCAGAATGGTAAGAAAATGGTGGCAAAGAGTCAATATTTTCGTCCAACAGAGTCTTAAAGTTGCATTCAGAATTATGTACAATTAGCACACGTACCGCCAAGAGAAGGCAGAAATTATTTTATTGGGCAACTATTTTGGTTTTAATAATCCCCCAATATATTGATATAAATTTTTGACATCATTAGCTGTATTTGTTCGTTGAGGGATGAAGATTGCGGGTGAAAGGGTTGGTTGAGCGAGGTAGGTTGCTGGTGAAGGGGTTGGTTGCGTTAGGTAGGCTGGTGGTGAATGAGTTGGTTGAGGGATGAAGGTTGCTGGTGAAGGGGTTGGTTGAGTGAGGTGGACTGCTGGTGCTTCTTTGAACTGGTAGATAAAGAGGTAGGCTCATCAATTTAGTGAAGGGATTCATTGTCGTTGTAGTTGTTGTGGTTAACAGAGAGGGAAAATGATTTGTATAACTTAATTATCTATTTATTCTCTTCTTATTCATTAACAAGCTTGCTAAGTTAATCCTATTGCTGATGACCTGATCTGATCTTACGCCTCTACATCCGATCACACCAAATAAGATCGGATAACCTTGCTACGCTCGGATCACCTTATTCAGATCACATCTTTATTTGCTTCCACACATCTATTACACGAAGTGATGTGATACAAATGAAACTGATGTGATCTAAATATAGGGTGTACATTGTGTGACTGTCTGACTGTTTATGGAATCACTGCATGCCCAGAACCGATACGAGGGGTGCAGAATACCGAACCATCTTAACAGTACAGTAAATGAATAGTCTGTTGATTGGCCTTATGACTCTTTCGTAAACTCTTTGGAATTGCTCAGAGCGGTTTAAAATTGGTCGGAAAGTGTTTGTATTGGTCCTAAGACCACTCGAATTGGAACATTTTGGAACATTGGTAACATCGGTTCTAGACATGCAGTGATTCCCAAACTTGGTTTGAGTGGTCCTAGGACCAATATAAACACTTTCCGACCAATTTTAAACCGTTCTGAGAATTTTTAGGACAATATCCATTTTTGTTCATTTTCGTTCATTCCATGAACCTGGGTAATATTATTTGACTTTTGATGGCTCTTAGGCCTAGTTTTTACCTATATTCATCTTAGAAAAACGAATTGAGGCTTCCCAGCACTTAAATACAGCCAATACTTCGATGTGCCCATGTTCCAAAAATCTGGATTCTCAGGAGGATTATTGTGACAAAATTGGAACATTTTGGAACATTGGTAACATCGGTTCTAGACATGCAGTGATTCCCAAACTTGGTTTGAGTGGTCCTAGGCCAATATAAACACTTTCCGACCAATTTTAAACCATTCTGAGCACTTTGAGAAGAATGTTCATTTTCGTTCATTTCTGGTCATTCCATGGGTAATTTTATACGACTTTGATGGCTCCTAGGCCTAGCTTACGGCTATATCCATCTTAGAAAACCGAATTGAGGCTTCCCAGCACTTAAATACAGCCAATACTTCGATGTGCCCATGTTCCAAAAATCTGGATTCTCAGGAGAATTATTGTGACAAAATTGGAACATTTTGGAACATTGGTAACATCGGTTCTAGACATGCAGTGATTCCCAAACTTGGTTTGAGTGGTCCTAGGACTAATATAAACACTTTCCGACCAATTTTAAACCGTTCTGAGCATTTTTAGGACAATATTCATTTTTGTTCATTTTCGTTCATTCCATGAACCTGGGTAATGTTATTTGAGTTTTGATGGCTCTTAGGCCTAGTTTTTACCTATATCCATCTTAGAAAACCGAATTGAGGCTTCCCAGCACTTAAATACAGCCAATACTTCGATGTGCCCATGTTCCAAAAATCTGGATTCTCAGGAGGATTATTGTGCCAAAATTGGAACATTTTGGAACATTGGTAACATCGGTTCTAGACATGCAGTGATTCCCAAACTTGGTTTGAGTGGTCCTAGGACTAATATAAACACTTTCCGACCAATTTTAAACCGTTCTGAGCATTTTTAGGACAATATTCATTTTTGTTCATTTTCGTTCATTCCATGAACCTGGGTAATGTTATTTGAGTTTTGATGGCTCTTAGGCCTAGTTTTTACCTATATCCATCTTAGAAAACCGAATTGAGGCTTCCCAGCACTTAAATACAGCCAATACTTCGATGTGCCCATGTTCCAAAAATCTGGATTCTCAGGAGGATTATTGTGCCAAAATTGGAACATTTTGGAACATTGGTAACATCGGTTCTAGACATGCAGTGATTCCCAAACTTGGTTTGAGTGGTCCTAGGACTAATATAAACACTTTCCGACCAATTTTAAACCGTTCTGAGCATTTTTAGGACAATATTCATTTTTGTTCATTTTCGTTCATTCCATGAACCTGGGTAATGTTATTTGAGTTTTGATGGTTCTTAGGCCTAGTTTTTACCTATATCCATCTTAGAAAACCGAATTGAGGCTTCCCAGCACTTAAATTCAGCCAATACTTCGATGTGCCCATGTTCCAAAAATCTGGATTCTCAGGAGGATTATTGTGCCAAAATTGGAACATTTTGGAACATTGGTAACATCGGTTCTAGACATGCAGTGATTCCCAAACTTGGTTTGAGTGGTCCTAGGACTAATATAAACACTTTCCGACCAATTTTAAACCGTTCTGAGCATTTTTAGGACAATATTCATTTTTGTTCATTTTCGTTCATTCCATGAACCTGGGTAATGTTATTTGAGTTTTGATGGCTCTTAGGCCTAGTTTTTACCTATATCCATCTTAGAAAACCGAATTGAGGCTTCCCAGCACTTAAATACAGCCAATACTTCGATGTGCCCATGTTCCAAAAATCTGGATTCTCAGGAGGATTATTGTGCCAAAATTGGAACATTTTGGAACATTGGTAACATCGGTTCTAGACATGCAGTGATTCCCAAACTTGGTTTGAGTGGTCCTAGGACTAATATAAACACTTTCCGACCAATTTTAAACCGTTCTGAGCATTTTTAGGACAATATTCATTTTTGTTCATTTTCGTTCATTCCATGAACCTGGGTAATGTTATTTGAGTTTTGATGGCTCTTAGGCCTAGTTTTTACCTATATCCATCTTAGAAAACCGAATTGAGGCTTCCCAGCACTTAAATACAGCCAATACTTCGATGTGCCCATGTTCCAAAAATCTGGATTCTCAGGAGGATTATTGTGCCAAAATTGGAACATTTTGGAACATTGGTAACATCGGTTCTAGACATGCAGTGATTCCCAAACTTGGTTTGAGTGGTCCTAGGACTAATATAAACACTTTCCGACCAATTTTAAACCGTTCTGAGCATTTTTAGGACAATATTCATTTTTGTTCATTTTCGTTCATTCCATGAACCTGGGTAATGTTATTTGAGTTTTGATGGCTCTTAGGCCTAGTTTTTACCTATATCCATCTTAGAAAACCGAATTGAGGCTTCCCAGCACTTAAATACAGCCAATACTTCGATGTGCCCATGTTCCAAAAATCTGGATTCTCAGGAGGATTATTGTGACAAAATTGGAACATTTTGGAACATTGGTAACATCGGTTCTAGACATGCAGTGATTCCCAAACTTGGTTTGAGTGGTCCTAGGACTAATATAAACACTTTCCGACCAATTTTAAACCGTTCTGAGCATTTTTAGGACAATATTCATTTTTGTTCATTTTCGTTCATTCCATGAACCTGGGTAATGTTATGCTACTTTCGATGGCCCCTAGACCTAGCTTGCAAATATATCCATCATTTACAATTATTTTTGGCACTATTTAGAGCTCATTAGGGCAAATAAATGCATGGCACACTTTTGGCACAATTTTGGCACATGTTCCAAAAATGTTCCAAAAATGTTCCAAAAATCTGGATTCATCAACTCCTTAGAGAAGAAAACGTCAATGCAATCATTATATGGGGTGTCATCTACGTAGCGCGCAAGTACTCCGATATGTTGCAAGTCTATCACAAGTAACAAAATATTGTGTCACGTGACTAATTCTGAATATCGGATTACTATGTTCCAAAAATGTTCCAAAAATCTGGATTCATCAACTCCTTAGAGAAGAAAACGTCAATGCAATCATTATATGGGGTGTCATCTACGTAGCGCGCAAGTACTCCGATATGTTGCAAGTCTATCACAAGTAACAAAATATTGTGTCACGTGACTAATTCTGAATATCGGATTACTATGTTCCAAAAATGTTCCAAAAATCTGGATTCATCAACTCCTTAGAGAAGAAAACGTCAATGCAATCATTATATGGGGTGTCATCTACGTAGCGCGCAAGTACTCCGATATGTTGCAAGTCTATCACAAGTAACAAAATATTGTGTCACGTGACTAATTCTGAATATCGGATTACTATGCGCGATCGGCTCAGCGGCTGCGATCGAGTATACAAATTCACATCCGTATAATAATATATTTTATGTAACGCTTGGCTGGCATAAATTCCATCCATTTACTGCTAAAATACCCCTCTTTTTGTTATGTATGTGGGCAATACAATATGACCTCTCGTAGTTAGGTAGTTTTTACTGAGCTCTATTTTTATTAATGTTAACCCAACAAGTTCAGAGTATTGGGAAACACAGCAGGACCAGGTTTACCACTTCTCAGCTGATTCCACTTATCTGACTCAGTGTAAAAGTGGTGGACGTACAGAGACGCGATGGTAGAGCAGTGCATTTCACTGATAAGAGAGTGGGTGAGGGGAGTGAGGTTAATGTGGAAGTTAACTGGAAACGGAGATACGATCACATGCAGCAGCACACAGGTAGGGCTTTGTTTTTATATTGTCTTTAGTTGGTGTGTAGCTGGTTAAATTAACCAGCACAAAGTGGTTAATATTGAAGAATTTATGTGCAATATTAGTACCGTCGGGTGCTAAGGTGCTTCTGCAATGTTATTATCAACATATTTTGGTGATTATTAGTTTTACCATTCACTATGAGATCACTGAAATTGCCATTCATGAATTGGGTTAAAGTTTAAACATTGTTTATAATGATGTAACGGTGTTTGCAGGACAACATTTACTAAGCGCTATCGCGGAGCAGGAGCCATACAAGTATAACACTGTATCATGGAACTTAGGTTAGTTCATCAGATACTAAGGATCTATATCACCAGTAATCTCAATTGTTTGGATAACTCAGTATGATTGTTCTTCTATTTGGCTTTTTCTTGTTCGGGATTGTTTTTAGTTCTTTGAAGACTTTTTGCCGTGTTTCCTTTATAAAAGTACAAACAATTTCTGATTTGTCTGCCAATTAGGTTAGAACACTAATTTCAGGTTTAACAATATCACATGTTGAGCTCAAAACACCATCTATATCTGACGAGATCAAGCTGGAAATCGAACAGAAAGTCAACAGGTTCGATCATGTTTTAAATTTATCTCTGATTAAACTTATCAGTCCTGTGATGATCAAGTTATAATCTAATGATTCTAGAGAATATCCACCACATGTCCCACCTCGTGTTTTAATAATTCTGTGGCTTTTGTAATCGTATTTTTAAGTGCTGACTGTGGCAGCGTATAAAAAATAAAATGTGTATCCCCTGAAATCTAGACTCAGGATTGTTCTAAAAAAGTATAATTTTTACTCTGTACATAGATTAAAACAGCAAGATAATACTTTGTAATAATATGCAAATTAACTCAGTAAGAAAGTATGCTAATTGCAGGCCCATGCCACACGTCCTAGCCACATGTGTGATACTAATTCTCCATTTGACAGGCAACTAACGATCTCACTTCAACAATATGTGGTCTCATGATGGAACTGTACTTTTTTTAGTTAGTCACGCTTCATTTTATATCAACAATCCCTGTCATTTCTTCTCACTTTTTTCTGGATCAGTTTCTGTTGAACATCTTTTGTCGAGTTTGTTGAGTGCAAAGACAGTTATATGCTTATGGATGCTGTGGGTAATTCAGGAAAGGTGGCTATCAATCGTAACGGAATATTGGGGGAAGGCAGTAACGGGACATGCGTTTACAAAGGAACATTCGAGAAAACGGTTCAAGTGGCCGTTAAAAGAATGGTATATTTCCAAACCACAGACCTGAAAGTGATTAACAATGAAGTTACTATGCTGAAGAAGCTGGATCACCCTAATATAATCCGATACAAGCTGTTCGACAAAGACAAGGACTTCCTCTATATTGTCCTGGACTTGTGTGACGCATCTCTGACTGAATGTATTAAAAAGGGAACCTTGAACCCTTCATATACGTACATGCCCGGTGAAATGAAAGCAAAGTTCAAGATTAATATTCTGAAGGACATTTTAAGCGGCTTAGAATACCTCCACAAAATGGATGTTATTCACCGAGACCTAAAGCCCCAGAATGTTCTAATCAAAAAAAGCAAAACCACCGAGTATGGTGTTACTGCTGTGATAACTGACTTTGGACTCAGTCTTGAAATTAAGGAGGATCAAACTCACGTGACTGCTACAGAGGCGGGTACCAAGGGGTGGAAACCAAAAGAAGTACTTGGGAAGGGTAAAAAATATTTCAAGAAATCTATGGATATTTTTGCGTTTGGATGTGTTGCACAGTTTGTACTTTCTCAATCTACCGACGCATCTAATCGTTACGTTCACCCTTTCGGTGAGGAATTGTGCAGGGAGCGAAATATCCACTTTGGTAAAAGGGTGGCATTCCTAGATGATCCTAGAAAATCGTTCGATCCTAGAAAATCGTTGGATCGTGAGGTGGATTTGCTGGGAGATATAATGGTAAACAGCTGTGTCAGCAATGACCCAAAACTACGTCCTGAAGCTAAGGAGCTTTTAGATCATCCTTTGTTCTGGAGCTACACTGATAAACTTCACTTTGTGGAGAAAGTATTCAATGATTACAAAGACAAATTTGAGAGCGATGCTGTTAAAAGTTTGGAAGACAACTGGAAGAAATATAAGCCAACAGCAGTCGAAGAGAACATTCGTGAAGCTTGGGGATACCATTTGTTCTGTCGAAAGCTTGCCAAACAATCCAAACCAAACACCAAATCTCTCTTCAACGCTGTTCTCCGGAACATAAGGAACATCCAACAACACTGCAGGGAGGCGGTAGCACGGTACAAAGAGCCCCACAAACAACCAAACTCAGAGGCTTTCACTATTCTTGAGGAAGTTTTGGGAGATTGCTCGGATGAAGACATTGGACGATATTTCTTTTCTAGAATTCCAGTACTGATTCCAATCGTGTACCTGTCTCTCTACCTTCACGCTAGAGATAATAGAGTTTTGCAGCGGTACTACAAGAATGCTGATACTGATAAAACGGTTGCGGAGGGGAAGACTAAATCAGGGTGGAGCACTCTGGATAAACTCATGACACGCAGCTCCAGATCATCTACCCCATCTAGTTCAAGTAGAAGCAGATCCAACTCTAAGAGTTAGAGGACAGATCATCTACCCCGTCTAGTTCCAGTAGAAGCAGATCCAACTCTAAGAGTTAGAGGACAGATCATCTACCCCGTATAGTTCAAGTAGAAGCAGATCCAACTCTAAGAGTTAGAGGACAGATCATCTACCCCGTATAGTTCCAGTAGAAGCAGATCCAACTCTAAGAGTTAGAGGACAGATCATCTACCCCGTCTAGTTCCAGTAGAAGCAGATCCAACTCTAAGAGTTAGATGACAGATCGTCTACCCCGTCTAGTTCAAGTAGAAGCAGATCCAACTCTAAGAGTTAGAGGACATTGATATTATTATCGTTTTTAAGTTTATACAGGGGTTACAGAGTACAGACTTTAGATGGATACCGCTTGTTGCAAGCTTCTTTTGAAATATCCTTGATAAGTTACTTTCATATCTCATGTGATTATGTTGACTGATTTAACCTTTCGTTTCAGTCGTATATTGCTATTTATGATTTTACCAGGGTTTAAACAAAAGCGATCTGATTTCCAAATTTAGTCGATTTTATACTTACATTTTCTCTTTGAATTGGATTTTTATATTAAAGAAATTCTTAATAGTTTCTGAAATCGAACCAAATTGTGTTTTAATTGGTCGCTTTTTAGAGTTAATTTCTGTCCTAAAACTCACTTCTTTCCGAAAACTCTTCCCCGATTTCTAAAGAAACGCAAAAGCTCTGACGTTTTCCATCCTCAGTTTGATCCAAGCAGGGACACCGGTAATAACAAAGGTTTACGATAGTAAAGATGATCAAGCGTTATCCTCCGCGCATACCAGAGGACTACCTGCCGACCATTCTGGTGAGTTACATTCCGTCTTACTTGTGTGATTTCTACTATTACTAGCGTGTTACGTCTGAGAATTGTTGATAAAAAGTTATCAATATATTTTGTACCTTCGATAGATTTTCGTCGGTTACGGTTTTCTCTTTAAATGTTGAACATCTAGAAAGTTTTTAATAATCATTGTTGTGTATCAGGGCCGGTTAGAGTTATAGAGATAAAAGGTGTTGACGAAAACATGTGTTGTGGTACTCATCTGAGCTCGCTCGCTCAAGTTAGTGAAATTTCAGATCTCAGTTTTAAGAAATGAAATTTATGATTTAAACATGTGCCTACAGTAGGGGCAGACAAAGCGCTAATATTCTCGTGGGTTCAGACGGCAGCCCGTATAAAGAATTGCGTTAGGATACTTTTTGTATACTCTAATCCGAACTGATAAGATAAATTTCTACATCAAACAGAAGAAATTTAACCAAGTTCTTCCCTCCCACTCAGCTGCAGATGATCAAACTGCTTCACACAGAATCTAAGAAAGGAAACACGTTGCTCTATTTCGTGTGTGGAGATAGAGTGATCAGTACCCTCCAGATTGCGTTAGAGGTTCAACACAAACTAAACGTCTTGCTCTCGTCTCCGCCTGAAAAGTTCGCTCCCATGGTCAGTTGAGTGTTTTGGATATTGGCTTTTTAGTTTTGGATATTTAAGCTTGCGAAAATATTAGGTGGTTTTTAATCTTGTCAGTTGATGCAAGCTTTGTTTTCTATTAATTAATTTCGGTGCAAATATCCCTCAAATCTCTGACTAAACCTCCCAATTCCCATTCTCAGGTAGAAAAGCTGAGTAAAGATAATCGCACAACCCGCAAGACCGCTGAGAAACTATCAGAAGAGCTAGCCATCCTTCACGCCGCCTCCCTCCTCCAATCCTCGGAGCGAGTCCTCACCATGCACCGACCATCTCCAGACGAGAAGTACAGTCTGACTCTACAACGAGACCTACGAGACACGTGCGAGAAGAGACTTCTGCTGCTCACTATGGGGGAGCAGGGTGGAGCTCAGTTCGTGTTTAGGGGACCTGTGGATGTGGTGGATAAGTTGGGCAAGGGGCTCGCGCAGAAACTTGGGGGTAAGGGAGGAGGGAGGGATGGGAAATTCCAGGGGAAGTTTAGTGATCTGGCTCTTTTAGAGAGTGCTGTGCAATATCTTCGGGACAACTTTGAGTCATGAACATTCTTTGAAGATAGCTAATAACGTGATCGTAGATTTTCTATGATTTTCTATGATGATGTTTTATAGATTTAGACTTATAGGATTTTGTTTAACTTATTTTTAGACAGAGTTTATATTTATTTATCTTACGAGGAATATTTACAATTTGCATTGTGGTCACTTTACTTATCCAGTATAAAATATTCACAGCCCCACTCATTCAGTTCCACATCATATTGTTGTCTCAACACACGAACCCTCATTTCTGACAAATACCGATCTAAAGGGTTGAAACACTGAATTATATGTAGTAGTTTCACTTGCATTCCAACAGGTGACATTGCATATATTTTCTTACGTGAATTTACTATGACTAGTAAACAAAACATCCTTCGATTTTGTAAAACCTGTTACAGTTTCCTGTGCGATAAACGTTCTTTGACTTGATGTGAACTTACCGTTCATTTTTCTAAAACTGAATCCTCGTAGGTATGAGCCGTATTGGGTTATGTAGCCAATAATTAAATTATTGTCAGTTTCATTTCATTCTTCTGTAATATAATCTAATAAATAACCTGATATTGATCCCTCATTTCTACATCTGCATGCTGCAAGGGGGACCTCAACTACATTCCGTTACTTCATTCCGTTACTTCATTCCGTTACTACTACATTCCGTTACTTCATTCGTTGTTTCTTGGAATCTTTTCCGGGTTTGAATATGTTGCATATAATTTAATTTGGTACAGGATTTAAATTATTTTGCGTCTGTGGAATCGTCACATACAGTTTCCTTTTACTTAGGTTACCTTTGCCCGTTTCCCGTACTGGTATTTGATATACATTATTATTCTTGGCAAAAAACGTGTTTTTATAGTTTAATAATAATAACACCAGGAGTATTGTCTAGATAGATTGCGATATCGCATTACGCATATGCTTGTTAATTTTTAATGCTATTTGCCAATATGCTATTGATAAAAGTTATTCTGCTTGAATAAAATCAAACTGACTTTATTTCTACAAATGTATGATATTTATACCCGTCGAGCCTCATAATCTCCCCAGCATGTTACGGAAGTTACTCCTCACCCCTACCTGCTCTCGAGCAATGGGTGCATTCGCCGCTGCCCCGACCCCCGGCCAACAAGCAATCTTCGACAAAGAATTCAAGTATGGGGCTCACAACTACGGACCACTCCCCGTAGCCTTGGCACGAGGACAGGGAGTTAATGTCTGGGACACCGACGGCAAGAAGTATTTTGACTTCCTGGCGGCGTACTCAGCAGTGAACCAAGGTCACTGTCATCCCCGGATTGTGGCTACGTTGAAGGAGCAGTGCGACATCCTCACCCTCACTTCCCGCGCTTTTTACAACAATGTGCTGGGAGAGTACGAGGAATACATGACTAAACTGTTTGGGTTTGACAAACTTCTCCCCATGAACACGGGAGTAGAGGCATGCGAGACATCCGTTAAGTTGGCCAGAAAGTGGGGTTATGAGGTGAAGGGAATTCCAGAGAACCAGGCTATAGTGTTGTTTGCAGAGGATAACTTTTGGGGACGTACCATAGCTGCATGCTCCTCTTCCTCCGACCCGTCCTGTTACACAAACTTCGGTCCTTTCACCCCAGGGTTTGAAATGGTGCCATTCAACAACCTGGCAGCCTTGGAGGAGAAACTTGCTAATCCTAATATTTGCGCCTTTATGGTGGAACCAATCCAGGGAGAGGCAGGAGTTATTATTCCTGATGATGGGTAGGTTAACTTGTTAACACTAGGGTAACACTAGTATTGTTAACACTAGTATTGTTAACACTAGTATTGTTAACACTAGTATTGTTAACACTAGTATTATTAACACTAGTATAATTGTTAACACTAGTATAATTGTTAACACTAGTATTGTTAACACTAGTATTATTAACACTAGTATAATTGTTAACACTAGTATTGTTAACACTAGTATTGTTAACACTAGTATTGTTAACACTAGTATTATTAACACTAGTATAATTGTTAACACTAGTATAATTGTTAACACTAGTATTGTTAACACTAGTATTATTAACACTAGTATAATTGTTAACACTAGTATTGTTAACACTAGTATTGTTAACACTAGTATTGTTAACACTAGTATTGTTAACACTAGTATTGTTAACACTAGTATTATTAACACTAGTATAATTGTTAACACTAGTATAATTGTTAACACTAGTATTGTTAACACTAGTATTATTAACACTAGTATAATTGTTAACACTAGTATTGTTAACACTAGTATTGTTAACACTAGTATTGTTAACACTAGTATTGTTAACACTAGTATTATTAACACTAGTATTGTTAACACTAGTATTGTTAACACTAGTCACTATAATAGCACTGTGTTAGATAAATTAACAGGCTTAAGTTTAGTCAAATGCGTAGTCTTTGTAACCTTTAATAAACATTTTATATTTCTAAACCTCCATGATTTCAGGTACCTTAAAGGAGTAAGAGCCCTGTGTGATAAACACAACGTGCTCTGGATAGCAGACGAAGTACAATCAGGTTGTGGTAGAACCGGTAAAAGGTCAGCTTGCGAGTGGGAGAATGTGAAACCTGACATGGTGACCCTCGGCAAAGCTCTTGGTGGAGGGGTGTTCCCTGTGTCTGCAGTCCTGACTTCTGATGAGGTCATGTTGTGCATCAAACCGGGGGAGCACGGCAGTACCTTCGGTGGGAACCCTCTGGGGTGTAAGATAGCCATGACAGCCATGGACGTGCTTGAGAACGAGGGATTGTACGAGAATGCCCAGAACATGGGAAATATCCTGGTAGATGAGCTGAGGAAGCTACCCAAGGACATCGTTGACGTGGTCCGAGGTCGGGGTCTGTTCTGCGGGGTGGAGATCAAGGAGACGGAGTCCTTCAACGCGTGGGAGGTGTGTCTGAAGCTGAGAGACGCGGGACTCCTGGCTAAACCTACTCATGGTCACATCATCAGGTTCACTCCTCCTATTGTTATCAACGAGGATGAAATGAAGGAGTGCACTGATATTATCTGCAGTACTATTTCTAGCTTCCAGTAAAGAGGATATTATCTGCAGTACTATTTCTAGCTTCCAGTAAAGAGAAGCTCTGTAGATCTGCTCCTTGGTGCTCCTTGGTGCTCCTTGATCTGCTCCTTGGTGAGCTCCTCTTTAATACCTCCCTCGTGCCGGCAAGTAATAGTCTCAGATAAACCCAGGAACTATCTGACTCATATAACAAGTAGTTTCACCATCACAACCTTCAATGTAGTTCTCGCTGTAAGGATGAGTTATAATATAATTTGCAAGTCATCTAGATTCTAGATGCGCTCTTTAAATCCGTGCTCAGTTTTATTAATTTATAAGTAATATTATTAATTTTATTAGTGTTATATAAATTAAACTATTTAATATTGTTCGTGTGAACTCAGTTGCTTCTATCGAGAAGTCATTTTTATTTCACGAATATCAGGGAAAATATTATGGGATTCATTAAGAATTATATTTTATTTACAGTTCAGTTTTAAGAACTTAGCTGAGATTATATTCTTATCTGTATTTTGCTGAGATTCAAATAGTTTTTAAAATGTCAAATTCCTTATTATATTTCTAGCTTGTGTTATTTTCATTGGATCGTTTTTCTGTTTTCCAGTAAAAGTTCTTTTTGAACGTGAGGAAGACGGATGGTGTGCCCGTAATTTTCATTTGAGACAATTGCTAATAACACAGTTTTCTGAAATTTTTGGTTATTCAGATTACATTTAAAGATCAGCACTGGACTCCTTAAAAGTGGTTAGATTCAGCAAAATTTGATTTCAAAAACTTTAAAATTATTTAAGGACTGACTCACACAAATTTGCTGGAGCTGAAATAATTACATCATTCCCAACAAAATCATAAAATTCATTTATCGACTCGTCCTCATTCCTCAAATTATCATTTTAGTACATCGCGCTTTTTGAACAGCGTTTTAAGAGTTTTCTTGGCCAGCTCATGAACTTCTTGCTGCTTCATTTCAGGAGGGGCACTGTCTTCATGTAACTTATGAAACAAATAAATCACGGGAAACGGCATAGGAATGTTCTCAAAAAAGTATTCACCAAGTGTCTCATTGTCCCCGGATGGTATAAATTCAGTAAGAGGAGGATACATCTTTACTGCTTCATGGTAATGTTGTTGCAGATTACGGATGAACCTAATCATGGAGTTGTAAATAGTCGATATAACATTATCCGGGGGAATATTCCTCTTTAAGATAGGCTGGGCCAAGTAAGCCCACGAGAGAATAGCATTGCGATGCTCTGCCTACCTCTGGGGTGTGGCAACCCTGGGGAAGGTTGCCGGTGAAATCAGAGTGAATGGTGGAGGATGGTGTAAAAAGTGACATGAGTCAAAATTATACGCCAAAATTATACGCCAACTAGGGGTTTGCGGAAAAGTAAAATGAGACGAGACAGCATATGAGTTAATACTCTAACTTTAAGTCACCCCGATCTGATCCAGCTCTTCCGGCACAATTAAGCGTTTGGTGCGGTTTGCGTAATTGACAATCGTGGTGATGTGTTGGTTGTCGAATATTTCATTGACAGAGAGGTTGTAGTCCTGGAAATATAGACCTCTTATTTGGGCAATAGCCGGACACTGTCCAAGGAAGTGTGAGACAGTTTCCTCTCCGTCGCCGCACATAGGACAAACACCATCGTGTTTGATTTGCAAATGGTGTAAAAGTGTTTGTTTAAGCCGCAGTGACCCGTGATGAGGTGAACTGCAGTTCTGTTAATCTTGTCTGTTGTTGCTGAGTGTAGCATGTTCAATGTTGAGGTTTTTGATGTTGGCGTGCTTGTGGCCGAGTGTCAGTTTAGTGTGTCTGGGACCATCAGTTAACCAAGTTTCCTGATTCAGTTTGTTGTCGATTTGACGTTTGATGTAGAATTGTGGAATTATGAATTAGACGAGTACCATCCGCCAATTCAGCCGTCCTTCCTCACCAATTCAGCGGCAGCATTGAACTTGATGTCCACATTACTTGTATTTTGCCCATATTTCAAACTGTTGAGTATGTAGTAACTTGTTGTATCAGTATCACGTCGTGTTCACATAGCCATGTGTATACACGTACTGCGTGTCTGGCGCGACGCGCTTGTTTCACTTGACGCGGCGCGCGCTACTGCAAGCGAAAGGGCTTTGGTTGGAGCAACACGTCGTGCGCGTGACCCCTATTGTCGTTTCACAGCTCAGTACTACTAGACTAGTACTACTAGTATCTGCATCACAGGAGGGGCTAAGTGCAAAGAAACTGCTGCTAACTGCTGCTCACTGCTACTAACTCAAACTGCTGCTCACTGCTGCTGTCAGTGAGCAGCAGTTAGTAGCAGTGAGCAGCAGTTTCTTTGCACTTAGCCCCTCCTGTGGCATGGCGAAAGCTAAGCCACATTACAGACGCGCACTCGTGCGCGGCAGGTCTACTAGTCTACAACGTATGACAAAAGTATTATTTGGGAGTGTGCTAAATAATTACTCTACACTTGATCTATTCGAGATTTTTCTACCTGTCATCAAGATGTAAATCAGATCGAACGCAAAAATTAGATCGAACCGGTTTGATCTCAAAATTAGATCGAACGCTGGCGCACGATACATATACAACTACAATGAAAGCCGCGCCGCGCATTCGATCTAATTTTTAGATCAAACCGGTTCGATCTAATTTTTGCGTTCGATCTGATTTACATCTTGTATCACGTTGCGACCCCCACGGTCGTTTCACTATCGTCCTGACGATACAGGGGGAGCCGCGCACTTCGTGCGCGGCGGGTCATACAACGTATGACAATTTACATCTTGGTGACAGTAAAAGGTCAATTGGAAACAATTTGAATTAATGTATTTTCCGACGCTGATTGAGATTCCAAATCACCCTTTTTGCTCTTGACATGGACTTAACCATTAACGGGTGATAACGAAAAATATCTGTTCCATATATTGGAAGTGAGATTCGAGAAAGGCAGTTGGAGGACTCCGCCGCTTCGACGCGCCGCGCGAACTAGCATTCTTGCTTCGCATCGTCGATCGTTGCTCTGCTTCGCAGAGCAACGATCTCGACGGATTGACATGCATCGTCAATCGTTGTCATACGTTGTATGACCCGCCGCGCACGAGTGCGCGGCTCCCCCTGTATCGTCGAAACTCTACTATAGTGAAGCGACCGTGGGGGTCACCGCGTGATACAAGTCAATCGAGAGAGGCAGTAAAGCTATTACCGTCTTGATGGAGTTTTTTTGTCATGACCAGGCCTCTGAAATTGGAAAGCACATTGTAAATACTTTGTGTAAGCAGAGCAGCATCACCGAGAAAAGCTTCATGTAGAAAACTGTGTCCTTTATCAGTGCTATCACATGACAAAGAAAACCCCTATTGTTGGAACACCATGCACCAGCAAACCCAGAATGTCAGTTAGGCGCTAAACTGACCGTAAGTAAAAATTGCACCTTCAGCTTATGTTCCAAAATTGTAGCGCGATGCGTTTACACCCCCCGCGCGTGAGGGCACGTTTTTGCTAGTAATTTGCGACATTACTTTATGGATATCGAATCTCGCGACTTCAACGAAGTGCCGGGGACAAGTTTTCAATAATTCATAAACTTTTCAGTTCCTATCGTTTTAAGCATCGTTAGGGCTTTCCCAGAAACTAACTCTCATCATCCTAGGATAATCATGTGTCGCACAGCACTTGTTTCAGTAGAGAGTGTACTCGCCTTTACGAAAGAATGACGTGTACGTTTCGGTCACATATCGAAAATCTGAGATAAACCCGATCGATAAAATCCTTTCAGGTAGGTGCTAGTCAAGGTTTCATCTCTTTAGACATTAAGATGGCTTCAAACACCTCACAAAAAGTTTTCAAAAGTAAAATTTACTCGCGACTTACTAAAACCACCATAAACGTGCCCTCATAGATTTTTGAGGGCAAGTTTTTGAGCGCGCCGCGTGACTTTGTCTGAGCAACAGCAAGACGTATAGTTACAATCTCGCAACTATGAACAGACAAGGAAAATATTGTATTAATATCTGTCAAAGGAATTTAATGTATTTTAACAACTTGTTCTAATAATGCTAATAACTAATCGATGAACCTCATAAATGGTCGGCCCGGTGTGAGTGTATAGTATGGATTGTGCTCTGAAATGGGGCGCTGTTATTAGTTAATACAGCGGCCAATCAGGATCGAGCTGGTTTGTGGCTGCAGTCCAAATTTAGGATCATATCTGATTAGGTACCTAATTAGTGATTATGCACTTTAAAGTAAGATTAACTCGGTATTCACAATCCACATTAACAATTGTCTGCAACCAATCAAGGTCAAGCTGACTACTTAACGTGAAAATCATATTATTATATACTATATAGTGTTTGTATCATTATAAGACGACTCATGTTTCTGACATGTCACTTGTCAGTTAAGAGGTGAAATGAAAAGACAGTTAGACTCTCATTTGATTTACACATTTTTCTGAATTGTACATGTAACAATCTTTATCAGTAATCTGTAATCAGCATATAAATCACATACCAATACGTATCAAAGTGAAAACTGAAATCTTACCTGACAACACAAATTATAATAGTACCATTTTAACTCTCATGCAAGTTTACTCTTCTACTGCACTGGTTTTAATTGAACTTCCAAGAACTGTCCGGAAAATAAATCAGTCAAAAGCAAAGCCCCCGAATGCACTGTACACAATCTTCGTAATTACCCAATGTATTTTATCGTGTACACTGTAAAGACAGTTCCAATTAAATGCAGAAGAGTTGTTTAATGTTCCCACTTCCCAATTACAATCATAACAAACTCAAAATTGAGGATTGTATACGGTACTAATTTCTGCCAAATAAGCACTATATAGACATCACAATTTTGATTAGTGTATATCCAGAGTGGCGTGAAGGCTAGAGCGTCGATCTCCTCGCGGAGTGGTCGCACGTTCGATTCCCCGTGAAGTTCGCATTAATTTTTTGCCCAGATCACTCCGAGCACAATCATTTTTCATGATAAATAGAACATAAACAAAACTGACATGGGCCTGGCTATATCTAATTTTAAAACATTACCCAGGCCAGAATTTCTTAAATAACTGTTGAGTATCAGAAACCAGTGCAGAAAAAGAGAAGATATTAATCTCACTCCACTCTTTCTGCTGTTCTTACTGTTCTCCACCTCTGTTTTAGTGTCATTAACTGCTGCTGGTTCTTCTATCCTGAATGCTTGTTAAACCGGGGACCTGTATGAATATATAAGTTACAACTATTTTTTAAAGTTACAAATATCAGCTGATTTGCAAAATGTAGCGATTTAATCATGTGGATTGTGAATACCGTGTTAATCTTACTTTAAAGTGCATAATCACTAATTAGGTACCTAATCAGATATGATCCTAAATTTGGACTGCAGCCACAAACCAGCTCGATCCTGATTGGCCGCTGTATTAACCAATAACAGCGCCCCATTTCAGAGCACAATCCATACTATACACTCACACTGGGCCGACCATTTATGAGGTTCATCGATTAGTTATTAGCATTATTAGAACAAGTTGTTAAAATACATTAAATTCCTTTGACAGATAT